TTAGTACCTAGAAGTAATAGATTAGGTAATTCTATAGATATAAGATTATTAATACGACTAGGTATATCGAGCCTATACTCCTTCTTTAGCTAGATTAAGATATATATATATAGTATACTATACTTTTAGTACTCAATAATATATATAAATACGATAGTAGGGCCTAGTATACTATTAAGACCGGTAATTTTATCTATAAAAGCCTTAAGCTTTATACGGAAAATACGCGTAATAAGGTTAGGTCTATCCTTCTAGGACTAGATTAGTATACTATAGCAATCTCGTAGAAGTTTGTTAGTAATCTCTTTCTAGTAAGGATTATAGGTAAAAGTAGGAAAAAGGTCTAGATTACCTAGTACCCTTATAATCGCTATAGAGTTAAGGTAACGTTATTATATATACCGAGGGCTTCTCTTAATATTAGTAGGTAGGATAAATCTTCGGCCTATTTAATCCGGGCTTATACCTTTAGCTATAGTCTAAAGAAGGTTAGAGTAGAGATTAGTACAGATCTTCTTCTAGTTAAAGCGATAGTATTCTATTTTATAGGACTCGTTAGTTAGCTATATATCGATAACCTACTATTAGAATAGTAGGCCGCCTCGATAGAGGGTATTAAAGTCTATATCCGAAGGGCGAGTATAGAGTAGCTATCGATAGTATATTAAAGGCGTAATATTATCGCGCCGACGCAGAGTACCGCTAAGTATAGTACCTCTAAGCTTTATATTCCGATAATAACCCTCCCTACTAGTAGGATAGAATAGAGGGTAAGCTAGAGGAAGGTATAGGATATACTCTAGATAGATATATAATAGATAGCGAGGGTGGTTATCGCGAATAGTAGAATACTCTTTAGCGTAAGGATTAGATCTATTAGTATTATCCGGCGTATTAAGAAGAGAACGGTTATCTATAGATAGCCTATAATTAACCTTAGAAGGAAGGGAATTATCTATAGACGCTAAGTATAGGTTTAGCTTATTTAGTATCTAGGTATAAGCTAAGATATATATTAGTATATAGCGAAGATAGATCTAAATATCTCGATATCTAGTCTTCTTATACTTATATAGAATAAACGTAGTAACCTACTTATCCGGTATAGGTAAAGAGTAGATCTTCCTAGTAGGATAATTCTCTACTAAAGATAACTATAATATATTAATAAATATCTAATATAGTAGAGAAATTAACTTACCTAAGGGATTAGACGGAGTTTACTTAATAGCGTAGAGGCGTCCTAGGAGTTAAGAATCTCCTAGGTCTACACGAACTATATATAGTATAGATTAATATCGCGTAAAAGGGTATCTAGCCTTATAAGAATATTTAGATAGGCCTTTAGTAAAGGCTAGCTCTCTAATCGAAGGGCGTTTATAGTAATAGCGTTAAGGAAGTATAACTAGATATAGGAAGAAGCCGAGCTATCTATAGGACTAATTATATAGTAGATACTTCCGAGTAACTAGAAGATATAGAGATACTCGTAGGAGTATAAGCGCGGATCCGGCTAATCTCTAATAGAGGTATAGGCGAGAGTACTATTTAATATATAAATCTATTTACAGAAGAGCTTTACCTAGTCTATATTAGAGCTAAGCTAATAGGCTAGTAAGGTCGGAGGTTTATAAATCGGATAAGATAGAATATCGCCCTTCTTATAATATTTCTACTAGGTAGGTTAGCGATTACTTACCTATATTAACTTAGCCTCCTAGAATAGAGTACTATAGTAGGAACACGACTTATCTATATAGCTAAGATTAAGGGGTTTAAGACGTACGGTTAAAGATCTCGATACTAGCGGAACTAGTAGATAGGAAGGGCTAGTCTAGCGTTATACTTCGCGGTATAGACGATAAAAGTTACCTAACGCCGACGACCTCCTACGCTTACTATAGGCTAAGTATACCTTCGTCGCTAGCTAAGTAATAGTAGCTATAATAGGGGATTATAGAAGATTAAGTATAGGGGGAGGAGTTAGCGAGGGCTCTAGCGAAATAGTAGATATCTATATAAGTAAACTCGTAATAGGATAGGGATTAAGGGATAGAGAGGCTATATTAGATAATAGGATAGTATCTTTAATTAAAGGAATAGGTATAATATTAGTACGAGATATAGTAGGAGTAGTAGACTGAATATACGAAACGTAACGGATAATATAAGTAGATACCGTAAAGTAGTAATTATAGGACTAATAGAAGCGAAAGCTATCTAGAAGGAGAGGAATTAATTAATCTGATATTATTATAAAATAGTAGGGTACTTATACTAATAAATATTAAAGTACCAGAATTAACGGCTACTATATATAAAGTATAACGGATAGGTATAGAAGGGCGTAAGTATACTAATAGAATAGTACTATTATAACGATAGTAGAAAGAATAAGAAGGGGATCGGCCCTATAGAGGACTAATAGCGGCCTTAGAGACCTAAGTAGCCGGAGGAGTAGGTAAAAGTAAGGATATTTTATTAGGTATATAAATAGTACCTAGATACTTTACTACTCTCTTACTTACTAGTAAAGACTTTATATATTACTAGTAAAACCGGTATAAACCTAAAAACTTAGGCTTACCTCAAGAAATAGTAAGTCTATATAGAGGATACTTTAGTATAGTTTTCGATAGAGGAACTAAGGTCCTATAACGGATATAGTATAATAATTAAGGTATATTAGGTAGTAGAAGACTATATAATAAAAAATATAGATAATATAGAGAGATATAAAGAAGGTATTAATATATAATATAATAAAAGACTTATTAAGTATACTTATTAAAAAAGAATATATAATACCGTATTTTAATAATTATAATAACTAATAAAAAGTCGAGATATAGGCTACGGGTATAGAACTATAGCGGCCTATAGACTATAGTTATAGACGAATAGGCTAAGATAGAATAGGAAGAAGGACCGGTAGAAGAACCGATATAGCAGAAATCGGAGAAAAGGTTCTGCTAGACGGAAACGGAGAAATAAAGTAGAGTAATCTATAGGAATTAATATAGTCGGAACTTCTCTATAATATACTACTACCGAGTTACTAACGACGATAGATTATTAAGCTAAGACGTCCTACGAAAGAGTAGTCCGACTTATATAGAATTATATTAAGCTTACCCGAAATCAGATATTAATAACAGAGGAGCTTCTAAATATAATTATCTAAGGGGAGAATCTATCGCTTCCTTAAACGGAGAGCCTAATATTTAGCGTATACTCCTTACGGCTATTACTATCGCCTACGCTATTAGGCTAGTTATCGATATAAATATAGCGAACGCTATCTATAGAGGATACCGATATAACTATATAAATTTATATCTAATACTTTATACGATAGAAGAGCTATATCGAAATAGGTAATATAGAAATACCTCTATATACCTTTACGATAGGAGGGCGTCGGAAAAAATACGAGTACTACTCCTAAAGGCGTAGTATATATAAGACGGTAAGTATATAGTTAAGCTAGTATTCCTTATAGGAATAATAGTAATAGTAGGATAGATACTAAGTAATCTAACTACGATACTACTCTAGTAGTAGAAAGAACTACGGAGTAGAAAGGAAGGCGATAGCGACTATACTAGTATATAGTAAAGGTTCTAAGAGATATACTAGAAGATATCGATTTAAATTATATAATACCGAATCGAGCCTAATAATAAAAAGAAACTTACGTAAAGAAAGAGGCGCGCGAAAGAGAAAGGGAAAGATATAGAGAATACTATTAAGAAATATAGAGATAATAAATAGAGATTAATATATATAACTATATAATATTTATAAGAAAGAGCTATATAGTAAATATTATATACGTTAACTAAGAGTAGTTTAGTATTAGAGAGAGAAGATAGTATAAGAGGGAGTAATTCCCTATAGAAGGGACGGTTATAACCTACTTCTTTACTATCCCCTAGGATATCGTCTATTCTCTTTAAACTATATTCTATATATTCTAATCGTATATAGCTTAACTACTTTATATTCCGATCGTATATAGCTTAACTACTTTACTATAACTATAGACTACGACCCCGAGTAAGATTACGACTCCGAGTAAGTAAAGGTCGGCCTTAAAGATACCTTCGAGACGTTATAGTATATATCTTTACTACTCGAGAAGGTCAAAACGAAAACTATATATACTAGGATATATCTAAAGGGATATAGCGAACGAATATATATATCCCGCGATACCTACCGAGATATTAAGGATATTAAGGACTATATTTAGGAATTAGCAGAGGATCTCGGGAGACTCGAAGACGAAGTAATATCGCTTAGTTATAATCTAACGAAGAGGGATTTCGACGTCTAGCCTTAATTTACGGAAGTATATAGTAAGTATTAATAGACCTATTAATATATTAACGAAAGTTAATACTAATTATACTATAGAAGATAGTAGAAGTATAAAGATAAACGTAAACTATAATTAAAATATATCTAAAAACTCGAAGATATTATAATAAAAGCGCGGCCTATATAGAAGGCCTTAAGGTAGATAAATAACCGTAAGATCCCCGAGAGAAACCGTATTAGGCGATCGAGAACTATTACTTAGAAGAAGATTAGCGAAAGGTTAGTTACGAGGAAAAATAGAGGCTAGCCGTATATTAGAAATATATATTGAGGGAAGGATGAGAGGAAAGCGAATTGATAGGGTGAAATGGCAGAATAGCCGTAAGCGGTCAAGAAAGTTATGAGAGGAATTCCAAAATTGAGGTGGTAAAACGGGTGGGTCTACCCGTAGGTCCGGACTAATCAGCACCCGTTCAGAGCAAAAAGTAGACTTTTCAACGGCATTTTGTCAACTTTTCCTAGATACATGGTAGACTAGCCTGACTTTTTTTTCCCACTCCACTAGTTTTGAGGACGAATCAAGTGATGCACAAGAAGTACGGAAGTAAGAAACCAAAGATCATTCACTCAAACCATCGCTCTCCTCCACGGTAGGCAACAAAAATCCAAGACCACAATCAAGCCGCCATCGTCAATACATATCTGTGCGGGGAGCGTTAGCATGCATTCAGGTTTTGTGTTCGATTGGGAGCAGTGAATGGTGGACAATGGAGGAATACTCACGAAGTAATACTGTCCATCCTCTCCGTGGTCAATTTCAAGCTCACAGTGAGCAATTCTCTCGCGATCCGCGGCTCTTCGTCCTGCAGTGCCTTCCATCGCTCGTCACTCAGACACCATGCCACGCAATCGTGCTCAGCCTTGACAGTGGCGGTACGTCGCGTATTGCTGAAGAAAGGCAGTTCACCACATGGTCGACCAGCGACGATGAGCTCAAAGTACCGACCCTGCGGCAAATTATACTCGGCACGGAGCATGCCCGATTCAAGGAGATAGAAGGCGCGGGGGACGTCGCCTTCGTGGTACAAGACTGCTTCTGCGGGGTAGGACTGGCGAATAAAGTATGCGCAAGCAGGGAACCAGAAGTCTTCATTTTGAGTTGAGAGACCCTGGAAGGTTTGAAGGAGAAGTGGTAGGGGCTGGCGCATTGACGACCAGACAGGTGCAGCCATCAAGGCAGTTTGATGCTCGTGGTCACGGAGCGTGCTAGTCGCCACACGCTGAAGATATTGACCACGCGGCGAACTTACTACCCCGTCTGCGAGGCTTGCATTCGCAATCTGGGGCACAGGAAGTGGTGCTTGAGGTTCGTATTCGATGACAGTGTCTGGGGTCGCTGTGCCTAAGGGAGTGCGAGCAAACGCCTCTTGGTGATCGTAGAAGATCTTCAAATACTCATTCTCGCAGAACTCAAGAGCCGAGTTGAGGTCTTCAAAGATCGGTACGCCGCACCCAGGCTCAAAAAGACCGACATTCTGGAGAGACTTGCCGACCTCGCCTTCAACGTTCAGACCGGAGATGGTGGTTTGAACATTCCGTTTCAAAAGCACCCGATTTATTCGGGTAAACGCCTCGGCCGCCGAGAAATCGAGACCGTAGACACGTGAGAAATCCAGAATCACGAAGCGGATCGGCTGCTGCGAGAAGGCCTCTTCTTCAATCAGCCCGCGCATCGTGTTCTCAACGTTCACAATGGTGCCAAAGAAGAGGTAGCCTCCTAGCTTCAAGATCAAAGTTTGCCGCCCAGCTTCGCGAAGGAACTGCTGCTGAATGGGTGGGCGACGGACCGTAGATCCGGCAATCTCCCCAGAGAAGGTCGCGCGAATGGCTGACTTGCGAGATGTCTGTACAACAAAGTTCACGCAAGCCAGGATTATACCAACAAGGATACCCATCACAAAGTCCACTGCACCCATGGTGACGACGATGATTACAACCTTCTTATAGTCAGCCTCTCTGCACCACATATGCGAGAACTTCTCCAAAGCATTGATTAGTATGCACATACCGTCAGGTACTCCAATTTCGTGAGTTTGCCCCAAGTGTCAATAAGGGCTTCTTGCAAGAGTTCAATGCCGAGTAGGAAGATCAAAGCCCCAACAACCATCACTGGAATGTACCCAATGATGACCGGGCCAATAAACATGATTCCAGCAGTGGCAGCAGCCAACATCAGACCTGCCAGGCGCGAGTCCCCACCGCTGGCAATGAACAATAGGCTATTTGTGTACACCAGGTAGTTCTGTATGCTACCTGCGAAACCGGACAGAGCATTGGTGACACCGTGCGCCATCAGCTCTCGATTCACATTGAGATTATCCTCCCCGGTTGAGATTCCGAGTGCAGGGACATTGATGGGCACGTGTAGGACTCCGAAGAAGGTCAGTGCAAACATGGCCGGAATTGTGTCTGCGAGAGCCACCCAATCCACTGCAGAGAAGTCTGGACACCATCGTCAGCGTCTCGAGCCAAGAGAGTTGGTCTGATCTGGAGAAGAACTCACCATAAAGGGTATAAAAGTGATACCACGGGTGATTGGAGGAGGGCGCGTCAAACACCCATCCTTTGTGATGCAAAGTCGCCATGGAGATCCGCGCGCTGAGAATCACGATATAGAAAATTACGGCCACGCCAATAAAGTAGGCCCCGACAAGGAAATTAGATCGAACGAAACGCTTTAAAACAAGGAGTGCAATGGCAAGGACAAGGGGTATCATCCAAAGAGGGAAAGTGTCGAGCTGGAAGAGCTTCTGTAGCGTGCCGAAATTATATTCAAGAGAGCCCGGAAGCCGTGCAGAGACTTCCATGCCCGTCTGCAGGAGAAAGTAGCCAACTCCACCGATACAGCCGATCAAGATGTGTCGGGGGAAGAATCCGATGAGCGATCCGAGTCCGCAGGCACCCATCAGAAAGAAGACCAGACCCGTGAGCACGGAGCTGATTGAGAAGGCAAGGATAGTGGTCGCAATGACTGACTGCGGGTTGTCCTTACCGATCCGTTCCATGATAGTGAAGGCCATCTGGTGAAAGAACGGGACAACTTCAATCATTTCACTGCCGATCCCTCCCTTGAAAATCGAGCCTCCACTGGAGAAGACTACTTGGGAGATAATCGTGCTCACGTAGAACATTGAGATACCGTCTGCGCCTAGGTGTGCAAAAAGTGGTTCTCCGAGCGGAAACAGAATCATTCCGTAGGAGAGAGCATCGAGAATGTTGAGAAGAAGTCCGAGAACCACGGCGGGAAGCAGACTGGCAGGCTGAACGACCCCGTTCCTCCAGATCGCGTGGCGATCCCATGCTTTAGGGTTCGATATTGTGACTGACCATTCTTTGACGGATGTGATTCCCTTGCGTAGAGGGTTGGGTGTCTGTAGGACTGGTAGCTCTTGGCTCTCAACATCCTCCGTTGTACCATATTGATGCAGCGACTTGGATCGAACCTTTGACAGCAAGGAAGTTGTCTCTGTATCCCTGGTCTCGGACTCGTCATCAATGGTCGACAAGTGTGAGAAGGGAGCTTCTTCTGTCGGTTGTGCGGCGTGATCCATCATGCCGTTATCCGGCTGCTGAATCATTTGTGTCAAGGCGGATGATGCAGAGGCACTGGAGGGGTCCAGGAGCACAGCCTGTGAATCCAGATCTGCATCCTCCTCAGGCAAAAGAGAACTTCCTACACCATCACGGGACGCTGAGGGCGATTGCTGGAGTTGGCCGCGAAAGATATCCAAGCTGGGTGCTAAGCTAGCTCTCCCCCGAGATTGCCTCCGATTGAGAGACAAACCGTACGTCGCTAGTTCGGCTGTTTTTTCGCGCAGCCCGCTTGATGCATAGTGTGCTGTGTCTGTGAGGATAGAAAAATGGAATGGTCAGTCAGTTGATCCGAATCCTAAGCCGACGCAGCTGTCCGAGGTCTATCTTGCTCGTTGCTCATCCTCAGGACCGCTGACACGAATTTGTGCGACTCCGCTATCTCCTACACCCTGGACATGGCCGAGCTTTCTTGCGAGCATATACACTTACCGGTCGGGGTGTTGAACGAGCGGTGGTAGAATGAGCGACTGGGAGTCCGCATACTGGAGGCACCATAGCTGCCAGCCTCCGTGCCGGCTCCCGTGGAACTGCCCAAGTTGGCATGGGCACGTTCTACAAGAGTTTCTGGCGCGATCGACGACGCATCGGGATCGTGATCACGATCCCAGCCCAAGCTGCGCGAAAGGGCTGAGGCGCGCGAGTCGCGGCGTCCTCGCGGTTGTAGCACACCCATGAGGAAATTTGCGCGACCGATCGCGCAATGGACTCGAGAGGACGAGTGGACGAGCGGGCAGCAAAAGGTCGGAAAGGTTCCGGCCCACTAGCGCATGCAGCGACGTTGGACAAAACGGCGGATGACGCAAGGAGTCGATTGATGCATCGGGTGAGGGTGCGGAAGACGGGAAGGGCGGGAGCGACGACCGCAAGGAAGAGGACGAGGAATCGTGTGCCAGATGAATCGCGCGGATGAAGGCGGGGAGAGATGGTGCAGACAAGGCAGCAGGAAGAGGAAGAATAAGTATGATCCGGTTCAGAAACTCTACGGGGACCTGGTTTGCCTGGGGATCAGGGCCGGGAGAGGGGCTCTTATCGCCAAGTGGGCACCGAGTGGGTTCGGGTTCCAGCGACAATACCGGGACTTGTCGTGCAGTTGGCGCTGGTTTAGTCGACAGACAGACTCAGATCCATGCAGAGTGGGCGACCATGATATGATCAAGCTTTGAACGGGTCGAGAGAGCAGAAGTTCTGAATGAGAATCGGGTTGGTGACAACGGTCAAGATCAGCATCTGGTATCACTCTCCAAATGATGAGGATTCGAGAAGGAACCGATAGCCGGATATCGCCTCCACCGGGCTGGCCGGGTCCTGAACTTTAAGAACTCGGCGGTTCGTGCTGGTCTTCTGAGTGAGGGTTCAGTGAATGATCTATTCAGAAGCGAGAGTTGGCTAGTTTCCAAACGAGGAATATTTTAGGACAATGCAATTGTGGTCATTATGACACTACACCAGAAAGGATCTTTAACCACGGCTGACGAGATGTGCCCGATCCGCAATTTTCTTAATGGCGTGATTGATTCCATCCTACCACTAAGCTACTACTTTGACTTTCTGGTCCTCACACTGTATTTATTTACTGTGCATTGAGTCAATTCTGCTTGTTCCGCCCGGAACCTTATCTCCCGCAGTTAAAAGAGGAGACTCCAACTGCAAAAATAACCGAGCAGTCAGTGCGAAGGGCACTTTGCATTACCGATGAAGAGCAGACACTGACAGTAATTCTCTCATACGCAGAATGAGTGTGTCTGCTACCAAGGTGGCAAGAAAGATGGTGACATGATGACTAGCGTCACAGCCTCTCGGCTTCGCTTCGAGCGTGCCATCGTCTGGCCGAGCAGATGGACATACTGCTAGTCGGCTTTGGGTGAAGCGAAGGGCGTTAAAGAAGGGCCAACATCATGGTCTAGCCTGTAAGCAGCATGAATAATGCAGGTGGTTGCAAGCTCGCTGCTCCTTGTCAGCACCGGCGCTCTGGGCCCTGGACGAGCTGCATATCATCTCCACTTGGCCGATGCACGTCTTGCTCCGGTGCCACAGCTGGCCACGTCTCGGCTCTGGGCCGAGCTCTCGCCTGTCCATTGAGTGGCTAATTGGCCACAGATAGGGGCGCTGAGGGTTTTTCTTAGTTCTACGCGTTCTTGTTACACAACACTTTTGACAGAACACAAGCATGGTCAGGAATTTCCTCAACGAGAATCAGCGGTTCATGATCATGAACACTCTATGTGATACGAACCTGCAGTGCTGCAAACAAACCTGCAGTGCTGCAAACAATTATTGAGTCGAGTCCCACCGAGTGAACAAACAGTGCAACTGCCCGACTCTCGGCAAGTGGATCGCACCTGAGAGCAACTGGTTCGGTCCGAAATCCCCAGAGGTGATGGCCGATAGGATCATCGATACAGGCAAACGTTGATTTGATTGAATCACTCAAGCGAAGGCAAAGCAACGAAATTTTGGCTCGGCCGAGTCAGGTACCAAACCAAATCTTCATATAGCCATGAATCGCCAATTTCCTTGACATGTCAACTTGGCCGAGTTCGGGGACCCCAATGGTGAAAGATCGATCTACAATGGGAAGAAAAAAAAGAACCAAAAAAAACATCGCCCTTCATTTTGTGCCATCGGGTCCATGGCTGGGTATCAAAGAGTAAAACAGTAGTAGGCATGAAGAAAGGAAGAGAGTGAACATGAAGGCAGTGTCAACCATATCGACTTTCATAGCGGACATGGCGGGGGCTGAGATGGTAGGACCCCTCAAACAGAAGTGATCAACCGCGGATTCACTCCTGTTAACTGAGTCTCTCCAGGAAGCCCTGTGCGATCAGTCGCTCAACATCGCCTTGTCGGACATAGAGCTGGCTGTTTTTCGTCAAATTGATTACACTGTCCATCAACCGTACCGTTAGCAGCCACAAAGAGACACCCGAGATTGACAGTGATTTTTGAAAACAAGACAACAGGACATACCCATATTCCGTCTGAATCTCCCCAGCATCCTTCAAAACACGGACGTCAATAAACAGATCTTTTGGTGGCTCCAATGTCCCCGTCAAATCCACATCGGTCCATTGGCCCTTGTATGCAGCCAGCATATCACTGTATAGTCGAAAGTACTCCTCTTCTTCGGGACTAAGCGAGCTATGTCCGCCCGCGGACTGCGACACGCCCCGATCTTCGCTTCCATCGCTGGGTTGTTGCTGCTCCAACACATCCACCCCCGTCCAGCAAAGCTCTTCCAGCTTCTCTGTGCGTACACGGTGGTACGCCATCAGGCAGCGCTTGTTCCGTCGCATGCAGAGATGATCGACTAAGAGTGAACAGGCAGTGGCAGGGTCGGCCGAGGGATTGAAGGAGCCCTCAAAGGGGTCTAGAAGTCGAGCGACATCGCGGTCGAGATCTCGAACTTCTCGGGTCACAGCGCGGACAATCTCTGTCTGATATGGTGGTAACTGGGCGAGCGCTTGGGTGCGTTTCGCATGTTGAACCTTTTGCGAAAAAAATTAGCTTGATTGGTATCGATGTTTGAAGCTAATCACTTGGGAGAAAGACCATAGATATTTATCAAGGCCGCATATTTGTACCCCGCTGCAAACATACCAATTTATTGCCAAGCTCGCCGTACATAGTCACCACACGATCAGGGTCGTCGATGGTCCAGCGAGGGACGCGACTCCGCGGATAGTCCATCGCGTGCCAAGCAATTCGCCTTAGTCAGGTGGGTACGTCACGGGCTTCCAGTCGGCGGGATCGACGGGATAAGTCACTGATTGAGTTGGTCTGCGATAAAGCATCAAGTGCAAATATCAAGCTATGGGCGACTGGATAAAGTAGATGAACCTGGGGATGGTGGAAAAAAGTTGAAAATGGGAGTGTGCGAGATCATCCAGAATATTGGACGTTTGGGCAATATCTTAGCAATGGCAGTTCAATGCACGCAGTAAGAGCCACAATTAGAAAGGCTTGTATCTGTCTACCTCAAAGTGCGAGCTGGTCCATCCATGATGGCTCCATAGATGCTTCCTACAATAGTGCCTACTCTTTGGATGATCTAATGGGGCTGACCTGTTCTTCAACTAAACAGAACCCATCTGTGCTGTCTACCAAGAACAACCCATTAAAGGACGGTACGTCTTGTTCCTGCAGATCTTTTTCGGATGTTTACTCAGAGATGGATGGATGGGGGTTACTTACCATTTCATTGTACATTGTACACTGTACAGCCCGCGGCATCGATTGTCTTTGATGGCATCCCGGTGGCAGTGGGCATTAGGTGACGATCTCCGTGGAGGACTACCATGTAATCTGACACTTAGTGAGACTACACGAGGCACGTAGGTATTGATATATCCATGCAATCCACATGGAATGTCATACATATTATCGGTTTCCACCTGCAGTCAAGTATACGGTATAAGGTAACTTCGATCACACAAGAACTAGTGTCTGAAGATCTTTGCTACACTACGAGAGAATAGCAACTCCATACTCCCTAGGAATATATCGAAGTAGGTACGGTAGAAAATTCCATCCATGTCCATATGCACGATTAAGCACTCAGATTCGACACAGGCTGTACCAGATACCTAGTAGCGTGTATATAATTATAGAGTGTACAGTTGTACATTCAACATTCCAGTACAATGATGTCATGAAATAAAGCAAGGTTGTATATATTCTTCTCCAGACTGTTTAAATATGTGTATCACTCATCTGCTCGTATAAACTAGACAGTAGAGCCCTCGGGACGCTTCAACTCAGTACCCGACTACCCGCTGACTGGATTGGCGATCCCGCACGCCTTTATCGATTCTAATACATGGAGCCGGGCGTGATTCATTGGAGGCGTCGGCGGATACACCTCGTCAATATGCAAGTACTGGCAGTCTTGGTGAAAGTTGAAGGTATTGGTACCTCATCAAGTCCCAATAAGATATGATCCAGTTCCATCCACCTATCTTCATCACTTTGTGTCCTGCTCTGCCCGAATCTTTAGCGTGGCTGCTGAGGTGGCGGGGGATTAGCAGGTTGGGCATCGTGGAACCGGTTGCCGTGGCAGGGATTCCCGGTGGAGGTGGGCTCTAGCCCCCAAAGGAGGAGACATAGTGTGAGGACAGAGATACGCCTCTCGTCAAGCAACGCTACTTTGTCCAGCCTTTCTAGAAGATTTCGCTCCTTCCCACGAACGTCATTTTTTCAGAGTGACAAGCACTTCGTTTCTGTCTCCCCGCATCTTTCCCTCTCTGCTGAGTATGTTCTGCCTTTGCTCCTCTCCTACTCCTCTTTTCGTCCTCTCCTCAATGTCTGCCTTATTGCAACGCACCATCGCCGACGGCATTCTAACTGCTTTCAGTAGTCTGTTGACAACCGGTCCAGCTCTCGAATCGGACTTTCACAGTGCTCGGTCATGAAAAGTTGAAGACGAACCAACTTCGGATATTGCCTTGCATCCTCAAGTCACCGGCTTCCCACCTCCGACTTGTATACGTTCTCTCCCTCCCGCGTCGACAAGAATGCGGGCCTCGTGGTGGATTGGAATCTGCGCTCTGTTCGCCCCATCGGTCACCTCAACCGAGACAGCAGCATTCTCAGAACCATACACGGTCGAATCGAATCGGCGTGCCTTTGAAGTGCTTCAACTACTCAAGCGAGCAGGCAACAACTGTCCGTGGGGATATACGCCTTGCACTAGTGAGGGGAATTCCAATGCTTGTTGCAGACCAGACACCAACTGCTCGGTCGATGCCGCCAACAACATAGCCTGCTGCCCCACGGGCGCCGTTTGCACAGGAACCTTGACCGGCGCCTCGACTGCCACCCAGACTGGTAGCAGCTTCATGTTCCCACATGGCGCGACCGCGACGACGACATCCAGCACGACCGCCCCGCATGGCGCCGCCGTCACCGGATCTATTGTTGCTGGGGCATATCCCTTTGTCTACGTACCGACCACCTTCCCCAACTCCGCAGTCTGCTCTTCGTACTACTCGCTCTGTCAGTCCGAATATACCCAATGCACCGCGAACCTCATGGGCCGCTACGGAGTGACGGTCGGCGGAGTGGGCGGAGCTGGTGTGACGGTGGAGGCCGTGACTGCGACCTCCCAGGCGACTTCCATCTGCTCGAGTCTCAGCCAACAAGCCTGCCATGGCCTTCAATTAAACTACTGCGCCAGTGTGGCGACCGGTGCCACTTCGGAGCCCAATGGGAATGGTGCGCTATTGGCGCAATCTACGAGTTTGTACGACTTGATGGCGGGCGTGATGGTTGGCATCGCCGCTGTCTTTATCTGATTGATGTTGTTTATGACTTGATGTGGACGATCATTCTTGCTAAATCCTCTTTGCTTTTCCGTCGTTTTGTGGCCGCTGTATATTTGTCCACCCCTCTTGACCATCTTCATGTTTATGTTTCACGCCATTGTTGCCCTGCCTTCAAAGTGAATGAGAGTCTCGAGCACAGAATGACTCATTATATCACACCGTATTTTCGGAACCCTTAACCCTTGACCAAAGACCCGCACTCATGCAGCAAGCAGAAACTGAATGCAAAGTACACTGTTGGGGTCCACCCATTTCATCCACACGCTTGTATGTTTCTAGTTTTTAGACTTGCGAATCAGGTGTAATCTACCGTACCTACATCATCGGGCTGCAACAGCATGACCCGGATTCAGGACAGGAACCAGTTTGACATGGAACAGACATAGACACCAATTACGCTCAACGAGAGTAGCAGATTGCAGAACTGTCTCACCTGGTATTCGGCCTTCATGAGGAGAGTCAAGGATTTTCATAACTCAATCCATCAAGGTATTCATAGTGACTGGCTGAGAAAATATCCGATCGCATCCGCATGTTGATCGCGGCCACGAGGCGGGGCAGCTGGCCGCTGCCCAGATCGCTTTTGACCAGCCCAAAGATCGACAAAGTACTGTAGTCGAGTCACACTAGTGCTACAGCACGGGAATCAAGGTCCTGCTGGCGGTCAGGCATCAGACGCTAGTCGAAATCAAGAGACGAGAATTCCAAGCCATTTCAAGATTGGATCGTAAGACAAAAATCAGACGTAGGTGGGAAAGATCATTGGTCGTGTAAATTCGGGTGGTTGGGTTGACGACTGGTGTGTACAACGAGGAGGCTGGGAATAGACTCGACCTGCCCAGCAACGCGTTCCCGTCTGCTGCAGTGCTTGATTTCCCCTCGTCTTCGTTCCTCTGTCGACAGAACCCTCTCTTTCTCTCACATTCCCCTTTCTGTACCATTGGACCATTTACTATCTTGACCACGCTGCTAGACACATTCTTCGTGCTTTGCGACTGTGGTGAATTACTGGGGTGAACCTGGTAGTTCCATAAGTGTATACAGTATACACCCGGCACAGCACCCCACTTCGACCAGCAAGTATCGAGGTAACTCGCATTCCCGACAAAGGCGATTAACTTGACTCGCCTTGATAACACCGAGAACATTCCTCGAACAAAATCTACATTCTGCCTGACGCGGAATCAAGCTTAAGCTATGCAACTCTTATCGAAGGCCTCAGCCCCGGCAACGCTCGTCGGCCTCCTCCATCTTGCCGCCATTGCAAACGCGGGACCGTTCGCTTTCGTGGAGAATGTTTTCGAGAGATCATGTGCGAATCCTTGTGGATGGAATCGACAGCTTTGCTGCAGTGCTAGTCAAGCTTGCTCTACCAACGCTGCCAACCAAGCAGTGTGTGTGGATGGCGCTGGTTCCGGCGGCGGATCATGGCAATACTTTACGACAACCGAAGTTGACCAGTCAACCATCACCACTATTTACAGCAGCTGGGTGCAGGCACCGGCACCTACTGCGACCTCCACAGGCACTTGTAGGCTCGGCCTCGGCGAGTCAACATGCGGGTCCATTTGTTGTGACGCCGCACAGGAATGTGTGGATGGTGAGTGTGTCACCGCCAGCTCGTCAGTCGCGGTGACTGGAGCTGAGGCCACTCCCGGTGTTCGAGCAACCAGCAGCGGGGAGAGCACCGTTACTCAGACCGTTGCCCCCACTACTACACAAGGATTCATCGCCCCCGTCGGTACTGACGGTGCAGATCTGATCGGGGTCAAGGCCGCCGGCAGCAGTGGGTTGAGCGGCGGTGCGATCGCCGGTATTGTGATCGGTTCAATTGTCGGTGTCATACTTCTCCTCCTACTGTGCGGCTGTCTATGTTTCCGCGGGGTCCTGGAAGGTCTCCTTGCGGCATTGGGACTTCGCAAGCGTCGCAGACGTGAGACTTCAGTTGTCGAGGAGCGATACTCCCACCACTCCCATGGCAGCCGACCTCCGCCCGCCAAACGCACATGGTTCGGAGCGAAGCCTGCAGTTGAAGGTACTGAAAGCGAGGTGGGCGAGAAAAAGTCCAAGTTCAGCTGGGCCAAGATCGCTATTATTCTTGGAGCGCTAGCCCTATGCCTCGGATTGAAGCGACGCAAGGACCAAGACGACGATGATGCCAAGACGGACTACACCTACCCAAGCTCCTATTACTATTATTCGGATTACACACAGAGTGAGTCATCTGCCCCCATTGACCTTTTCCGCTCGCGCCGCAATTCCATAACTAATAATCTTAATAGGCAGTCAAAGCTCTGGTGGACGCACAAGAGACACACGGCGATCTCGCCAATCCCGGAGAAGCTCAAGGCGCTGAGGGGCACACAGGCAATGAGGCGATGTGCATTTCAAGGTCATGGCTGCAGCTTGGGCCTTTGAAGATTGTCTGATTTTATTTTTGAAAACGTTGAACTCACGCCATATATGCATGGGAATGGCGCAGGCTGGCGATGTTGAGATGATTTCACCATATCATGATGACTGATGTACCATTATGACTTATTGACTTTTGACGAGAATATGCCTTTTGTTTGAATATTGGATATTGGACCTTTAACTTGTTTCTTTACATACGAATGGGATGAGCCCATAATTTGAATCGATTTCCTAGACCTGATGACTGGGGACAGTCCAGGTATTACTGTCAGCAAGACCAATATCAACATTAATGTAGGTACGAACCAAGAGCACCCATACACTGGGCACAGTGGGTAGTGGTACAGTTTATTGGCGTTGTCCTCTGGACAGACGAGCTGGCTTGAAGAAAATTGTGAATCAGAAGGGGCAAGAAATACGAGAGGTCCAGCATGAAACCTCAAACTACAAAGAACAGATAAATTCCCTATTTTGTATGTAATTGCCCATTGCTTGAGAGGCTCGGCCAACCCGCATGGTGGGTGAGTTGGACACTCAGAGCGCCCAATTCTAGAATTTCCATCTGTTATGGTGACAGGTGGCTTCATTGGTTCCCTAGCAAGGATCGTGTAAGTCCAAACTGGTCGTCTGGCCTACTGACACCTTCGGAGGGTAGTGTTTTCTGCAAAATTGGAGAAGAGCAACGATCTACGATACGCCGCCGCCTCTCTCTCTAACACACACACAAACGCTGAGTGGATCTCACTGGCCCGGCCATTTCTCCCCGCCTTTCCGACCCGAACTCCTCTCCCTCTTCATCTCCCTCCCTCTTCAACCGTCCACGCCCTATTACCAGTACCGTATCTCACCACAACAACCGATCAATGAACCTTGTCCAGAGGCAACGCCTTCGACACTGCCTCTGTCTCAATAAATTCGTGCGAAAGTTGTCCTCAGCGTTGTGATTCATCCGCCGATCCTGACCCTTTCGGAGTTATTACGAAACCTGACCTCCGAGTCATCGCCGCTCGCCATGCTACAAGCGCAGAGCCAGCACGTCTTCTCCCACCAGCACCAGTATCCTCAGGCTGATCCTACGTGGCTGCAGCACCAGCAGCAGCAACAGCAACAGCAGCAACAGCAGCATCACCAGGCACAGCAACATCCTCAACATCAGCACCAGCAGCAGCACGCCTCGCTGGTCGCCCAACAGCACGCCCAGGTCCAAGCCGCTGCCGCCGCCGCGCAACAACAGCAACACTATGGCCGTCTTGCAATGAATGGCAACGGCGCCTCGAACTCTGTGCAAAGCGCCGGCGCTGTTGGCAATATAGGCGGTGAAGGTCTTGCAAATGCGGTCTCGGTCATGGATGGCGGTGTCAGCGAGGAGAATCGAAAAGTTTTCATTTGGGTCGCAGAGCTGCTGGACCCTGCTCGTCGCGAGTCTGCTTTGATGGAGCTCAGTAAGAAGCGAGAGCAAGTGCCTGAATTGGCCCTTGTCATTTGGCACTCTTTTGGTATGATCCTGCCTGTGACACGGAGTGGGCTTTCTTTCCGACCGGGACTAACCAACCAACGCCATTTTCGCAGGCGTTATGACTGCTCTTCTCCAGGAGATCATCTCTGTTTACCCTCTTTTGAACCCATCACAATTGACAGCGGCGGCTTCGAATCGAGTTTGCAATGCGCTTGCGCTTTTGCAATGTGTCGCATCCCATAACGAGACCAGAACTCTTTTTCTGAATGGTAAGCCAGAACTTTTCACATTGCCAGCCCGGACCAGCCTCGCTAATGCCACTTCTCATTTTCATTCGCACAGCGCATATCCCTCTTTTCCTCTATCCTTTCTTGAACACCACTTCGAAATCGCGGCCATTTGAATACCTCCGCCTCACGTCCTTAGGCGTGATTGGTGCGCTGGTGAAGAATGATTCATCAGACGTGATCAACTTCCTCCTCACCACTGAGATAATCCCACTGTGTCTTCGAATTATGGAGACTGGCTCTGAGCTGAGCAAGACGGTTGCTATCTTTATTGTGCAGAAAATTCTTCTAGATGATATTGGTCTGGCCTACATTTGTGCCACCTATGAGCGATTCTATGCCGTGGGAACTGTTCTCAGCAACATGGTCACTCAATTGGTCGAGCAGCAGACAGTTCGGCTTCTCAAGCATGTCGTTCGCTGCTTCCTCCGGTAAGTCTGATTCACTTGTCCAATCTATATGTCATTCGCCTGCTGACAACCAGTAATAGTCTCAGTGATAACAGTCGAGCTCGCGAGGCCCTAAGGCAATGTCTGCCTGAGCCCCTCCGAGACTCCACCTTCTCCTCCGTCCTTCGTGACGATGCAGCCACCAAGCGCTGTCTTGCCCAGCTCCTGATCAACCTGTCCGACAACTCTTCCGATGGAGCCTCGGCAGCTATGTAAAACATGAAAATTGCTTTCTGTTTCTACGCGAACTATCTTCCTTATTCACACGTCACGATATGCATGGGAAAGGGTTTCAGGCGAGCATCGGTCACACATACACAGGCGCAAAAGTTCCCATCAATCTGCATCCCATCGACAAAGCCAGATTGTTGCCGGTGATCGATTCAGATTGATTGATATCAACTTCTTTCTTCCTTTTGCTTTTTATGATTTACTGTGCGTTGCCTTCTCCTGGGATTTCCTCTGGCTTTGGTTGATTTTGATTTGGTACGAGGGCCTTCATGTAGTCGTACGTCCTTCATGCCTCTGTTCTTTTTTTTTTGGGCATCTTACCCCTCACCTTCTGCGATTCATAATCTTTGCGTCTGCTTTTCTATTCTCTTTACTCATCGTGGCGCTAACAGTCGGGCGGCGTGGGAGATTCATATTGGCGCTGTCGTTGCATTACTCTTGTTTCCTGACGGCCCTGCAAACTATTGCTCCATGAGATAGACATTTGAGCCCGAGATACCATGAATCAGTTCATTTCTGTGTTGTCGTTTACCTCTCTGTCCACCCCTGATTGGTTTCATCTCGCTTTTTTCTCTTGTATATCGATGCGCAAATGTATGTTGACTTTACTGAAATTGACCATACTTCGAAATGAGGCCTCAAAGTGGGCCATGTTTGGATCTTCTGCAAACATCAGCTGTTTTGTGCAAGAAGCACGTTTGTTTTCCTTGGGAATCAAGCGTGGACACCCATCGTGGCCTTCGATATGTGGTAAGAGCCCGGCAACATGCACCACTAGTACGATCGGGCACTATTGAGTTAGCGCTCACTTGACCAGCGCAAACGCGATTGTCACGTGTCACGTGACGTAACCATCTTGACGCGCCTCCCGCATTACCTTTCCTCATCGACTCTCGACGCAGATGACGGGAAAAAAAAAGAAAGTGTCGCCTTACTTCACTGTTCTTGTTCCCATTTATTGCTTTTCAGGTCCAAGATTGCTCCGATTACACAAACTACATTCAAGCCCTTTGCGCACAGTCTATCCATTTCTCTGTCGTATCTTCTTTGCGAAACATTCGGCTCTGACGGCCTTGTCCCGCCGCGATGGCACCGCGAAAGCGCAGCCGTTCGGAGGCGATCGATGCTTCCGAGGCGCAGAACAACGAAGCACCGGGCCTGCTCCAGCAACTTCGGAGTAGTTGGCAATTTGCCAATGTGATGCAATACATCCATATTTTTGGAAAGCTCATGAAAATAGATGAAGACTTTGGGATTGAGGTACGTGGAGGCTCGCCTTGCTCGCAGTAGTATTTGGAGGCGCAAAATGCGCGTCGCTTGTCTCTTGTTGCTGCGGTCTTACTTGATTTCTGTCGCACTTTAGTGGCGCTTGACTCTGACTTGAACTGTCTATTTCAGGATCTCGAAGATGAATGTCTTAAGCCCGAACCCTCCTACAAGCTACTCGAGATTGGACTGTGCTTGCTAAAATGGGTGTCGTCACACCGCGGTCTAACGTGAGTGAGAACGGTTGCAATGTTGTCTCGCGAACAGACCAATGCAGGATCTAATAAACTGCCATAGTGCCGAAAATTTTGACGAATACACAAGACGCCAATATAACGCGAAAGCTCCCCATTTGCCCAATCCCTTCGGCTACGATGAGACGCCGCTTCGATTCCTCGACTTTGATGTATTCACAAAGCTCAGCGTGTTGCAGCAGTTGTCCGTCTGGACATTTTGGAATCCAGATCGTATCCGGGAAAAAATGCCGGAGAAGAAAGACTTGGAGCAATTGGAATGGGTACGTCAGTCGTGAGAAACCGGATCAGCTCATTTATTTAGCTGTGGTTGCTGACAGGGACCAGCGCATCGAAGAATTCGGATATGATCAAGATGGCCGATCCTATTACGTGCTCGACGACAATCGCCTGTACCGTCGAACGGATCCTCCCATTCCTGCGCACCAGCGACCAAAGAAAAAGGCTAAAGCCAGAACCTCACGGGGATCCCGCGCTTCGAAGCGTTTCTCCGCCGCGGCCGCGGAGGACGCATCTGACGAAGAGCAACCTGATGGGAAAGAAGCAGACGTTTTCCCCAACTTCAAATGGGAGTGTGTCGCCGTGACTCTTTCGGAATACAATTCCTTCCTGGATACAATTCGCAAGAGCAAAGATGCGGATGACAAGTACCTGCGCAGTCAGATCGAAGAACACATTCTGCCCTTGCTGGAAAAGGCAGAGGAGGCTCAACAAAGAAAGCGGATCAAGCGGGAGAAGGAGCTCCAACAAATGCAGCTGCTTGCTGGGGCAAAGCGATCAAGCCGGCTTGCTGCCAAGGAAGAAAGGGAACGTGCCGATCGCGAGGCCGCGGAGGCGGCTCGCAAGAAGGAAGCCGACTTGGCCGAGGCTCGAAAGGAGCAGGCCCGGCAGAAGCAGATGGAGGAAGAGCGCAAGTCCAGGATGATGACCAGAGAACAACGCATCAAGGATCGTGAGCACAAGCGAGTTCTACATGAAGCCGAGCTTGAGCGTCTGGCAAGCGAACAGGAGAAGCTGGAACGTGGCGAGGGTCGGGTCTCTGCTCGGCACCTTAAGGCTGAAATGGAGCGGTCACAACGGAATTTGGAAGACTTAACGGAGGAAGATCAGTGGATCTTCGACTGCTCAGGTTGTGGCATTCATGGCGAGAATCTGGTAGGTCATTTCATGCTCGAGAGATGCGATCTTTACACGGCTCTAATTCTATGACCTAGGATGACGGAAGCCACAGCGTCGCATGTGAGAAGTGCAACGTCTGGCAACACAGCAAGTGTCTCGGTATTAAAAAAGACGATGCCGAAAAGGAGGACTTCCATTTTGTCTGCGCCGACTGCAAGCAGAAGGAGGAGGAAGCCAATCGTCCCAAACTCCCGCCCTTGAAGTTCCGTGTCAGCACGACCCCGTCGCCTTCGGGGACAGTGAAGGAACCTCGGCTTGAGGACGAACGGCAAATTATGTCTTCTCCCACGAAACAAAGCTACCATGTTTCGCCGAGAAATCAACATGGGTCATTTGGAGCCCCTGATTTCCAACCCGGACTGCCCTCACTTGCTGCTCAGAATCTATCCTCCACTCACAGACACCAAGAAGCTCACCTTCCTTCCTCGCCTCAGCGTCTCCCACAGCCTAGAGCAGATTCTCATTTGCCTTCATCCAGCCCTCCTCGGCCACCTTTCTCACCTTCGAGGGGTTCAAATGGTGCAGCTCACTCTTCACCAAGGAAGCCTTCCCTGTTCGAGTCGGGATCTGGCCTGCATGCCTTGCCTCCCATGCAGCCAGGACCTCGTCTACCTTCCCTGGGGTCTTTCCATTCTGGTCGACCCTCATCCTCTCAGTCTGGGTATGGTCCAGCGTCAAATCATCCAGCGATGTCGCCCTCACAAGGGAACCACGACGTGGGGCGTCTCGCCGGCGTTCCGTCGGGTGCTTCGGCGACTGGACCTACACAGTGGTCGTCGTTCGATAGTCACGCTACGCCGCGACCACAATCTGGCTACGGTGGTGGGAACCACGCCATGGCCAGCCATTACCCTTCCTTTTCATCCGCCGCTACTCCGAATGGGAACAACTCCTCTCCTCCACGCACTTCGCATGGAATGGGCATGTCTGGGATCAGCCCAACAAAGCAATCTCCTCGGCCCATCACCGCAGGCGGGATGGCTGGAGCGCCAGTTTTACCTCCAATCCGCAGATTGGAGCCTAGTCCAAAATTGATGGGCCGCAGCTCTCCGGATGCACCGATTCCAGCTCCCATGAAATGCATGACGCCAGAGCAAGAGGAGCGTCGTCAGCGAGAGAATGCGTCTCTAATCAACAATGGGCAGGCATTTCCGGCCAGCGGCCAGGCCCACCCCATGTCGTCTCCATCGTTGAGTCGAGTCCCGCCTCTGGGCCCTGTTGGCCATACACAGCATCATCCGGAGGCAATGTCGCCATCGGGAGATGGTGATCACAGCGGGGGTAACTAATTTCGAACAACGACCTCGAAGAGGCCTTTCCCCAGTATTTGCAGGTTGTTCCACCAGAAGTTCCTCAATATCTGTGGGATCAGTGAAGACTCTCCTGTCGATTGACGTCGAATTTGGCTTTAAGACAATCGCCGGTCGACATGAATCATACACGACTCGTATGGTCCCGGAGTTGTTATCCCCCTCGCGCCTTGGCTGCGGTCGATTCAGTCCAGATCGAGCCTAGGATGACCATGAGGGATGACTTGCATCATAAAGGACTGAAACTGAAGGGCGGTCGATATTAGGCCAGCTGCAAGTAGACATATCAACCTTTGATCATCCGATCGCATTTGTCGCCGTGGCTGTACATCACAACCTCGTGAGGGAAAGGAGACAAGAAGTGGTAAAACCCGCGTTTGTGACAAGACCGATTATCCTCACTCTACGGAAAGGATGATCATTGCTGATTTCAATGATTTTGCTCATGTTTCATTTGACATTTTCATCACTGACTGGGATTGCATTGGGGTGGTTTGGGCATGAGTGAAGGGCGTTTTAGAAGGGAACGGTCTGCGGTGACTGTTATGTCTGCATTGTCTGATGGAAAGGAGTAATGGCCCCCTAGGTCTTTGATGATTGATACTGGCTTTGAAGAATGCTCTTTTCTGGTCTCAGTCCCTAGACTGTAAATGTTTTTGCTTCCTTGTTCACCTGTGATGCAAGTCTATAAGGTGTCGAAGCTTTGTACTTTTCTAGACGCCTGTTGGGTTCCTCGGGCTCTCTCCAGTCCATCCAAATAGCCAGGAATGCTTTCCCTTTCAAACATTGACCCTTCGTGAAGTGGCATTGTGTTTAATTCAAAGTAGTCCACCCACACAGATCTCACAATGATGCAATAGCATTGCACCACCCATTGTCAGGTGACGCCTGATCACTTATTTGAGGTTAAGCATGTCAGCAACCACCTCAATCGCCGGAAGCGCATTATCAAGAATCAAACCCTGTCAGTCCTTAATTTGCAATTTTGCATGATAAGTGCCAAGTAAAAAGGGGGGTGGGGGAAAAAAAAGAAGAATTGTCCAACTCCATCCTGCAGTAGACGGTCAGAAGATAATCTTAATCCACTGGACTATAGCTCAGCAAGCCCGAGTTTTACCTGTCGCCTGCATAAATTAATTCCCACCTCCGTATATTGATCTTCCGTATGCACCACCCTCAATCAGGCCTGGGCATGTATACTTACTGGGTTTGGCCAGTGTTCGATTAACGGCTAGCTCTTCATGAAAGGGGCGCCTGCCATCTTCGCCATGTTGACGTGATGGCGCACCCTCAAGCTCCCGACCTCATTCCTCCTGCTCGCAGAAAAACCAAAGTGAAGCGCTGTGTGTCTTTTCTATCAGTCATGCACTTGGTCGCCCTGGTGTGTCTACCTACTGTCCTACCTGGCACCTGCGACTTGTACGCCTTGGCATAAGGCTACCTCCAGCTAGTCGCAATCGTATCTTTGGGCCCGAGAGTGTTTACCCCGATGCGGCAAGGATACCCCCCTATCTTGTTCGTCCCGTCTACTCCAGTCACTGGACGAGCAAGGGGAAACAAACAATATAGAAAAAAAAAAAAATATCTAACCGTGGCCAATGATGTTGAACCAACATTGAACAGACGCGGTGCCGGGATGACGAGTGCAGTCTGAGGTCTGAGCACGTTGTATTGGAAGGTTAGGCTTTTCCGATGTTCCATGGGTAATGTCACTTTCATAACTCATCACGTTGTGCGCTAAGCGGGCAGTGGTAGGAGTCTATTTATTACAGTAGTTTAGTAGTCTCTTCTTGATGGAGAGAGTAGAACCTGGAGCGTGAGCTTCTCCCGTACTCGAGTCATACGAGAGATTCTATTCCATAGCGAAGAATGGAGGTAACATCTATTGCGTACTTCAGACTCAACTACTCGTGACTCTCTTATGTAGGTATCGCGTAACCTTGATCAATCATGTCGAGATGATTTTGCGCCCAGTAGTAGAACTAGACGCCCTCGGTCATGTGCATAAAATTGTTGTGCTGATCGCCGAGCTTGGCCCAGGCTTGACACCTACCATTCCTAGACATGGCCTACGTGGAAACATGTTGTCGAGATCAGCGTTCAATTGATGTGTATTCTCGTATCACGACAGTCACTTCCACGTCTTCCATTATGGAGCAAGTATGAATTTTTACGTGGTGGTCATCCATATCCAGTTGGCTCCATAACTTTCGTCTTCGCCTAGCCCCCGATCTGCCGTTTCACTGAGATACTCATCATGGTCCTACTGATGCGAAGGCTATGTTCAGTACATTACACTGTAGTTGTACTTCCCGGCCCGGACTCGATTAGGTGGAAGGTGTATTGAGGCCTGACAAGAGATATCCCATCCACTGACAGCACAAGAGGTATGCCCTTATATCCGAAGGCCAATGCAATAAATCCGACTTGGACCCTCTCGAGCAGTTGTGCCGCCCGTTGACACACCACTACCTAACAACTACTAGTTAGTAGCACTTGGAAGTTGGACCTACTAAACTAGTGCACCAGCTGGCGTTGGGCACAACTTTAATTAAAATGACTCCCTCCCCCGGCCCAAAAAGTCCGTACAGCAAGCAGGTTTGCTTCATTTCAAACCAATGAACGGGCTTGGCCTCACGCACATCGGCTGTGCTTCCCGGGTACCGTAGGCAATCCTGTACTTTTGGACTTTAGACGACGATTAGCGTCCCCCTGGTTCGTAGGACCTGAGAACAGGGCTAGAGTCGGGAGCGCCAGACCGGATGAATTCTGCTTGAATCAGTCAAAGTCACGGCTCGTTTGAGAGTAGAAATGGAGAGCCCCAAATAAACTGAGGTGCATCCTGTTCATACTCATAGTACTTGGGGACCATTTTTCTTTTCTTGCTCCTGCGTTAAACCGTGCTGTGAGGGTGCTTGTAGGTCGGGAGATGAACCACGCAGATCGGCTAAATTCAACGAATCAGAAGAACACTTAATCGGCCAAGTGGTTCTTGTTCGGTCATCCAGTCCCTCCGCTGGCTGGATGTTCTGGACCTTGACGCGGAGCCTATTCACTCTTCTTTTTGAGGAGGGGGAGGTCCAGGACGCTGGGTCTCCATGCCTACATCTGCCTCTTGGTAAGAACTCTATAAGAAATATGGTCCGGATAGAGACGGGGCGAATAGCTCCAGAACCTCATATCCGTCACCACTTGTATGAGGACGAAAGGGTGTCAAGTTCAACGCATGACGGACTCACTGCGAAAAAGGCAAGCCGCGGCTCAACGTGCGGGCCGCAAGCGTGATTCGCGGGAAAAACAAGCGGGCCACTGCAAGAACAAGCGTGCAGACTACAGTGGAAGCCTAGTGGTAGTATGGTAGAAGGTATCAAGGTAGTGCCGTCCCTGGCGGTACATACATTGGTTCCAGAGCCGAGGAACGCTCGAGTTCAGCATAGAATGCAGTAGACTGTAGAGTGCGTCTCACACGCAAGGTAGTATTGTACCACGGACAGTTACAACCTGATCATATGCGTGTTGTTGCCTCGCGAGGCAAAAGGCCCGGGGAGAAATGAAAAAGCATCGAAGATCCTGTGGATCCCCTATAGTTCGGTATGAGCACTTCGGTCGGGTTTGGGAGGAAAGGGAACAAATCAGGAGTCCTAGTGCAGGAAAGCAACAATCTCACAATCTCCGAATCTCCGACTCTCCGAATCTCCGAGATCAGAAGACGATGAACGGAATGAGACAGACAAATCCAAATGGGGTCATCAGTCTTTTTCCTTTCCTTGGCTGCCTCTCCCGCTGACTCTCGATCCCCTCCGGCAGTGTCCAAGTCCCAAGGAGACGATGCTCAGTCTGCTCACGACGACGGGCTTTGCAAGCGCCTGCGTCTCGAGGTTGACTATGCCATCAGAACTCATGAAACCCCAGACTGACGTACTGTTAGAGTTTGCGACCAAACTCTAACCCTCTGTCCCGTCGGCGTCTCCGCATCAATTAATCAAATCTGGTACGGCTGGGTGTGTTGGACGACCAGCACAGCTATCTCGAACGTGCTCGGAGTCCGATGAACCAACGTACTCGACTGGTTGCAGAAACGAAGAATCGATCAAAATCTCTCGTCCAAGAAGAGTTGTCCCAGGAGGTCTTTCCAGGTGAAAAGGTCGTGAAGTCATTGCAATAAAGTCACAACTGACTATTGATTGATCATCTCCACTTGGGATCGATTTTCATCTCCCGCGCTCCACAGACCATCGGCGCAAGCCGCGCAACTCTCAGTAGTTCGGCTACGGCCTGTGCCGTGCCAGACTAAGTTTCGAGAACTGGTGTTTTGCGTCACGCCGCTCCCATGGGAGCTTGCGGCTGGATTGTGCTGATTCGCGCAGACCCAGCCTTTGCACTGGTCACCTAGACATTTGCAGGCTTCTTGTCCAATGATTCTGATGTGAAAAGAGTTCAAGGCTCTTAGCGCCTACCACCGGCTTCTGACAAGCGTGTAAAAGCTTCGTCACAGTCCCAGTGCAGTCTCGACGACTCAACATTCCTGTGATACGGTGTTGCTCAGCGCAAAAATCCATGGCAGATGACGGCCTCTCTGGCTGTTTGGGTTTGTTGAATGTCTTGATATCCTAAACTACGGCCGATTGTCGGTGGTGTTCGAGACCTGGCCCTCGATTCTCACGACTCCTGGCGGGTCAAGACTGGACAAGTTCCCACAAGGTCGGGACGGCAGCAGTTGTTTGTCGACGAACAAGACGGGATTTGCAAAAGCTCTCGTCCTCGATGGCTGTCACTGACTAGAGGCCTTCCCTTGCCCATTTCTCGCCTTCACCCTCTCCGCTCGGTATTCCTAACCGATGGCCCGAGGCCAGGCGCTTTACAAAAGCAGCAATGAGTGGAGCAAGTAATTTCGTCGAGGACAATCACATTCAAGGCTAAGTCGTAGTTGAAATCAACGGTTGGATAGCGAGCACCAGATGATTCTGGGCCCTGAAACCCCGCCCGTCTGTAGTTTGATTGTCTAGGTCGAGATTGCAGTCAATGACTCTCATTCGCAAGCATGCCACACCGGTGTGCTATCTCGAGGTAAGTCCCGCCAAAGGGTAGACGATCTTTCGAGTTTCGACGAAATCCGGTTTCGCTCAGGACATCCCAGGTTGATCCAGCAGTGTTTTCCCCACGCTGTGGTACACTGGGGCAATTTAGATCAAACTGGCGCGAGTCCCATCGTGGGTCACATCGCCAAATCAATCACGGCATTTCCACTGCAGAGCCAAACATTAGTGCTCAGCAAATTCATCTTCTCCACAACGAAGATGCCAGATGCGCAAGCATACTATTGAGTGTACAGCACGTCAATAGACTTAAGAAGAGTAGTATTGGAGTTCTGGAGAGAGATGGATCTTACTGATCGACCACAGACCACGGTCAGTCAATCTGGTGTTCATCGGTCACGAAGGCTGTCGGGGAGACTTGATCACAATAGGCTCGAAGGAGAAGCCTTCGGCCTTCGTTGTGGCCAGTACAAAAATGGATTCACTTCGCTCAACAGCGGAGCAAGCAGTTGCTGCCCCCGAAACTGAACGGGAACGGGGATCAGTCACACGCAGAAGCGCAAAGTATGAGTAACAGCCATGGCGTTTTGTCTTCATCGTGGAGCCAGGAACTGTCATGGACATTGTCAGTTCGGATCACCAAGCACATGACCGCACGGCGATGCGCCCCGGCTCATCGAGACTGGGGGTGGGGGTCCACTTCCAGGGCACCGATAGGAGGTGGCAACTTCACATATCAGACCGTGTGGAGAGTGACATCTCCGCCAGTGATATCCTTGAATAGTAATTCAGACCAAGACAGGGGGTTCATGAGCGGCTTGGCAAGAGGAGGGAAAGAGAGAGAGAGAGGGAGGGAGGGAGGGAGAGAGATAGGGTTTCGACGTTCTATACAACAGGTCTGACGATTGACCCAATTAATCAAAATGGATGATTGCTCATCATGACGAAAGCGCAGGCCGAACACTTTCCCATGAGCACTACCAAAGGTCCACAGGTTGTCCCATCGTGGACAGAAATTAATCCAGTTGGCAGTCACAATGCTGGCTGATGCCATGGTCGGGTCTGGGTTGCAAGGCGGGGGCTTGACTCTTCGAGGAAAGTTGCTTATGTTCCCAGGAGTTTGATCGAAGAGAAAGGGGCAGGACGGGATGAGGACTGGGGGATGAGGCGCCTGGCCTGCCTAGTGTACAGTGTACACTCCCTACAGTAGTGCGACTTACACAGAGGCGTGACTCTTGTACTCCAGACTGGGCACCACTACTATCTAGGACCTCGTTCGTGCCTCTCTGCATGACATTCGTAATACTCAACACGCGGTGAAACCACGGTAGACATCAAGCAGCACACGACTCAATGTCCTCTTGAGCAATGCGATAGCATACACTCGGCCAAGCAGTCACCACGTGGATGGCCGCGTGGGAAAAAGACCCCCAGACAAGAACAATTCCAGGAGCAATTGTGTCGGGGACTCGGGGACCAAAGTCAATCTGTGAGCTCGTGGAGGGTCGGGGAGAGATATGAATGAAGAAGGCCCTGGGCAAAGCCGATGCTGGGATCCAACTATAGTTCCTCTCGGTCCATGTCCATGATCTGCCCGAGTGTAAGATCGGCACGAAGCACAGCCATCTCATTTGCTGAGCGTTGAAGGCTTGATTTTATGCGTGTCAAGTTGTTTTTCCATTGGCCACCGCGGAGCAAGATGGCACCTCTTGTTCCCGTGGAATTGGCCCGGTAACCACACCGCGAATAGTGGTACCTTGCCAGGATGAGCAAAAGGTCAAACGGTGACAGGGGGTGATTCAAGCTCTCCCCCCGGTCATTGATCCAGATACGGGTGGGAGGCTTGAGCCATTTCCTCTTCGAAGATGGTGCAGATGGGACAAGCGATGTGGCTGATTGGCTACTCAATGAGGCCAATGGAAAACGGCAGCTGCTGTTGGATGAGGTTTTGTTGGATGCCACAGAAGGAAAATCGCGTGGCAGTCCATGTAGATCCTTGAAGACCGTTTGTGGAGTCAGTTGCCTTCGTGAAGCTGATGCTGGCTGTCCACATTTTTGACTGTGCTCCGTCAGCCTCGAGTCATGTGCCCGGAAAGGCATGATTTGGTACAGGTCAGTGTGTCTCTCTCTACTCAAGCTTGAATGATCCGAGACGCAGTCGTATCTGCCAGGCCGTGTTCACGGCTCATGGCTTTCTGACGATGAGCACACACAAGCGGTCAGAGAAGCGGACGTCGCAGAGCCTGTGCTCACGGTGGCGCTTCGACGAGGTGCCCGACTTGATATCATTTCGGTCAATCAGGTTGGCAGAGAAAAACAAGGAATATTGAGCAAAAATTCTATTTCACGACATGGCATTTCTAAACACCAGGCCTCCTCGTTGGCCGGTATGCGTTATGTCCGGTTTGGAAGAGCATTGCTATGACTGGGGGTGCTTGGGTGTCTGGCAAGAGACGGCACATATTTCTCCCGGGCTTTCTTGAGCCATTGATGGTTGCCCCGTTCGATGGATCTTTCAGCAAATTTTCTCCACCATGAGAGCTTATCCGGCGAACTCTCGCGGAGTACTAGACTCCCAAGCACAGAGACCCACTGAGTCGACCGAGAGATCTTCACCGACTTCCTCGGTGCCCCTGCTCAGGGAGACGACCGACCCAAACTCGCTTCATGGCTCTCCGTACACGAGTCATTTCACATCAAGATAAGCTCCTGCTACTCCCAACAATTCACCAACTCTCACGTGGCGTTGATCTTCAGTCAGCTCAGGAAGACTCGTTTTTGGGTCAACTTTGATACGCACGTGGCAGACGGGAAGTGTCGTTCTGGACGAAAGTGGTTCATGCTCTACCCTTTGTCCTTCACTTCCAGGACTCAGCCTCATCTGGGGTTCGTATTCGTGGTCGACCCCTTGCAAAGCCCAAACTCCTGTAGCAAGAGCCGATGATACAACGTCCACGCAAGGTTGACTGCCGATATCTTTAGAAAATGTTCCCGGATAAGGAAGAGGTAAAGGAGCACTATTGACAGGACCAGAACTCACTGAGCATGCGAAACATCACTGAAGCCTAAAAATAACCCAGATTGGGGTCAACAGACCAGTGACACCCTAGAAGGGCGGTGTCAAAGACCCAAGACGCGCCACCATCAGGGCTCTCAGCTGTCAGCAAGGATACCAATATCTGGCGCTCATTACCACGAGGTGGTGGGGTTTTTTCTAGAAGACAAGGGAAGCCTCGATCCCCGCTACAGAGTTCCTGCAGGTGCGAGTCGTGGAGAGGCATACTCTTCCGTATCCGGTCGAGAGTTGTAGGATGGTGTTGGGAGGCACTCGACTGATGCGCAGCAGGAACTGTGGGGTCTAAAGTCTGAACCTTCTCCGGAGATCTCCCCGACGCAACGTAACTGGACCTCAATTTAGGCTTGAGCTTAAAGAGTGGAGCCCAAGGGCCCTCGCAAGTCTCCGAACTTCTTTCACGAAGAGACCTGTCGAGATACTCGGCTTCACAAGATTTGTCATGTCTAAAAACGAGATCTTTGTTGATTGTCTGGGGGTTACAGTTCCAGCATGGACGTCATCCTATCAGACACTGAGTAGGACACGAAATCGGGCAATGCTCGAACCCTTTTCGGCCTGGTCATGACTGAAAATCCACGAGGTTCATGCACGACTTGGCCCTTGGCGTGCAGCCTTTCCGGATTTGTCCAATTCTGACTACCACATGGCAATTGACCCATGTCACCCCATCTCTGCGCGTTTGTCTGAATACAAGCCACGAAGGTTGAAAAATCTCTGGAACCTATAGGAGGCTCTGAGCCCCTCTGTATGGGAATAACTATTTGGAATCATACCCATGGAGATCTGCAAATGAGAACCAAGGCTTGTGAGCAAGACTTCAAGCCATGGCAAAAACGTGGCAGGGCGTTCCTGCATCGATTGTCGGGGAGAAGGATGGAGACTGCCCATGACGGCACGGGCCCATGCCCTTGCAAGTGATCGTTGCACTCTGTAGGAGTCTGAGACGTGAGGCCTAATTTTTGTAGGTTCAATACCTAGCTCATTCGGGATTAGGACTAGGCCCAGCAACTCCGGTATCCGGTATCCTGAATGGCTCGTACACGCTGCCCAAAAAAGGAAATCAGACGGTGATGAAGGCCTTGGATACAAGGCTTTACCTACTGGCCGACTTACATAGGTATCATGACACGTCCGACGAACAGGTTGAGCCGAGCAGGCGACTGCTTCCCTTGATGACCGATTGTTGCTGTCGGCCTAATTTAGCTCCCGAACTGAATACGACTCCAGGTTCTCTCGGTGTGTATGGGTTAGTGGATGATACGAGAAGTCGCTCAACATGTATGGATAGCCCGTACCCGTGGCCGTGTGTCATCCAAGTCTGCTTGTTGTTCGCGCATACAAAACAGCATGGAATTCGTCCTCTGGCTCTTCGTTTAATATTGTCGAGTCCTCAGATCGATCAATCGTCCCAGTCTCTCTGGGATGGAATCTAACATGATGTGCCTGCTGGAGAGCCATACAATTATGGGATTCATCTCTCATGACCGGCGATGATGAAACAACGCCGAAAGTCTGATCTGAAGAAGTAAGTGTACATTGTACTCCAGTATACTTCCCTCCGTCGTAGAGATTAGATCACAACCAGTACTATCCAGCAGCCGCGACCAAAAGTGGACCCACTTCGCAATGACCTTCGAAGTTAGAAAGTCTATTCCCGAGATTGACCGAAGCTGTGCTCCACCATTGCACGGTGCACGAGAATCACCCACGCCGGGACCTGCTGGTGAGTGATTGTCCGGTACAGTGTACTCTCTCGCGATGACCAGGTCTAGCATGACATGCCCACTAGTCCTGATTCACGACGCTGAGGCAGCCGGCACTTCAGGTAGACTAATCCCTTTCCGGCAAGAGAACGAGTCATTCGGCCAGTCCAGCCTGGCCGGAAACAGCATCCTGGCTTCCGCCAGCCAATCATCGTCTCCGTGGCGCCACTCCCCCGCCAGAAGCTCTTCTCTGGTGGCGGCTGAGCGGAGATACCGTTGGAACGATCTTCCATGCGCACCGACCGGATACTCCACCGTCGGCTGCTCGACCTGCTTCAAATGTGCCCAGAAGCGCTCCAGGAAATCAGGTCTCTCTCTCTCGACCTCTGCGACCCACTTGCTTGACCCGTGTCGATCAGGAGAATCCTTCTCCACTGCCAGTACGTGCCGCTGCTGTCAGAATATCTTCGAAATACCCGCGGTCTCGCCCCTCCATGATTGTCCTCGGGATGTGCACGCCCCAGGGGAGACCCATGCCGCCCTCCCCGATACTGTTTACTTCTGCCAGTACACTCTGACTAGTAATTACACACTACACAAGCCTTCCCCTGTCACATTGGAGACTGATCTTTCCATTTCCATCCAACCACGCGAACTATTAATGAACCAAGTCTTTGGGTTATGGAGGTATTCGAGGCAATCCCATCCAATCACGACCACGATAGACTATCTCGATACCTTGTCCAGCATAATTGCCGCCCAATTGGGGCTATCAAGAGATTCGAGACTGCCTCGACGACCATACCAACCGTGGTCCTCTCATGACGGTGCAGTCATGACTTTCCTAGATGGGACTGTCTCTCAGAGATCAGAGACCCCGTGGATTCAGTAATGAATGATGATAATGCTGCTCGGTCTGACCAACGGCCTGTGGCCAAGAATCTCATGCTTCCTCGACCCGGGACGCGGACCAACACGCTGGTGAAATCCACAGCAAGAGCATCTCTTCTTGAGAGTAGCATGCCTGTTCTGTGAGAACAGGACCGGACACCGCTTTAGACCAATCTACCGTAGCTTGGTTCGTCTAAGCGTGACAGCCCTTGCAATGCCATGCAGACTGAGCCCGGGCCAGGTCGGCACTATCGAAATTGCTCCAATGTGTACTCTGACTTGAGCTCGCCCCACATCGACACCCGTGTAGGCTCTACGGTCGAGAGCCTATCCTACCCGCCTGGTATTATGAAGGCATTTACACTGGGACTCCCGTGCGTGGGTCCAAAAAGACTTCTGAAATCTAGGAAGGAAGAAATGCAAAAAAAGAAAAAGAAAAGAAAAGAAAGAGAGGTCAACATGCCAATCTGCAGCGTCACTACTGCATTGGGAAACTTGCATTCCAAATGGACCAACCTCACAGTCATGGCTGCTTAGTTTACCCCGGGTTCCAGAGAAAAATCTATCGTTGGGCCTCCCCCTCTCAGCATCTCTGCCCCTGCTCGACACTCGATAGGTCAGTGATTGAGAGGCCCTGGTCTCCCCGAACAATTGAATTCGTGGCTTCTCAACTAAACCTATTGCTTCCTGGGATTGGCATCGGTCCTACACCATCCCCGGGTGATTTGCAACGTGCATTCTGATAATGACAAGGCGGGGGTCTCTCAGGGTTTTTGTATGAGAGCGAGCGAGAGAAAGAGAGAGATAGAGGGAGAGACCTATGCTTCCCTCCTCAATCCTCAAGTTCGGAGCTCATCACATAGAACTTAGGCTGTCGTGGTGGAGATGTCCATTAGAGATCTGATTGTCTCTGATGATATGTAGACCCCATTCAAGGCTTTCCGATCAGGTCCCGGTTGATACTGAAAATCCTCCATCCACTCTGAATCAGTGGATCCGGTTGTTCTAAGAGTAGTCTCCCACTCTTCTTTCTCTCTTGTTCGCTCTCGATCCTCAATCTCTCTCTCTCCCTACCTTTCTATCTCTCTCATTGTACCCAAATTTGGCACAAAGGTGTCGCAGAATCCTAGGGAATCTACTGGGTTCATTGACCGGACAATGGGTGCTCAAGACCACACTGTGGCTCAGTTTTAAAAAAAGGTAGGACCTGAAACGGCATCTAGACCTGAAACACACACCAGGTGGTACAGGAGATCAAGAGATCAATCTGGGAAAAGAGAGAAACCATACCATGCAGCTGTCAGTTGAGAGAGGCATGAATCAAGTATCCTACAAAGACTAGCAATCTGCAACAAAGGTTTGCCCCGCGACGAACCCTAGCTTGGAATAATAGAGAGCCAGGGGATCAGTCTATTTGCAGGTACCTGGGTGTGAAGACAGAATCCTGAAGACGAGGAACATGGCTGGACCTAATACAGACTAGCTCTTCCCTTGTATAGAAGACCAGAAACAATATTGTAATCGGGGAGCTCAAGTCCAGTTACCCTAAAAAAACTAGATATACGCCAGGAAGAGAAAACAGTGGCACTACTCATACGGGCAATTAGGGAGTAGGTCAACAGTTAGACCCACACCATCTGCGCTTGCTGGACCCCGTGCGCTTCTTGTCGTAAGGATAGAGACACATGTGGATTCGTTGTCCCTCTTTTGGGTTTTCCCTATTTTTCTTTTCTCTGAGTCAGGGTTCAGCCTCTGGTTCGGTGGGTTTGACTCTGGTTCATGACGGGTATTTGCACCTCGGCAGACGCGATCTTCCGCTTGGCTTGGCGTGCTGTTCCCAGACATAGCGATCTCGTGCACATAAAAAAGAAAATCTGATAAATTCATCGCTCCAGAAAAATGAAGAACAGAGAGTACCCTTTACTGATTGTGGATTAGACTATGAAGCTATACCTACCGGTATTTTTCCATGTATTTTCGAAGTCCAAAAAAACCCCCCCCAGAAATTAGATAAAATCTCTTCACTATTCTTTTTGCCCTCTATCCACTCAACAACCTATTTTCTCACACGGACTGTCAATCTCTCTCCCCAGGATCCACTCCTGGAGTGATGAGGTGGTCGCCGCAAAGCTATACTATATAGTACAGAGTTTTGACGCTGGATCGATTCAATCCTCTATTTATTCAAAGTCCCCGCCAAGTGGAACTACCGGTGGACCTTCATCTTCTGTCACCTCCATCGACAATCCAGATATATACACATGCTCGGCCTTGTCGTTTGTTCTGGCGACAATCAACTGCATCTCCACTGGACTAAACGGAAGAGTCAAACCCACCTCATCTTCCTCTCCGGGAATCTGCCCTGCAGCCTGGATCTGTACTTGCTCGTGTCGGCTGGTCGTCCACTCCGCTGCCTGTCTCTGAGTGTCTTACTGCTCTTCCATCGGAACGGTGAAGGAGTGTCTGAGAATATCGCGTGTGGCCAGAGAACCTCATCAATTGAAAGAGGGTACCTTTCACAGCGCTGGAGAGCCGTGACGCCAGCCTTCCTCGTGACTTTTCTCCCTCATATTCTCCTCTGATTCTTTCTGCTCTTTCTAGAAGAGTTCTTCTTCTGGGCAATTCCTTCAATATTATAATCTTGACCTCAGGCTGGTCAACTCTCATTCTCATAATTGCAGAAAAGCTTCTTACAATCTGGCCTGCCCTTCAGGGATTCCAGTTGCTTTTCCAATCCAGGCGAGAAAGAAAGCTCCATTCGAGGACCACTCGACCCGTCCTCTACACTTGTGAAGATGGAATCATCTTTCCCGGCAGGTGGCTTCCCACCAACACCACCACACACATCGGAAGAGGAGAAGGCACAAGATCCCTATCCAGATGCTCCCCTGAACTCATACCCTCCTGTACCCACGTACAGCCTAGGACCCAGCGGCTTGAATCAGCCTCTGTATCACAACGAGCTTTACCCTTCCTTTCAACCGCACCCTCATCCACACCCTTTTGTAAGTTTCCTCTGGAATAATGAATCTCGATCTTGACACATACTCGGCATCTGCTGACTTTCAACCCGGGCAGATGCACTCCTCCTCCACCACACCTTTCTATGGCAATCCGGCTGATCTCAGACCTTCTTACACGGTAAGCTCAACACTTTGCGCTTCTCAAGGAATTGACCGTCAGACTTGGAGCTGAGAAATGCCATCTTTCGAATAGATTCCCTTGAGCACCCCGCCAGTCGATAGATTGTCTTCATCGTCACCATCATGGTCTCCAGGCAGTCGTAACCAAAACCCAGCATCCAAGTCGAAAGTCATCAAAGCGCGCGCTGCGAAGCCGAAAGGCAAGAAAGACACCACGGCAACGCTGAGTGGCCTTCATCTACCAGGTCCGCTGAGTGTCGTCACACGGGACATGGTGGAGCCTCCTATACGGGATATGGAAGCCTGGGTGAACCGGTCTCAAGACGAGCGCAAGCTAGAGGTGAACGCCAAGAATGGGGAGATTCCTCGCCCAATGAATTCCTTCATGCTGTACCGATCAGCGTACATTGCTCGGATCAAGTCTATGCTCGGCAGGAACTGCAACCAGAACGTTTCACGCGTCGCCGGGCTCAGCTGGAAGGCGGAAAGTAAAGAAGTCCGGGCCCATTTTGAGAAGTTGGCCATCATTGAGCGCCAGAACCATGCCATTTCCCACCCCGGATACAAGTTCAAGCCGAACAAAGCCGCAGTGACACCTCCGAGGAGGCCCGATGGGTTAAGTCCCCCCCAATTGTCGAACACGCCTGCAGCTTCGATTCGGGCCGTCTCGGTGGACTGGGACGAGAAGTATAAGCGCGAGAGCACGCCCGGTCTCATGCACAGTCGAACGGAGGGTTACGATTTTGGCCCCATTCCCAGTAGCCGAGAAACGACACCCTTCGGAACACCCGATTCAATGCTTACGACCACATACCTTGGATATATGAGCCATCCGTGGAGCAACACTAGCTATCCATGCAACGGCTTACCCATGGCAGAGACACACGTGGAGGATGTGTATTTCCCGCAGGCTAGCCAGGCCACCGAGGACACCTCATTCAGCAACAACGGGTTGACGGGACTCCCAGGGGCCACGCACGAGCTTCTTCAGCCTCAGCCCACTCATGTAGTGCCCAGTCACATCGTCAACGGTCATCTGGATCCCCAGCTACTGAGCTGTCCAGGGGAGGGAAGCGGGCTTCCCTTCGTATACAGCCCTCCTACGCCACCTGCCAACCCTTACCGTGTGTTTGCTGAAGAAGGTTGTTTCTTACCAGCTACATACTCTGCAGCTCCCAGCCCTGTTCCCCTTTCGAAGTCATTGCCTACTTCTGCTCCAATGCAGCGTGAGCCGTCCTGGGACGTGAAGTACCAAGACCATGACGGAATGGACTCTTGGATCAACAACTCGAATTCAGAATATTGAAATCCCACTTCCTGACGGAGGGTAGTTCAACGATCCACAGATGCAAGATACTGCATCTGGTCTTACTCATGGATCAGTGTCCTTCTTTGACCTTCACCACCGAAGCAGAGGGATTTTCCTTTATATGACTCATGACTGAGCAAAACGGCTATTGAATGATTTCGCGGTGGGTTTTTTCGCTTTCTTTTCTTTTGTTGAGGTGATTCTGTTTTACGGCCATGTATTTCCTTTTGTCTTTCTTCATCTTTACCATGTTCTCGTTGAAAATCTGTTTGGGCTGAGGGCTTTACTTGGCGTTACTTATCAGTCTGATCTGGGGCTTGGGAACTGTTTGTGAATTAACTATAGACGCATCGCTTGTCAAAGAATGGTGGGTGGCTTTCTGGATTTTATCAATGCAAGTACAATTAACGAGTAAGCCTCGGCTTCTGTGATTCCAATGCCGTATTCCATGCATCGTAGCCAAGCTGACCATTCGTCTATTCATGTGATCCACATGGTCAGCGCGATCTATCTTGAATGTTGATCCAACAACCAAATATTGACCTGGACTAGTTTCGAGGCCCTTGGGCTTTTATAGAGACAAATGAATTCCCTTCGATATCATCATCCATAATGCCAGCTTGATATGGCCATTGCGGGTGAAGACGGATCCTCGACAGCCTTCTCAAGTTAATTGTTGTGGTGCTTGGACTGCTGTCATCCATTGCCCTTCCATTGCTCGATTTTCTGACTTTCCATGACAAGCACCCTTTCTGATTTTCAATCTTGGTCGTTTTTCATTCGAAAATCAACTTCCCACCTCTCATGGATCTGGTCTCGTCATTGCTTACTCTCAACTCTAACCTTATCCACCTCTCTTTTCCACCCCGTAGTTATTACCACTATAGTGACTATACTCATACAATGATGGACCGGGAGAACGTCTGCCACCCCACTTCACTTCAGCCCACATGTGCGACAGCCCAGCGGCCGTCGGCACGGCCGACAATCCATTTATTTACACTTCCAAAGAAAAAAAGAACATATCCCCACCTCGAAGATCTTGGCACGCGCAAAAAAGCAATGGACTCGCGGGGAATCGAACCCCGGACCACTCCCATGCTAAGGGAGTATTATACCACTAAACCACAAGCCCAGTTGTATGGAAAGTGGCGATATATTTGGCATCTTGAAAAAACAGGAATCGCTGAATGAAGCACGGCGATTCACGGGTTCCCCTTGACTTCGCTGGGACTTCGTTTTGATCCAGCCGTGCGGCTTATATCAGCAATATCTGCACCGATCTGCGATCGATTCCAAACAAGGTTGTACTGTCATGAGCCTGAGAACAAGCCGGGTTTGTCTTTTCGTCACATGCGGGTTGAATCCCGCAGTCTACAATAAAGGGAACATGCATATTAGCGACTGCATCCCTGGGCATGTCGTCGCTCGGTCGGGTAAAGCAAACGGGAGCTTAGTGTACCTTGATACTTTCTTGATTTTTCAGCCCGTGAGCTGATATCGAAAATGCTCGGGCACCACAGTATGAGGTGCCAGACATACCTCACCACAATAGACAGCATCAACCTCGTAAAAAACATCAAGAGATCGACCTTCATATGCCGTCCATCTGCGAGAGGGTGACCTTCCCGAGTCATTGAGGATGAGTCAAAAATCAGTTGACAACCTTAACAGCGGGACCTGGAAAAGGATTAAGGTACGGTTAAAGCGATGCGATCGGTACCAATGAGATACCCTCGGCGCTGCATGTCAAGTGAAGCGCCTCCACTTCAATCGTGCGTGCGCGGACTGTGGACAACACAGACGCCGCCCGATCTCACCGCCCGCGGAGCAGTTCCCCGCCATTTTCACCGTCACGAGCTGCAACAGTTGATTGCGCGACGTCCAGGATTCGGCGACGAAAGAATATTATTCCCTTGCTCCTAAGAGAGAATCGGAGGTTCAACCTGAAAACTGTGCACTGCCCGGACCTCAACGAGAAATAACCAGCAAACCACTTGCGTCCTTTCAACCTCTCCTATTATTTTCTCAAAATGTCCATCCCCAACGAGGCACTGCAGAAGGTAGGCCCGTTCACTCGCCAGAAATTCATGAAGCTCGAACAAATACTCGCTCAGCATTGATGCTCATCCTCATCATTCTCTCAGATCCTGCAAGAAATTGAAGCTCGGGCAATCGCCTCCCAGCAACAGATTGGAGTGACCAAGGCCCAGATCACAACGAAGCAGCGAGACATCCGCATGTTGCAGCTGACATCCAAAGAGCTGGCTGGTCTTCCCTCAGAAACCCCAGTGTACGAGGGTGTTGGAAAAATGTAAGGCCCCCCTCCCCATTCTTTTAACCTTTTTTTTTTCGTCTTTCCCCAGTCCGGCGCAGAATCGTCTCAATGGTATTACCCAGCGCGTCGGAGCTAATCACCTGCCAATGAATAGGTTCGTCAATGTCCCCATGGACACGGTGAACAAGCGACTCACCCGCGAGAGTGCCGAGGCCGCCTTGGATATCACGAACCTGGAGAAGAAGCTGCACTACCACGAGACCACGCATAAGAATAGCCGCGAGAACTTGGAGCAGATTTTGAAGTCGGGCGGGCGTGCATGAGCAGTACAATCTGGATGAAATCGATTTTGTCTGCAGATTCTCGAGGATGATTTGAGCACGGACACGAAAGGCAATCCTACTTACGAGACTCGCTCCATGAAAAAGTAAACCCAGCCCGCCACTTCCCAGATGGACGAGACCGAGACCTTCTGGGTGCGTGACAGAATGGGCAATCCAGCCCTGCAAAATTCTGTCCCGTGATCAGAGACGGGTAAAATGACTCCGATCGGTGCTACGACGAGGGCAAGAGCGCAAGAGTTGCAGACTGCACAAGGGACCGCGGAAGCTCACACGAGGGGGACTCTTGCACGAAATACCTAGCCAACAGCACTCTCCAATGACAACGAACAAGTCAAGTGATTTATCATACGATGCACCGGCAACGTATATAAAGAGGGTATATAAAAACAAGTCACATGCAACTGAGAATAGAGTGCCCGCGTCATTTCTGTACATGTAATGATAGGAATGAGTCGAGGCCACGGGCCTGGAGGGTATTGCAGGTGAGATATCCATGTAAGTATACAGTAGAAGAGGTTGCTGTCTCCTATGACCACTACCTACCTACTGCCTAGATCTTCGCCAGTCGTTGGTCTTTCCATGGGACACACGTCATCCCTCGAATAGTCAATGGATGGTAACATCTTGCTTAGTCGGATGAGCTTGGAAGCGAATCCACGAACCCATTGATTCCGTTACTATATCTGCGGCAGTGGGAAGTATGGATCCAAGAAATGGATGAAACGTGATGAGAGCAATGGGTTGAATCATACCGTGATTGCCGAGGGTCGAATGGAATTGTGAGCTGGGCGTGAGAGTAGATCACAAGCTTTGACAGCACCTACATACAGGCTTTCCATTCGCAAGACATCATCTGTCCCGCCTGTCGAGAATATTCCATGAGTGATAGTGGATTGGTGCCGATTGAGCCTCAGATCTACTATGTACATGGTAGTGACCGCATCTACGTACTTTGTAGTCACCGAGCACACATCCTAGTTCCACTGTCCCATGTCCCATACCAAAGGGACAGTACTTTGCAGACAGTCGACTCACATGACGACCTCGAGAAGAAGGAAGCACTCAGTACTCAGTATTCAAGTAGTAGTAGACTCGATTCGACGTCAAGTCACACGTGGACACTGGACAATGGGGTCACCTGCGGACGGGAACCACTCGATCTCAGGTCGGCAATCCGCATACAGTATTGACTCTATTGAGTACAATATCTGCCCAATCGTCGATCATGTTTCATCCTTGCTCCTGTTGAGTCACCCGACAGCCAAGATTTCTATTGTGATGCCTATAACATTTTTATCTCCGCGGAATGCTTACTAGTAGTACTGGTAGTTGGGTACCATTCTACTACAGTATTTAAATCACATTACGTGTAGAGGGCACTGAGCAATTCCCCATGTCACCATTTGAAAATGGGACAGGCTACGTATCTTTCGAACAGGATTACTTGAGACTAAGAGTTCACAGGGGGGGGCTCGTATTTGTCAGAGACCTTTGAACTGTGTAACTTGTCAAGTAGCTGTTTCAAACAGTATCTGAGTGGTCACGCTGAAAAGGTGTTTTGTTATTGCTCATTTACAAGCCATCAACTTTCATAATCTGGGAAGTACAGATGAGACTAGTTACAACTTATCTATCTGTCAAAGTTGGGAGGACGCCTACCTTCCTGTCAACACGGGCAGTTTAACCTGTGGGGAACTATAAATAACCCATGTACGGAGCAGTACTACACATATTGAATGTACATACTCTACAATTACATTCACCACAAGTCTACCTAGCTAGGTATATACCTATTACCTACACCTCGTCAACGCAGAAACTGCCTTCCATGTGGTGTCTCAGCCACGAAAAGCCGCTCAAGAGCAATGAGCCGCCTTGGGCGTTTCCACCTCCCTATCGGATGGCCCTCCATCCCCAGTTGCAAAAGGTACAGTACATGCTTGGACTTGCTTGAATGTCACCTACATACGATGTGTACTAGAGACCCCTCTTTCAATGGCGCTCTGCCCCATTCCAGAACATCCTCATCCTCATCCCAACCCTGAGAGAGTCAAGGGCCAGACCGCAGACCGATGCCCAAAGTGCGCCTCAAGTGGAGTCGGTCCCGGGCGAGGAGAAAAGGACCCAACCCAACCTCTGAAGCGGTGCCAGCTGAGTTCGAAACGGGGGCAGAGTGGAGGCGATGATGCTATCCCGCGCCGACTTTCTTGGGTTTCTTGGAAGAAGAGGGGCACGGGAACGGTCACGGGTGTACCTCTTGCCCTTGTTCCGTCTGGCAGTCTGGCAGTCTGGCAGTGGGCGGTACGACCCCGATACTCCCGTGAGTAGGGCTTAGGATAGATGGGGACCAAGTACCGCTTTGTACCTCCTTGGTGGACTTGCTGAAGAAGCCTTCTTTTGGGAGAACGGTCGAAGGTAAACTGTGGAACCTGGAAGGGGCCAGCCATGGATCACAATCAATCGTCGTCAGACTTATTAAGGTCAATGAAGGTCCGAAGGACGTCGTCGGGCATCAAATCCACATTACCGAGATAGTGAACTGAGGTAGTCAGTACTCAGTAGGACTAGGTTGGTCGCGACTCTGCCCAAACTGTGGAATGGCATGCATTACCGTACAGAACAAAGTACAGTAGGGGTACATAATTACTACCTAAGTTACCTCAAGGAACATGCACGATGAGGCATGTGTGGTGGCAATCTACTGCATCCCTCGATCGGCTATCCATGTAATGTACGACGCACTGTAGTATACAGACGTACCTAATCAATCAACTCGTTGAAGGTCACTTGAGGCTGATATGCAGTGAGTATGCAACTGTGCCGTGCGCACCGTCCTGCCGGGCGGCAAGGCCACTGGCGACATGAAATCGTCCTCAGTGAGTCGATCTATGCGAGGACAGACTTCTCGGACGACCGTGTCAGTGACGATGGACTCCTGCTTCAAGTACACACATCAAGCCGGAGAGACGTGTAGGTGTGCATAGCACTGAGCAGTACTACTACTCCCAGCCCCAACCAAGGTCAGGTAGTAGGCACGGTAGTATACCTTCCCACTTGGTCTTGGTACCTGACCGTTGAGGTCATCCTTTCACGAGGTGTCCAGCCTCCTCTTCCTCTTCCTCTTCCTGTCCCCGTCTTCTCTTCTCAGCTGCGCGATCGCCCCCGGTTGAACCGTTTCGTCTTCTGTGCCTTCTCCCCCCCCCCACCCCCGCCCCTCGATGTGTGACTCGGTGGTCTTCGTCGGATCTTCCACTTCCTCTTTTCGACCATCTCTCCGGCTCGGATTCGAAGAGGCTGACAGATCGACTACTATATGCTGGAAGACCAAGTAGTGAGCCAATAATACCTAGTCCTAGAAGGTCTTGTCTTGGCTTTTCTTCGGACCTTTTCTCCTTCACTGCTTTCCTTCTCCTCTTGCTCTTCTTCTTTATCTTCTTCTTCTTTTCCTTCTCCTTCTCGTCCCTCCACCCCGCATTCCTCCAGGATAATCCTCCCGCGTCATCTGATTCGGGACTCGCTTGTTGCCTTTCCACCCAACGAAATACAGGCTCCCTCGACCCTGTGTTGAAATCACCTAGTATATATCCTATCTGGTGAAATCCGACGACTGTGCGAGAAGTTGTATTGTATTCCAGCTAGACAATATCGTCGAGTTTCGCCGACCACACAACTCAGAGCCCCTCATCAAGCGTCAACCCCCCCCCCCCCCCCCCCCCGGCTTCAACACCTACAGGGCTCTCCCACCATGCCTCAGGAGATCTACTTTGACTCCGACGAGTCGGATTTCTCAGAGACGGACATTTCCATCCATGCGGGCACAGGCTACAGCAGAGGAGGAGGAGGTGGCGGGCGCACCCATGTTCGCCGGCGATCCGTCTCACGCCATCCTCGTCCAGAGTACCGCGAAACGCTCATGGTCCCCGTGCAGCAAACCACCCGCATCCACCGCTCGCATTCCACGGGTGCTCGGCGGCACCGCGAGCGCAGTGATCCCCCCGCTCCCCCCGCTCCCCCCGCTCCGCCTGCCGTCATGATCTTCAATGAGCAGGCCCAGCGTGCCGATACCAGCGCCAGCAACAAACCACGCCGAGTCCAGCAAAAAGTCTACGACCCCGACTGGGACGAGGAAGTGGTGTCGCCGCGGCGCGGTCGCCGGGCTGCTCCGGCCGTCTCCCGCGATCCCTCCCCGAAGCAGGTGCAGCAGGTGCATGTCGTGGAGCGGGAACGGGAGCGGGAGCGCGACCGCAGCCGTGACCCGGAGCTTCTACTGAACCAGAAGCTTCTGGAGCGAAGCGATATGCGACAGGATCTGGAAATCTGGAAGCAGCAGCAGGAGATCGAGCGGTTGGAACGTGAGCTGGAACGACATCGCGAGCGGGCCGAGCCGCGCGATCCACGAGAGTCACGCCTGTTGCGCGAGGAGGAAGAGTGGTACGAAGATGAGATCAGCGACCGCATGCGCCGACTGGAACGATTCGAACGCAAGAACCGCGCCGAGGAAGAGCGCCGTAATGCGGAGAAAGAATGGCGCCTGAGGAAACTCGAAGAACAGGAGCGTGAAGAGGCCGACCAAAAGGTTTGGCGCCTCAGGAGACTCGAACAGGCGGAAAAGGAAGCCGCCGACCGTGAAGAGCTCAAACAAAAGATCCACGAGGAGAAACTCAGGGAGATTGTCCGGCAAAAGGAAGAAGAGGAAGAGCGCGACAGGCTGCGAAGGGAGTTCCTCGAAGAGGAACGTCGCAAAGCGGCCAAGGCAAAGGAGGAGGAAGAGGAGCGGGAGAGACTACGACAGGAGTTCCTCGAAGAGGAACGTCGTAAGGCAGTTGCCGAGGAGGAGAAAAGGAAGAAGGAGGCCGCAATGAAGGCCGCCGCTGTGGAAGAGTGGAAAATGGAGCAGGCGCGTATTGCGCAGAGAGAGCGCGAGGAAGCACTGAAGAAGGACCGGGAATTCCGTGAACGTCTCCGGCTCGAGTTCGGTTACACCGAGGAAGAAATCGATGAGATCCTCAAGAAGAAAGAGAAAGCCAAGAAAGAAAAGGAGAAGGAGCCGAAGAAGAAAGAGCACAAAGAAATCGAATTGAAGGAGGACATTGTTGAAGAAAAGACGACCTGGATCAAGGTAAGAGATGGAAATCAGTCTATCAGATCACCAATGCCGACTTTGCTGACTCGTCAATCTAGGTCCACCGCAGGCATCTCATGCCCGAGACTCTTCTTGCTTACAACTTGCCCTGGGACTGGGATGAGGTGAGTGTTTACCCCCTCTTTGGAAGGATTGCTCTCGGTAATCTCGCAACACACTCTTGCTAACGTTACAACCTTTCCCATTCTCCAGCGCGACAGCAATTACATTATCATCAAGCGCTGGATCACCGAAGACTTCCAGGAAGAGCTCTTCGCTCACACCCGCCGCCTCCGTGAGGGCAAGCTAGTTGCGCAGACCTCCAGCTCGACAACCGAGCTGAAGATCAACGACCGCAACAAGGACAGAATGTATCTGGTGCGAAAGAAGAGCCCCAGCCGTCGACTTCGCATCTTTGCTTAATAAGTCATCCTTGATGAAATCATTGCACGGAACCTTCCACTACACAGGCCGGGTCAATATCTCGACAAGTTGGCCTTCGTCTAGTTATATGATGGCACACTCTCATGAATCGAGACAATGTCACGCCAAGGATCTAAAGCACCTGGTCCTGGTCATGCCGTCGGGGTTTTCGACATAGTTCACCTGGGACGAGGTCCGATCCTGGTAGAGGACAGGACGTTACTCTGAGAATGGCCCGGTCACGAGGCACGAACTGATGATCTTTTTCTTTTCTCTGTCATTTTCTCTGTTTCATATGGATGATATCTTGCAAACTTTCATGTCTACGCCCTTCATGTTGTCTTTTAGTATTTTGAGCAACTCTTATCATGTCTGTTCGGATATCTTGGCGCAATGAAATTTCTTTCTGGCACGGTGATTCAGAAATGAGATTTTGAAGGGGTGTAGGTAAAGAGTGTAGGTAGCAAGAATAAGAAAGCAGGGTATTTGACCTGTCTCAAGTAAAAGCCTGTTTGTTTTAGAGTATCGGTAGGCACGTATCTTCAGGGTACCTCCTACGCAGAAAGTATGTTGATCATATGCGGAGAGTTCAAGAGTGCATTGTACCTGCTTCTGGAAAAGTGGGACGTGGGAGATGCGATGCACCTCTCGTGCCCCTGTGCAAGTGTGTCAATGTCGAGTGCACGTCACAGCTGCAGGATAGACGATAGACCCGCATTTATAATGAGGAGACGATCATAGTTAATAATACAAAACGTTCGTTGACGAGGGCAGATTTCTTTTTCTTCTCTGCCCCAAGAGAACTTTCTCGGCCAGAACGAACCTAGCCCCGTCCTTCAAGGTCCCACACGCCCTCATTCACAGACCCATCTCATGTTTAGCCGCCCACCTCTTTTCGGCTCGAAGAATCAACTCCTCATACACGGTCCAGGCCAGCGCAGAACTCAACGCCTTCCGACCCATGCGTAGCCCCAGACCTCCCAGCAGGCTGCGCATTCCGTCCTCTCGGACCATCAAGCGCACCGCACGGACCATGTTCCCATACTTGGCGGGCATGAGTTGCAGGCGAGTTTTCACCGCGTCAAAGGGATTGGTGATAGCGGTGGCCAGACCGGCTGCCGCCGCTCCGGAGACGAAATTGATGGAGGACGATGACAGGGACGCATTTGACCGGGGTTTTCCGTCCGAGGAGTGCGTCGCGTCAGTCGTCATCATGTGTGCGAGACGACGCTTCAATTGCTCGTAGAGGAGGACGTACAGGCCCGCGTATGGAGCGTCTCGGGCAGCCGTGGCGCCGAAGCCCGCGAAGAGTCCTCGGAGACCTTCGGTGCGAACGATATCGCGACCGGCGCTCCAGAGACTGCGGTAGGCGTAGAAGTCTGACTCGTATCGCACTTTCAGCACGGTTACGGGCATCATCACGAAGCCTGCCGCGACACGGGCGACTGCGCCTGTAGCCAAGTTGGCGGTATTGGAGAGCTTTGGTAGCGCGGAGGAGGAATTCACAGCTGCGGAAACGGAGTTGTTGAGGACGAGGGGAGCATTGGCCTGTGCGATGGTCTGTCGCAGGGCGTTTAGGCTTGTGAAATATAAGGCGGAACCGAAGCCTGTGCGAAGGGCCGAGGGTAATGTTCCGCGCCATAGGCCGCGAATGGGATTTTGAGAGGAGAGGATCGCCTTCAGTGTGGGGAGAAGAGCATTGGCTTTGCCGGCTTGCTGGACTCGAGTCTTGAGGAGGTCGGCGGGCTGGAGGAGGATTGAGGAGGTTAGGCCTGAGCACAGTCCGGCTGCGAAGTGGAAGCCTGTTTTGGATGCTGTTTGCAGGCAGCAGAGAGAGATTGTTAGCCTTGTTCGATAGACCTTTGTATTCTTGTAGAGTGGAGGTCAATACAATGGAACAACTTCGCCAAAGGGTGACGTACAGGTAGATGTCGCATTGCTCTTCTTCTCGTTCGCCGGCGCATAGACGCTCTTGTCTGGCATGGCTTTCATCGCTTGCTCGCCCGCTCAATCGAGCCAACCTTGGTGAGTCGATACGGAAAAAAGACGCGAGTACCGATTATTCAAAGGTTCGAGATCAGTAGGGCGAGGCTCAGCACGATTGTAACTGAATCTAGCGCGGCGTGGAACCTTAAACTATGTTGACCGAGTTCTCTGAGACCTGACACGCATATGCGGGAACGGTCAAAACTGGAACTGAGCTTTGATCTGGCTAAAAACCCATGGCGGGAATGAATTGTGGGGAGAGAAGAGTCGCTCAGAGATGGTTGAGGTTTTTAATCGCAATGTCTGTGTTAATGAATGTGGTGACTGTAGTAGACGTGACGAAAAGGGTGTGATTCGCACTCAGAGTCGGTCAAGTCGGTGAAGTCATCAAAGATCTGAGCGCGAGAATCAGAGCGTCGGCCTCGGTCGCGGATCTGGCCAGCCTTATCGGGCTTATCGGGCTTATCGAGCCCTCGAGACTATCGATAACGATACAAAAGCCCCCACTTGCCCGTTTATCTGTAGGCACTGAGGCAGTCGTCATTCATTATACGCAAAAGAGAGATAGCGATGACCAGGGCTCTGGAAAGGCGATTGTGTCAAGCTGATCTGGTAGTCAAAATGACATGAATTGAGGATCACCACTTTCGTCAGCTTGTAATTAGCTAAGAAGCCATTTTTGTTGCTTGTTTAATTGTTTCGTTTGTTTCATCCTCAAATGCGGCCAAAAACAGCCGCAACCGGCCGGCAACTCGCGGAGCCAGTGGGTGGCCAATCAGCGGGATCCTTCCGCAGTGTGCCCTGGGGTCAAGCATCATGAGGACGGGGAAAGAGTTGCTGCGGTCGCTAACAATCTTTCTTTTCTGATTCACTTCACTTTCTGTTACTTTGCATCGCCTCTCTCCGACCATTTTGCAATGCGGTGGTCTCTGCCCAATATACCCTATCCGCCTGAGACGGATGGATACTGGAGCCCCGTCACCTCGACATTGAACTGGTGTGAGGAGGTACGTCACTACACGAGACACTGAAGATGCCTGTTGCGCCTGTTGATCTGGCATAATCCCCCCCGGGCGCAATGCCATAATTCACGGTCTCTGAGCCATTCGCTGCGAAGGTCGCTAATGCTCTTGTCGGATATAGGATTACTATGTCACAATATACTCCGCAGAGATTGTCAATGCCTTGACAAACCTTTTGTTCATGTGGCTCGGAGTGAGAGGCATCCAGAGCTGTCGTCGAAATGGACATGACCAGATCTTCCTGGTTGCTTTTCTAGGCTACCTAGTAGTCGGCACGGGCAGTTTCCTGTTTCACTCCACCCTGACCTGTAAGTCATCTCCTCTAGGGAACTATACCAACCGACCTTGGGCCATTCGCGAAGTGGGCTAATCACATTCTCTTATACTTGCAGACCCAATGCAATTGGTTGATGAGCTCTCCATGATCTATACGACCTGCTTGATGGCTTATGCGTCCTTCTCGTATACGCGCTCAGTAGGCTTTCGGATCGTTTTAGCCGTGTTCCTCACCAGTCTAGCAGTCTTCATCACGCTTTACTACCACTATCTTCAAGACCCAGTCTTCCACCAGAATGCTTATGCGTTGTTGACCACGGTCGTTGTCTTCCGCAGCATGCATACGATGGAGACCACACTGCGTCCGAAATGGCGCCACTCCCGCGAAGAGGATCGTCTTGAACGTGAGAAGAAGGGTCTCCCGGTGCCGACCAAGGAACGCCAGCGGTTTGAGAATGAGCGGGATCTGAAGACGCTCAAGACTATGTGGTTTATGGTTGTGTACGGATTGTCTATGTTTCTGGGAGGCTTCTTCATCTGGTTTCTCGACAATCAATACTGCTCGCGAATTCGCTCGTGGCGCCGGACCGTGGGATTACCGTGGGGCGTCTTCTTGGAAGGCCATGGGTGGTGGTAAGTTGTGGGCTATGGCTTCTGATACCATTCGAGAAGAGTCATGAAAAAAGACTAATGTGTGGTTTGAATGATGCAGGCATATCATGACTGGGATTGGCGCATATTTGTACATCACCTGGGGGATTTGGCTGCGACACTGTCTCAATGGGCGACAGGATGACTTCCACTTGCGATGGGCACACTTTTGGCATATTCCGGAAATCATTCGAACAAATCCCCTCTCTGAGAATGGAGTCTCTCGCGCGAAGAAGTCAACTTGATCTTGTAATGTCGCGTTTGACAGTACTCTTGCCTGCACGCACTGCCCGATGCTACCGCTTGACGGTGGAAAGAAGAGCTCCCCGCAATCGTTTATATCGAGCGTTGATACCATTACTGTTCCACTATATCACGAGCTTTAAGAGATAAATTCGCGAGGCCGGTGATCTGTCATTGGGTGTCAGTGGCCATGATTACTTCCTCTGTTACTTCTCATGTGATTCTCATGAGCACCGCTGTCTATAGATCATAGCTCAGACTACATCAAACAAGCTTCAACGAGAGGAAGAATGGTTCACTTGACCCTCTTCTCGCTGCCAATCTATCTCATCAAAGGTGTCACCGCGAAGACTTACGGCCAAAGAGTTCAATTATGGTTCAGCCTCTTTCTATATACTTCTAGACACGTGTCGCGAAGGTGTCATAGAGATAATCCGTCCATCATAGCTTAGATTCACCACTCTTCTTTTCTCCATTGTTGGGACGACGAGCCGGAGCAGGCACGTGCTCGTACCACTGCTTATCGACCGTCAATTTCTCGACCTTGGATTTTCGACTCCACACCGAGCGGAAGCTTTCCTCCTCATCACGCCACCGTCGCAGCTCCGGAGTCAGCCAGGAAACGGCTGCCTCGGCGCATTCATTGACGGCCTCCTGAGCAAGCAGATGGCCGTAGTCTTCGAGAAGGACGTCCCGCACACGGCCCTTGGCCACACCACCGCTACCCCCGATTGCCGTGCCCGTGTTGGCGAGCTTATCCGCCATCATCTCCGGATGACACATGTCTGACTTGCCGCCAAAGATGTAAAGCACGCTTGGACGCAGATATGGCAGCTGGGAGAAAATGCGGGCCGGTTCGGGCCGATAGAATGGATATGTGTCGGGATGCTCGGCATCAAGATCAGGATGCGTAACACGGTTGACGGGCTTACCGCTGCCAGGGCGGTTGGCGTAATTGGGCCGTGAGAAGGTGAAGACTTCTTGGTGGAGGGTGGTTCGTAGTGTGACGGGGGGGTTTTGCTTGTCGACGACTGCGTTGGGGTCAAGTGGGTGGACGGCTGTTGGAAGATCGCGGAGACCATATTTGATCCAGCGGTCCAGCACGCGAGGATCCCACGCTTGATAGAAAGGACTGCGCTTGAATCCTTCGGCGGCGGCTTTTCGAGAAGGCCACATGTCGCGCCGGTAGGTGGAGAGCTGGGTTGTTTTCGCTATCCGGCGGACTTGCTCCGCCATGCCCTCGGCGTCTAGCTGGGTAGTCTGTCTCTGAATGACGGGGTCCAGGAGGACCAAAGTATGCAAAAGACGGGGGTGCATGAGGGAGAGTTGTGCGCTGTTGTCGCCTATATTAGCACGAGGAAAACCGTTCTCATACGCTGAAAGGTCGTAGATCATTCAATGGACCTACAGGTGCGCTCCACCCATGCTGTGGCCTATACCAACAATAGGCCGGGGCATTTCCGCACGCTTTACGTTGATCAGGTGTAAAAAGTCTCGGGGATGATCAAACCAGCTAGCTGTGGAGAATCGTCAGTTCATGTAACTGGCATAGGGCATGGCTGGCAGTTGGCTCGCCTACGGTCATTGCCCAGTGAATCCTCGTTGATGACGCCGCTCTCGCCCTGATGGGCGACATCGGCCATCCAGATACTGCGAATGCGCAACCCGCTGGCCTCGGATCGAGCATGAATCTCCTCCCACAAGGGCTCATATAGCTCCTATAGTCATGGATTAGCTCCCGTCCGGCATTGCCATTGCTCTTGGGCAGGCAGCTCTCTCTCCACCCTGTAGATACTCTCGACCGAGCGCATTGAGCTTCGTACTTGCATGCCCAGCGCTTTCGGCCATGTATAGCTGGGGTTCTCCACGGAATGCAACACACCTTTGGGAAACCATTGGCATGAGCGCCCAGGATAGTTACATCTCCAGGCTGCGGGTTGGGATTATCGATCGGAATGTATTGTTTCACAGCCAAGTGCAGGGGCTCCTCCTGCTCGTTGGCCGTTGCGCCGGGGTATTCGCGGATATGCTGGCACGGCACTCTGTGCTCGACAATTCGAAACGGCGACGAGGACATTTTAAAGATCGCAGGGCTTTCAATCGATGGACTCGATGCCCTTGAGAAATTTCTACGATATCGTGACTTCTGCGGGGAGGATAAGGGTAGACACTAGACAGCGCGGTCCCGCTGGGAAATGTCTGGGGTAATTAAACCAACTGTTTGCCAAAGGCCGGTTGCGCTCGAGCCGAGGCCCGTTTGGAGTTTGCGCCCCATCGCGCGGGCATTCAGCTCTCTCAACTGCCGAATTTGAGGAACCACCCCGTGACCGTAGATGTGCTCATTTAAAGCACAACTACATACTGCTGAAATAGACATAAAAAGTTTCAATCTGCAGACTAACGGAAATATTTCAAAATATGGTAGTCAATCCAGTAACCAAAATGGCATCTCAGAGAATGTGTAACAGAGTTCGATGGCGCAACACAGTAGAAAAAAGTCTGCAGAGATCTTTAAGTATACGCATTTTAGAGGGAATCCTACAGGAGAGACGACTCAAAAAAGCTCCAATCCTGTATTCATGTACGCATGCACCGGGCGAAGATACAAGTAACTCTACCGTCCTCCAATCCAAGCCGTACGACACTGAAAACAACCACATCCTCCCCTGGAAAAGTTAACATTCGTATAGACCGTCCAAAGCCTGACCCGAAGCTGCTCGGCCTCATCGGTAAAACCGAGTTCGGGCATATCCCAGACGTGTAGCTTATGGATGTGATGAAATTCAACTGTCGCTCTCGCAGCTTCAAGGTCCTCGATGTCATCAACACAAGATTTACCTTCAAGTGTTATACGGCCAATCGCGGCACCGATATAGGACATAGTCTCCCCAATTTCAAGGTTGATTGTTGTGATCAGCTTCAGCTGCTCGATCAATCGGAGCATTTCAAGCTTGATCAAGTCGCACTTGGATGGGAAGCAAATTGCAGTCTCACTGGTCATAGCGGTCTGAAAATGATCGAGGTCGTCTACCATGCAGTCTAGGATCTCAGCCATATGAGCTGGCGTTAGATCAGTCTCGCCACGACGCCACTGCTTGAGTTTCAGAACAAAGTCAGCGCGTATGATGTGAAATTGCTCAGCACTCATCGGGAGGAGAGAGGGTGCCCTTATGGGAGCATGATTACAGTGACTGATTTCTGGATAGGGTAGCTTGTCGAGAGGGTCAACACCTTCGTGAGAGTAATGGCAGGAGCTCATTGTTGATCCGAGATAGGGTTATACAGGCGAGCACGCGTTCCTCGGTAGCCCAGCTGAGGGCGGATCACCTGGATTGACGAATGTTTAAGGTAAAAATAGGGTAAGGTGCGCGAGGATGCGAGAATGAACGGTAACAAAAATTTGACACGACAGGATGAGCTGTGGACAAGCTTGCCTGTACTTATCCTTCCGTGGACTTGGGACAGCCCTTCGATACTTAAGTTACTACCTCTCCAGTACTTCAAGACATCTGATACAAAATTCGCATTGTGTATGAACGCTTTGAGCCAACACTATCTCTGGCTTTGAGTATCTCAGCCTTGAGTTCATTGGGGATATGCTTCTTGGTGACTCATAAATTAGACTCAATAATCAAAGCTTCCTGGGTCTCTTCTTTGATGGATGAAAGACTCCGTGTCAGCTACAATCAGGACGGGAGCAAAATCACAATCACTTTGTCAAAGTCTCATACTCTCGAGGCCACGGTCTCCCATTCGGAAGGATGGTCAGCGTCTAATCGTTTTCATCCAAAGACAGCGTTTTTGCAAGAAGGCAGAATTTGATCCTCTTTGTTCTGTCTGCAGAAGGTTTCGAGGTACTCCCATTTACGCCGCCCGCCGCCTACAGAATCTCCAACGAACGCAGCCATAAAGACCTCGCCCCGCGTGTCCCCACGTGACTCGGCGTCGGCCTTGACGCGCGCGGCGCGTCTGCTTCGACTTCGCCATCTTTGTGTTTGCGATGCCAGGAAGATCAATCAACACCGACACTATGGCCGAAGAAGACCTGAAGCTTTTTGATCAATGTCGTATCTGTATTGTCTGTTCTAATGATCTCCCTTTGGAAACAGCAGAGCAGGTAAGTCTCGCGCCGATAAAGAGAGCATGCAGGCATTCTCTATTTCTGAGATGTCTACGATCAAAGCTCACCATGTCAACATAGCTGGCAGCATTGATTGAAGAATATGGCGGAGAACCCTCAATACACCAGTCGAGCCCCGAAAAGGAGGATACGATAGAGTGCACTCATATCATCGCGAGCAACACCCACTTTCATACTTATGATCTGGCCCGCAAGACATTGATCCCCGTGGTCAAACCTTCCTGGATTCACACCTCACTAGCGAAACTAAAAGTCGCAAATCCCCGTCAGCATAGCCCGGACCCGCGTTTGTTCCTCAGCGATGTGGTGGTGACCTGCGGCGACATCCCAGAGGGCGATAAGGACGCGATCGTCGGCGGAGTGGTTGCGAAAGGCGGGCTTTATAGCCCTCGAATGACGGGAATGGTCACGCATTTGGTGGACTTGACGACCGACTCGGATAAGGCGCGGTTGGTGTTGACTAAAAAACTGCGCGTGAAAATTGTCCTTCCGCACTGGTAAGGAAGCCCTTTGCGCTGACTACTCTTCAAGAGGTTCTCAATGGATTGACATAGATTTTCAGGTTCGATGATTGTCTCAAACTCGGTCAACGAATTGACGAGCGACCATACACGCTGCCAGATCCCGAAATTATGCGAGCGGGATTCGATGTCCCCGTTCGGTCCCATGAAAATAAAGGCCTCGCCGGCGCCTCTACTCCCGAGCCATCGACAATGCCCACGCCATCTAGAGTGACTGGCGACAAGACCAGCGTTTTCTCGGGCAAATCAATCATGCTTTCTTCGGACCTGGCCATCGGATCACATATGCTGGAATCGATCGAGGCGGTACTGAAGCACGGAGGTGCTACCGTGACCTCGAATGTTGAAGATGCAGACTGGTTGATTTGTCGATTCCGCGAAGGCGTTGTCTACAGGACGGCATCTCGGCTAGACAAGACGGTGGGCAATCTTGCATGGTTATACCACCTGATGACTTTCAATACTTATACCCGTCCCTTGAGTCGTTTGCTTCATTATCCCATATCGCGGATTCCCATTCCGGGATTCGAGGGGCTGAAAATCAGTCTGTCCAATTATGTCGGAGAAGCCAGGATTTACCTTGAGAATCTGATTGCAGCTGCTGGCGCCGAATGCACAAAAACTTTGAAGCAGGAAAACACTCATTTGATCACTGCCCACGGCAATAGCGAGAAATGCAGTGCCGCTCGAGAATGGGGCCTGCAGGTGGTGAATCATCTTTGGCTCGAAGATAGCTACGCCGCGTGGAAGCTGCAGCCAGTATCCAATCCACGCTATAGCCATTTTCCACTGCGCACGAATCTTGGCGATGTTGCTGGCCAGAAAATGCTTGATCGTGATGTCCTCGAGCAGCATTTCTTCCCTGCCGAAGCTGTGCAAGAACGTCAGATTGCCCAACGTGGCGCTTCCAGTCGTGGCCAGAACAAGAAATCCATGGATCAACCTGAAGAGAAACCGCGCGAGGAAAGTGGCACAATGGCCGAAACGAGTCACGGCACTCCACAAGTCAAAGCCAAGCGTAGTCGTCGAACAAGCGAGACCAAGCAAATTCAGACGCCCGCACGGTCACGACTCGTGCCTGAGGACAAGGAGAATGAGACACCTTCGTCTACTAATAGCCGAAAGTCGAAAGAGGCAGCAGCGGCTCGACTCCACGAAATTGCGCCAGACATTGCTCTGTACGAGAAGGAGACGAAGAGAGTTGGTGGTGTGATCTACGGAGGGCGGCGAAAGTCTGATGAGGATCGGGTTGCTGTGAATCCAAAGAAACGCCGATCCATTGAGCCGCAAGAAGAGAGCTGCGACGGTGAACAGGCCACGGACACGAAGCGGCAGAAGAAATCGCGGCCACCAATTTCTATGCACCTATTGATTACTGGCTATCAAAAATGGGTTGGCAAGGGCAATGAAAGAAAAGAAGATGCAGACAAGGTTCGTCACCAGGCCATGTGATGTTGATTGAGATTGAACGGAATGGCTGACTTTTAGCTGCTAGCGCCACTTACGAGAGCTTGGAATCATGGTGGTACAGGATGCCCGCCGATGCACTCATTTGGCGGCGCCGACGATTCTGCGTACGGCAAAATTCGTGAATGCGCTGGCTTATGCACCCGTGATCATGCACACCGATTTTGTTGACGAGTGTCTCAAGCAAAATGAGTTGCTTGAACCCAAAGATTTTCCGCTTGTGGACAAGGCCGCGGAGTCCAAGTATCACATCTCTCTTGCGTCCGCGCTTCAAAATGCCAAGAATAACCAGAACAAGCTTTTGCGAGGGCTGCGCGTGTTTTGTATTGAAGATATTCGAGGAGGATTTGAAGCTTTCAAATCAATTGTGGAAGCCAATGGCGGAGAGTGCTTGCTGTTCCGTGGCCGCCTCGCATTGTCTCACAATTCGCGGCGCGAGGAGAGCGACGACGAAGATGAGGAAATGCAGAGTGACGAACCAGGCCGCAGTGAAGTCTATCTTTTAAGTGGACCAGAACAAAAACATGCTCGGCTGTGGCCTCGGTTCCGACAGCTCGCCGGAGACATCAAGCGAAGTCCTCGCATCGTCCGTGTGGATTGGCTTCTTGACATGGCCATGTCGCAGAAACTCCGCGCGGCGGATGAGTATGAGTTGAACGAGTCGTTAATTGAAGCGACAGAGGATTAAATCTCTGCTTGATGCTCTTTCGGTTCCGCCGAATTGAGCGTTCTGCCTCGAGAGCCACTTGTAGACCCCGAGGGGGATCTTGGACATTCCAGAAGTACTACCTCGAGCCACCTATCACATCGCTGCAACATTGTATAGACGAACATTGAGCGGTTGCTTTTTATCACGAATAGCCATGAAATACCACACAGGGAGCATGTACCGCACGCGTGGGATTCCCTTCACTTTTGCTTTTGCTTTTTAGAAGATTTTGACACCCTCCTCGCCTTCGTTGCCAAAGACGGACGCTTTGCCTCGCTTGACGAGGACGTTCAACGCCTTCATCATCACATCGTGGTCCATGCCATGGAATTCTAGACCGCGCGAGTTAGCCTGACAAATCTGCGTGAACACATAATCGAATCTCAACACGGAGCACCTACCTTGAGAGACTGTGGCTTCTCCCTGCACCAGCTCGAACACCGTCAACACCACGCCACGCTGCCCCGTTGCATCTATCCAGTCCACGAGCACGTCCGCCCATTCATCGGGCCTTCTCCACCAGATCCAAGCGAGGTTTTTGGACTTTGCGCCTGAATTCGCCGAGGGACCTTCAATCCATTCAGCGCGCTGTCCACCACCGCCCTCTTCCTCTTTCTTGGCCATCCAGTCTACAATCGTACGAGCCTCGGCAAGGTCCAGTCGCTTGCGTAAGGTGGCGTTGTGGAAAAGAGGAGAGTCAATGGCCTCTATTATAGAGAGACGGTAAATGCGATGATGCCGACACCATGACTGGATGAGCGACGACCATTTTCGAAGCTGTGACTGCCGAGTGGTACTGTTCGGTTGCGGAGTGAAGAACGCAGGGAAGTTGTATGTCGATGGGAAGACAAAGGACGTCGAGGACGCAGGTGCAGCTGTAGCTGCAGTAGAAGCACTCATGGCGAAATGCTGCCTTTGGCTGGGAAATTTCAAGAAGCTGTAGGGAGGTGATATATACGTAGCAAAAACTCCAGAAATGAAGAGAAGAAACCTGCAATTTCCCACGTGTGAAGAAGGTTGGACGACGGGACGGAGAAGAGCCCGAGCTTCGAGCAACCCCCGAGTCGCTGATAAGATTAGAAGAGCAGCAGCAGCTCACGCGGATCGGAGTGGGGGCAAAAGTGGGCTGGAGCGAGAGTGGCCCGCGCAAATAATTCCTCTTCCTCCAACACTCTCGCGACCTCCGCGCTTGCAACCTGTAGCTTCGACTCAATCGGCACCAGACTACGCTGCTGGGTTCTCCAAAAATGGCGGCTCAAGTGGCGCGCAAGCGTCAGCAGCGCGAAGAATATCGTCGCAAGATCCAGGAACAGACTGAACGCGGCGAGACTGATGTCGCCAGTGTGAAGATGCCGCAGAAGCGATACTTCCGGCAGCGCGCACACGCCAACCCATTCTCCGATCATAAGCTCGATTAGTATGTGCTCCTCGGAAGTTCATCTGCCTGAAAAGGACTGAGCTATGGATTGCGCCAACCATTGATCGGGCAACTGGCTGCTCATTACGGCTCCAGGCTTTCATGGGAACGTCATCACTGACCTTGTCTTCGAATCTCACAGTCCAATTAGCCCGGCGCATATGGACTGGGCGTCTCATTACCCGGCATTCGTCAATCCTGATCCATCCAAGGTCAATCTCGGCGGTACCAGGCAATTACTCAAGGATGTGGAGGTGGTAGACATTGGATGCGGGTTTGGGGGATTGCTCGTTGGACTAGCACCCATCTTGCCGGAAACCCTCATTGTCGGTATGTTAACTGTCGTGTGGGCCTCGCGCGGCTGATTTGTTTGGTTACGGTCTTTCCGACTTGCAATCGAAGACTTATTGTTTGTGCCCCTACGTCCCAGGCATGGAGATCCGCATATCAGTCCTAGACTATGTCCGCAGTCGCATCACCGCTCTCCGTCTCCAACAACAAAATCTAAAGCGAATCGCTGCCGCAAATGAAGGATCCGAAACTCCCTCCGAGACTCCCGCAGCTCCCGCTGTTGAAGACGACGAGGTCGGCAGCACGACTACCATTGTCCCCGGCAACTACGAGAATATCACCGGCATTCGCGCCAACACCATGAAATTCCTCCCCAATTTCTTCGCCCACCACCAACTCTCCAAAATCTTCGTGTGTTTCCCCGATCCGCACTTCAAGGCGCGCAAGCACAAGGCGCGGATCATCTCCGAGTCGTTAAACGCAGAGTATGCGTATGTTCTCAAGCCCGGTGGTTTACTGTACACTATTACCGACGTGGAGGAATATCATCACTGGGTTCTGAAGCACTTCAAATATGAGACGGAGGAAGGAGAGACGACGCCCCAGCGCACAGGTGGTATTCGAGACCTCTGGGAACTCGTCTCGGACGAGGAGTTGGAGGCAGATCCCTGTGTTCGCGTGATGAAGTTTGAGACGGAAGAGTCCAAGAAGGTCACTCGAAATAATGGCCACAAGTATGTGGCCGTCTTCCGGCGCAAGCCAGACCCTGAGTGGCCTGCGCAATGAGAGGAGAGCACTAGTCTACATGACATTTCATGTATTGAGTCGGCTTCCGCTTCTGCCTCCGAGGTCGGACAAGAAGACTCAGATTTCGAACGGCGTACGGGTGTTAGTTACTAGGATTCGGGGCCTCGAAATATCGAGCACCTGAAAAAGATGATTTGATCATGCATGCAGTTCTTGGATATCATTTCTCGTGTTCGTAGACATGCACCTGCAACGAAGCATGATCGCTGGCTAGAGCTGACCCAAAGAATATACGCAACAGGAAGGAAAGAAATCGCTTCCAAGGCTCAAGGTAAACAAAGTAAAACCCGAAAAGGAAGGGCGGAAAGATACAAGTTGAAAAGGGAAAGAAAAGAATTGGTAATGGATGAAAAGGAATAATCAAGACGCTCGACACTCAAATCAACAAGCACATCATGCAGATCGTCAATCCGTACCATCGTCAAAATCACGTAGACCAAAAAAAAAAAAAAAGAAGACAAGGTATTTCGGTTCAGCACATTCCAGGTGCCCGCAGGCGAATACCCTCACATCGTTCACAAACAGCTAATTGAACGGGCCCGCCGATGATACGACCCTTGGCGGTTCTTTTGGGCTCGCCTTCACGGACGAAGAAGCGGCCCTCGGGTCCAAATCCATCACCACACTCGTGGCAGACAAAGCACTGCTCGTGCCATTGTCCACCGATGGCGGAGATGACGAGGTCATCGAGGACATGCTGTTTGCAACCTAAGCATCGAGGTGCGGTTCGACGACCATGGCATCGTAGACACCATGCAAACCCGTCCTTTTCCACAAAGGGTGTCGTTGAACTGAAGGGCTATGGAGAGAGATGGTAGTTAGTATATACTGCCTGACAAGTTGTACTGGAGTATACCAGAATCGTCGTGCTCCAGGGGACTTACATCACCGCACTCTGCGCAGAAGAAGTGGCCAACATGCCATTCTGCGCCGCATGCGACTACAACCTCGCCCTCAATCGGAGTCTTGCAGCTCTTACAGCGGGGACTGAAAAATTCATGGAAATCCAAATGGCAGTAGAATCGGGGCACGCGCGATTCATCATCCGAAGCATTAGCTAGTCGTTCATTCCGAGAAGCTTCGGGCTCCTCATAGAAAGCCACGCATTCAAGACCCGTTTGACAATGATGACAAGTGAAGCACTCCGGGTGGAAGCGCGATCCTCCCGCTGTGACAATTTTGCCCGAAATCGGAAGCGAGCACGCCTCGCAGCGTGCGGTTGGGATGCCTGATCGAGAATATGGCGTGTATGCGCGACTGTTCATCGCTGCTGTCGGCCGTTTTGCCGGCTGCTGATGGTCCTGACTCTTTTCAAAAGCCGCGCGCTTGGCTTGTACCGTCGAGGTTGGCTGGCGGACGGGCTGGGGCATCTCTGAGATCGTTGGCTCTTTGACATCAGGGACATTGATGACCGGGATCGAAGGTGATGTCTCTGCCTCCGAGATCTCGATACTAGGGGCTATTTTGATACTAGGCACAGGAGGGACAACAGGTGCGGAAGTTGAATGGGGTCGTGGCTGGTCGCCCGGCCGCCACTTCGGATCGAAGCTCACAATAGGTCGACCAACACGGTCACTGACCGCGGAGGGCATGGGCAATTTTTGACTTCGATCTTTGAGCTTCTTGCTCGTCGCAGCGCGTATCTCATCGCTACGAATCTCTTTACCGTCTTTCATTGGAACCTCCACGTCATTCCTTCGTGGCGGTGAAGGCGACGAGTTGTTGTGGGTGTAGGATGGATTGTGTGATTGAGTTGGTGAATTCTTGTGGATATCGAATTTGGAAATTTTGTCGCGCACCGCACCATTGGCGCCACGGTTCTGCAACCAAGGAAGTGGCTTACCGAAACGCGGCAGGGCACTTCGTGATTTGCTTCGCAGAGCAGACGAATCCGACTTGGAAAGATCAGGCTTCGTCTCAGTAGCTTGCGGCGGCTCTTCATAGATGTGATCTTCAGGATTTCGAAAGACACCCTTGGACGAGTCACCACTCACTGATCGAGGCTTGAGCGCAGGAGCCTCTTCTCTCTCTTGCCGCTTATCCCCTTCTGGTTGTTGTTCTTGTTCTTCTTTCTCTTCGGGCAGAGCGAAGTTGACTCTCAGATTCTTCTTCACCATGCCTGCGAGCGACGAGCGCCGTCTTCCCGACGAGGCCGATTTGCGTCTCGTAAATTCGGGACTAGAGGGCACGCTCGGTGGACTAGTTGAGGACGTACTCGAGGTAACGGAATCGCGATGCTTCAATGACAAAGGTCGCGGCATCATCTCTCTTCCGGATTGGTCATTGTCTGTAACGTCTGGATTGCGATACGGAGCATATGGATTTTTGAATTCCACACCAGGGTGTTGATGCATCCATACCAATTCCGTTGCCTCATCCTGAGCTGCCTGATGTAGTCGAATGTCGTCTTCCAAGTCGAGCTCTTGTAATGCATCTCGCAGCTTTTGTGCCTCCTCTTTCTCTTGATGTCGCTGCTTATTTTCCCGATAAGAACCAAATGATGGACTGGGCGATGCAGGCACCGGGCGCGAGAAGACTTGAGAAGGGAACGCAGTCCTTCGCACCGACACTGATCGAGGTTCTTGTACGAGTGGTCGACCTGTGGGGCCGGCGTCAGCAGCGTTGGAATGTGTACGACGATGAGACATGGCACTGCCGCTGCGAGGTTTTTCCTTGGGAGGGCTGTCCGAGGTCGGATACATGGAAAACGCGGAGGAGGCACGGGGAGGCAGATCCGCCTCGGTGTTGGTCGACGATGCCACTTGTTTACCCGGATACGGTCGCGAGCCAGTTGGCCGGGCTGGACGGTTGGTTCGGAGGTCTTTCAGGTAACTTGCTGAAGAGAGTGCACACCCGGTTAGCTGCAAGCTGTCTGGAGACTGGAACATGCCGTTATTGACAAATCCGCCCCCGGCGACTGGTGATATTCGAATTGGATTGACCAAAAGGGGCGCTTGAAGGAAAGCTTACCCATCTGGTCGCTATTCATATAGCTCGGTCTCGGCGGCGAGACCTTGCGCTGGCCGATGGGTTTAGTGGGTTGGTGCATGATGATCGATCGGTCTGTTGGCTGTTCAGCCGGTGTGGTGAAGAACCCGGCTGCGCACAATGCAGAATGGAGGGGCGGTGATGGCTGAAGATTGCCTGATAATGAGGTGGGATGAGGCTCAAGGAGGAGGCTTGAGCTACCTGATAAGGTGTAGTCTTCACGTCCAGGATTACAGCCAAGGTGGAGCTATGACCCTGATCTGCCCACGACAGCTGCGGAGCCCAAAACAAACAAGCCCCGGGCAACGCCTTCTATCATACTTTCCCATTTCGGACAGTAGTAGTAGTACCAGCTCGGGATTTACGGTATCACCACGTGATGATAAACCCCAGATTCACCATCAGCCGCGGCCCAAATGTGAGCTGGCATCGACATTGCCCGACCACGCACTTTTCACACCACTATGACGGCACCACGGAAGCCAAAGACCTTCGTAGCCCCTGACTCTGACTTCTCACAACTCGCTCCTGCAGACCGGAGCAGGTACAGGGCTTCGATAGTGGTACCGGGACGCTTCACAGCACTGGAGCTCTGCTGGATCGACACAAGTGTCCAAAAGCGAGCCTGCCAATATTCTCATTTCTTGTCCCCGATCATTGAAATCTGGTCTCTCCGTGCTCGATGATACTTCGAGAAGAACCAAAAGTTCCAGATACCTCGCAGGTCATTTGAACTATCGGACCTGCCTGGTCTAAGATTTCTTGGCTGGAATGATCATGGCGTTGCCATGTTACGCTTGATGCCATGTCCGAGATGAATATTACACAATGCTAGATATTAGAAGCTTCTTGCTTGATATAACGACCATGTATCGACCGTGATCCTTGACCTTTTTTTAGATTCAGTAATGACCTGCGTCAAAGTTGTGATTGATCTTGAAGATACAATTCCTGAGCTCTTCCCCTTTCGATCAAAACACCAAAAATGTTCCGCAGTACTGAGTTTTGGGAGCCTTGGCAGAGAGAACTGATGCTCCAACAGTGTGCACTCTTCTCCATATCTTGCCTGAACGTGTACGCTCAAAAGGTAGTATACATCCAGTTTGTCTGTGACTGTTGTGTACTTCCAATTGAGTTGGAGGATATGTACCATCAATTTTCTCAAGACCACTCTCTTTCTCAATGACAGTTTGAGATTTGTCAGCCTATGCATTCGATAATGCAATTTGCATGATTTTGGTTCGGGACATAGAATTTTCTAGTATCTATGTACAACATTCTAAGGAGGGATAGTGTATTAAGTGGCTTTCCAAGGTGTCGACTCTTCAAGAACAGACAGTTCAACTGAGATGGACAAGTTAGATCACCAGTTGTGTGCATTGTGCAGTCTATCTTGAAGGGATGCCGGCCTCTTTTGGAAGTGTAGTGGTGGACTTGAGCTCTTGTAAGTCGAGACAATAGGAAATCGCATCAGGGGAGCAGTGATATCAAGTCCTGGCACAAAATTGACTAGAGAATTCCATTGATCAATGTTGTTTTGCATCAGGGTGAAGCCAAGAAAGACGTTCATCTAGGTATGTCCGAGAGATCGCGGTGGCTAATTGACTCAGACAGCCTAGTCCCACGGGGTTGAACTGGATCAAGCAAGGGTTATTTTGCGACCATCACGGAATGAAGAACTTGCTGTTTGATCATCCAGCTGGGCCGGTTCCGAGCTGATGACATCTCAGCTCAGAATACTATGTCTGTAGACAAGGTTGGTCCGCGATCTGATTTGCTGTAGGTACTTGGTAGTAGCCCTGGTACTACCTAGGTAGGGCTATCTGAATCTATTCTTGACTTGCACATGCTACCCACTGAACCCAGTAGGTCCTTAAAAGAACGAGCTGAGCCGCTCTCGGTTATGGATGACATATCCTCAGTCCTATTAATAGGTAAACTGTGACTCGACGAGCCCGAGGTCTTTTCCGTGCATACTAATGTTTTTTCAAGATTGATACTGACCGTCCGGCTCATCGAGTGGAGCGCAGAGCTACAGATCATCGTTCATATTGAAAAAGTCACAGCCGGTGCCCCCATTGCATCTGTCTCGTGTCTACGGACTACGGATAAGCTTTGTGTTACCCGACAGCATGATGAATTTCGTCCTACTTCTCTAGTATCTCTATTCTATATCCTCGCGGGTAAGAAACTGGTGTGACAGCATCAACGTTTCAAGATGATGACTCCTCTATCTTTATATTTGTCCAACGTTTATATCACCGGCCAGAACCTTAATCACCCCAAGTCGGATCGAATCGCTGTGATGGAGCAGTCCATATTCTCCTGCGACTTCCCCACAAAGCGTGGAGAATGCCGGATTGCCTCCACATCCGACTCCAAACGGCCCCCAAAGTTCAGAATTGGAGAAGCCCCGTTCGAAAACCGTCCACGACTCCACGGAATGACTTGACGGACCGCGACAGAGTTAAGAGCGACCGCAATATTGTGGGTGGGGGACTCCAACTGCCGAGCGAGACACTCTGAATAGGACCTGGGGTTCACAGCGGTCATCTCGGGCCAATGCGACTAGCACCGTGGAATGGACCCCGATGGAACAGGCTTCATGTGAGCCTCACAATTGCCAAGTCATCCGTCCGTGCTTCCGCCTCCACGTTCCAAGCTTGGCCGCTAATGGCAACCCAACCTCGGGTGGTGGTGAGTCGTGAGTCGTGACAGCCGGTAAACCCCCATGATTCAAGTGGAGATCGGCACCAAGTCCGACGGGGGGAAACAGTGGGATTGGAACTGGAAGACTGGTCCTGTTCGAGGGGAGCTAGCCTCCAAATGATTACGAAGCTCAACTGGATTTCTCATTATGAGTTTCCCCTTTCCTCTGCTTGCGGTTCACGATTCTTCCGTTCGGACCGTTGTAAAATCTTCCTTCTGTGATGCTGCGATACTGTGGTCGCGGTTGCATGAGATTCTGATTCTTGCGACCTCACCATTGACACATGCGTCGTCGACGTCCATAGTCTCCCACAGCGAGTCCGGGGCGAATTCTCGTCACCCAAGACATGGCCGACAATATACCTGCCGAGCTGGTCGAATCCAAGAACCGAGATTCCATCACAGACGTCAGGTCGGAGAGAAAGGTTCAGTCACCAGTACAGCCTCAGAAAGAGCCAGAAGAGAAGCCGCAGCTCGATGTCCCACCCGACGGAGGATACGGTTGGGTCTGTGTTGCGTGCGTCTTTTGGATCAACGCGCACACCTGGGGAATCAACAGTGTAAGTTAGGGCATTACCCGGTCTGGCAGATCATCGACCTGCAGCGGGAACATGGAAGGCGATGTTCCAAGTGACAGCAGCGGCTGACATGCCTTCCCACCTTTTCAGAGCTATGGCGTCTTTCTCAGTCATTACCTCTCACACAATGTCTTTCCGAATACATCGGCTCTCTCATACGCGTTCACCGGGGGTCTAAGTATCTCGTGTGCCCTGCTCGTCGCTCCGCTCGCCACATATCTCATCCAGACATTTGGCACTCGCCTCGTCATTAACCTCGGGATCTTTTTCGAAACCCTCTCGCTCATCGGCTCTTCCTTTGCGACGCAAAAGTGGCACATCTTTCTCAGCCAAGGCGTCTGTTTCGGCTGGGGCATGGGCTTCCTCTTCGTCGGCAGCGTGGGAATCACGCCGCAGTGGTTTCTGAAGCGGCGTAGCTTCGCCATGAGCATCACCGCCGCCGGGTCGGGATTCGGTGGCTTGATGTATTCGCTGGCCGTCGGAGCCATCATCCCTCGATTGGGGTTGAGCTGGGCCTTTCGCATTTTAGGGATTATTTCCTGCGTGGTCAATCTCGTGTGCGGGAATTTGCTTCGAGATCGAAACAAATTGATTGGAAGTCGGTTAGTAGCGTTTCACATGCCGCTGCTGCGACGGCCGGAATTTGTCCTCTTTCTTGCCTGGGGTGTCTTCAGCATGTTGGGCTATGTCGCCCTCCTGTTCAGTGTAGCCAATTTCGCCCTCTCCGTCGGACTTTCTTCATATCAGGGAAGTATCGTGTCTGCTGTCCTCAATCTAGGCCAGGGGCTGGGACGTCCCGTCGTCGGGATATTCAGCGATCGTCTGGGTCGAATCAACATCGCCACCATCCTGACTTTTGTCTGCGGCCTGTTTTGTCTGGTCATCTGGGTCTTTGCAGACAGCATGGGCGTGGTCTGCTTCTTCGCCGTGCTGGTAGGGACCGTGGCAGGCACATACTGGGCCACGGTGTCGCCGGTCTTGGCCGAGATCATCGGTCTCAAGGACCTTCCCTCCGGTCTGAGCATCACTTGGTTGATGCTGGTCGCCCCGTGTACCGTCTCTGAAGCGATTGCGCTGGAGCTTCGGACCAGCCAAAGGGGAGGCGGAGTCTCGTATCTGCGCGTTCAGATCTTTACCGGGTTCATGTATATTGGCGCGGCTATTTGTCTGTGGCTCGTCCGTGGATGGAAAGTCGGCGAGCTAGAGTGCGCTCAAAGGCAGGAGCAAAATCGACAAGAATCTCTGAACCGAGTGCCTCTTGTGTTGGTAGGTCCAACCGATACAAGCGCGGAGAAAGAGGACCGGTCTGCAATTGCCTCTACGACCGGCTCAGAGGATACCATGTCGAAGCAGAACTGGGCGCCTGCAAAGCTCATGCAAAGAATGATCGCGTTGAAACGCGTATGAGTATGTACACGACGCGAGTTCTCCATCGACCGCATGTCCAAGCTTACACGGCGTTTCAACAAGAATCAATGCAAAATGTCAATTCCAAATGTCAATTCAAATCCTCCTTTCTCCAATTGGGAATTGGTCTCATTAAAAACAACCATGATTTTATCTAGAGCTACATTTTCTGTATTTGATCATGCAAAAGACGGGACCTCATGACCCGGTAATCAAGACGCGGACCCGGCGCTTGCCAGCACCACGACCCACTTCCTTGACCGAACTAACATTGACCTTGACCTTCTGGAAAAGCTCCACCTGTACACTCCTTTCCTTCTCAGAATGGGTCTTCTCAGACACACGAAGCGTGTATTCCTCGCTGTCAAAGTCCGTCGTGCGGTGAATGGCCAGCTCCCTTCGCTCGGCAACTGCAAATGCGCCCGACTCACCGGGCAACACAAAGTCCTCGAGGCGGACCACACCTTCGATGCCAAATCGAGGAACGAAGACCACTGCACCGTTCTCAAACACACGCATCACGTAGCCCTCCTCGTCGATGCCCGTATCGGTACCACCTGCAGCCAACTTCTCGCCACGAGCCTTGAGTGCCTGGCCAACATAGTATTCGATACTGGCGCGGCCAGCAAACTGGGCGTTGCGGTGACGATAGTTGATGTTGCGGCAGATATCCTCGAGCTTGCCGCGGGTGCTGACACCTTCATTGACGGCCGCACCATCCTCGCCCTCGTATCCAATGGCGGAGGCCAGCTGTCGATGGACTATAAGATCGGCATATCGACGAATCGGGGAGGTGAAGTGGGTGTAAATTGGAGATGCAAGACCGTAGTGACGGAATTCAGACTCGGCATGCGCGCCCGCACAGAAGTATTCGGCGGACGTCATGCAACGAGTGGCCAAAATACGGACAAGGGTGTTGAAGAATGGGTTCTCTGGGTCCACACAGCGATCAAGCGAACTGGCCAGTGCACCAGAGCTGGAGACATCGAGTTCCATGCCCCGCTTCTTTGATAGCTGGTGAATCAGATCTTCAAAGTTCTGGGGAGGCGGAGTCGCGTGACGACGCAGGAGAGCTGTCTGAGAGAATGACTCGTAAATTTTCGTGGCTACCGTGATGTTTGCGAGAAGCATGAATTCTTCGACCAGGCTGTTGGTTTCCAACATGGCTTTGGTCTTGACATCGGTGAGAGGATCGCCCGCTTCGTCGCCAGTCTCAATTCGAACCTCGGGTGAGGCCAAGTTCAAAGCGCCGGCATCGTATCGCTTCTGTCGCAAAATCTTCGAAAAACGCAAAAGATGGCGCATGCTCTCCGTCAGCTCATCCTTTTGCGACGGGTCGTCAATACGCAGCTGAGCCTGCTCATAACTAAATGCTTCACGCGAGCGAATCACCGACTTGGTGAAGGTGGAAGATACAATCTCGGCATTTGGTGTCACTTCCCAAATGACTGAAAAAGCATATCGCTCCACGTATGGCTTCAATGAGCACAGATCTGTGCCAAGAAGATGTGGAAGCATGTCAATGCGCTTATCAACCAGATACACAGTAGAGCCACGAACGCTGGCCTCAAGATCCATGGGGTTGTTGGGTTTCACAAAGTGGGATACGTCGGCAATGTGAACGCCGACCTCAAAGTTGCCGTTAGGAAGGGCACGCGCGTGCAGCGCATCGTCAATATCTTGACAACCGGGAGGATCAATACTGCAGATGAGAAGATCACGCAAATCACGTCGACCATTCCAGCCCTTATCATCTTTGGAGACGGGTACCTTCCAGTCGTGCCCCTCGGCAGGCAAGCAGTCCAAGACAGATTTAGGGAAAGGCTTGTACTGGACGTCATACTCCAACAGGAGAGCCTCAGTCTCTGCGCCCTTGGTCTCCAGCTCACCTAGCGAACGGATGTAGTGACCAGTGGGGTACCGAGAATCGCGGTCCCAGGAGTCAATGGTGACAAGAATGCGCTGACCGATCAGATCGCTGGCCTGTCTCGTGCGCACTCTGATCTTCGGAACTCTCTTTTCCATAGGAAGGACAAAGACTGTTTGCTGTCTCCTGCCAGAGTGCGAGGCTGTTGAGTTCGAGTCAACATGTCCAACATACTGGCGCCAGTTGCGCTTGATGATACCAACTACTTTGGCGGTCGGCTGCGGCTTGCCCTCTGAGTTCTTTCCGTGGGCCTGTTTCGCCTCCTCCTGCAGAGCCTTGCGCTCCCTGTCCGTCACAACAGCTTCTATTTCATCTGTATCTGGGTTGTCGTTCTTCGTCACGGCTTCCTCGTCGACAATTTTGGTGGATGGAGACTTCCATTGATCCTTGGGTAACAACTCAATGACAACCACGTCGCCAGCAATGGCACGATTGCTGTTATCGCGACCCAAAATCAAAAGAGGCTTGTCAAACGCAGGAACCTTGATGGATCCCTCGAGATAGTTGTATGGGGACACATTGAAAACTCCTTGATGCAACGTCCCGGCTCTAAGCCCGGTCATCAACCTAGACATGGAGTAATATTCCGGGTAGAATAATTCCCCGCGAGCAGAGCCCTTGGTGTCCCGAGCCTCTCGCGCTTCGCTGATCATGTCCAGCAGCTTCTCGGAATTTTCGAGCCCAGCGACATAGTCCGAAAGAGAGAGCGCTGTCACGTTTTCTTCTTTTGCTTTCCTGAGGTTGCCTTTGTCGTCGGTAATGACAACAATCGCCGGCAGTGAGCTTTCTTTCTTGCCCCTTTTGGTCGAAAGGCGAAGATGTTCCTCGTACCAGCTTGCGACTTTACGTACGGCGCGATCGTTTCTGTCGTTGATGGATTCTTCAGGACCTCGTCTGATATGAGTCTCGAGGCGGAATTCGTTGAAGAAGAGGTAGAATCGCTTCTCGTCTGTCTTGATTAGCGACAAGAGGCGATTATAAAGAGGTAGTGACTGATTTCGGAGCTCTTCAAGGACCGTTTGGAGGATTATGACATCGTAGAAGGCGCCAGTGTGTTCGAACAGGTCCATTCCATTCAAAAGCGCATTCGTATCGGGGACGAGATAATGACCGCGGGGAAAGGCTTTGGTGCCGGCAGGCCGATCAGACAGGACGAACGGAGCAACTGATCTGAATTAGCATATACAACGGGCACAGATTCTGGAGGGAAAGTCTGACTGTTTCCATTGGCATCGGCTGGGGCGACCGAAGGACAGGACGAGCATAACTTTGACGAGCAAGGAATATCCTGTCTCAAATAGAGCTCTCGAACGATCTTCTGAACTTTGCCGCTTTTAGTTGATCGCACGAAAACTTTGCTGGCGACATTGGCGGCTTGTGGATTGGAGGAGACATCTCTCCTCAGGCTCTTCATTGTGATGAGAGTTTCTTTGCCGAATGGCGGTAGCGATCGTCACCTGTAAGTTGAAGACTATGAAGCGTGATTCTCGACAAGGAATCGATCTTTGCGGGCGGATCTGATTATCGTCACGTTTAGACCTTATCGCGATAGCTGAGTCAGCACGATCAATTGCCGCTGATGTGCGCGCGGATGGAAGCCCGTTTCATGACCGTCGGCCCGGCGATGTACCTCATCAACCAGTGCGAATGACGAAGTTTGTCTTATCATAGACAAAAGCCCTTTTGCCCACCGGGAGAAGCTTAACATAGTGTAGCGAGGTGTAAGGCAGTATTGAGTACGGCTAAATGTAGTTTCCACTAAAAGTGAAGGACTGAAAAATTGGATCCTTCATCTCTTGGTGTAGCACCTGTTACAGGAGCAACAACATGTAGCTGGACCGATGCAGGTACGCCATGTGGAGTGGCCGTCGGAGGGCAGACTCATCACGAGCCAAAGCAGAGGCAGTCATCTTTTGGAATACCGCCACAACTATCTCTGACCATCACATCGGGGGGTTAAGTGAAGAATTGAAGTTATCGCAATCTCTCGTTTCACCTCATATTTCAATCCGAAGTCTTCAGCGTCGTTTCTAAACTGTAGCAGTCTCAGACAAGATGGTGCTCGCGGTGAGTGGTTAACTGTCTATTAGTAGGATGCTACTCGATGTTTCGATCAACTGACAGGACGAGCAGGCCGTTGGTCAGATATGTGCGACAGCATGCATCAAGTCTAATCTCATCCAGTGCCAGACACTGGTGCGACAGGCGGCTCACGCAGGTGCGAAGGTATACCGCGTTCTATTAGCCTAGTGACCGATTTAAAGTCAAAGACCCTACCTAATCTTTTAACAGGTCCTCTTTTTGCCCGAGGCTTCAGATTACATTGCGACATCAGCAGAAGAGTCTTTGGCGCTCGCTCAGTCCTCATACTGCTCCCACTTTCTGTCCGCACTGATGGATGATGCAAAGGACAAGGGCCTACACATCAATGTCGGCGTTCACGAAGTGGCCTCTGACCGCAGGCTCAAAAATTCATTGCTTTGGATCGACGATGAAGGCCGTATCACTCAGAGTTATCAAAAAATACATCTCTTTGACGTTGACATCAAAGATGGCCCCATCCTCAAGGAAAGCAAGTAAGTCATCAACATGTTCAAACCCTGCCAAACCTGGATCTCACCTCCCCAAACCAGGAATGTCGAGCCCGGGCAGAAGATTGTCCCTCCCTTTGAGACGCCAGTCGGACGTGTCGGTCTTGCCATATGTTTTGACGTAGGTGACTCGTCCCCCCTGTGTCAAGGATGGAATCTCTGAGTTCTCGTGCTTCAGAATTGCAAGTTCGCAACTCTGATCTTCATCTCATAAACCTGCAGTTGCGTTTCCCAGAAATAGGCCTGGCATTGCGTCGTCAGGACACCGAAGTAATTACCTATCCTTCTGCGTTCACTGTTCCCACCGGGAAAGCCCACTGGGAGTCTCTACTGAGAGCGAGAGCCATCGAAACTCAGTCTTATGTGGTGGCAGCTGCACAGGGTGGCCCGCATAATGAAAAGAGGCGCAGCTATGGTCATTCAATGGTCATCAACCCCTGGGGCGAGATTGTGGGCGAATTGGGTGACGAGTACGCAGAACCTCAGCTTCTGACGGCTGATATTGATTTGGATCTTGTCTCCAAGATCCGGAAGGAAATGCCCCTGCTGAGGAGGACCGACGTCTACCCGGAGATTTGAACAGAGCCTCAAGACCGCCCAGAAAGGGGTGCGCCGAGGAGGGTGTCTGCCCGAGTGGTGATAGTATTGATTGGCGAAAGTCCCCGATCACGCTTCTGGTCTCACCTTTGTTCAGACCTACGGAATGAAGCCAATAACACGTTTGCTCAACTCGAAGTGATTGATTTGTGTCAAAACGACGGGAATCGATCCAGGCGAAACATTGATAAGTAGTACAAAAACTCGGGTAAGAAGAAAATTGAAAAGAAAATTGGAGGAAAACGGAATGGAAAAACCCCATCTAACCAAAGGATCGGAACATCATGTCTGCCATCGCAGGTGATACAGGCGCCAATCGAAATGAACCTTTTCCGATCTCTCTATGTACAACGTACAGAAAGGCGCTGAATGCGTTGCCTCTATTTCTGGGTCTTCTCAGAATCCTCCAGGATGCCTTCAGCCTCAAGTCGTCGGCGAGCTTCCTCGAGAGCCCAGGTTTGTATGCTAACAATGAAGTCAGCAATGGGTTCATTCATTTGATGGAACCCTCTCTTCAACGATTTGGCATAGGCCATTTTGCGACGAAATTGACCCCCAGAAGCAAACAAGGACCTGAAAGGCGGCGGAAAACTCACGAGGTGTCAGGCTTGAACACATATGCAACGCCAGCGGCCACCAGACTGCCAATGAATCCGTAGTACCAAATCCCCTCCCAACCTTCCTTCTCGTACTTCTGGCCGGGCTTCACGCCAAACAGCCAGCCAGTGGGCGGATCGTAGTGATCACCATGATCAGCAGCACGAAGACTGCTTCGGGTCGAGAAAGCCTGGGTGTTCTGGGGCTTGCGCAGCAGGCATCGCGAACGAAGGAGGTGCGACACTGGCCTGGCAACCATATTGCAAAGTGAGGGCGAATGCGGCCGTAAAAAGATCGGTGGGGATAGATGGAGGATGGGACGCTAAAGTTTGCGGCCACTGGAAGTTTGTGAGGGCGACAACTTTGGTCAATTCGCGATTGTCGGTGAGTCTCGACAAGAGGGGTTATACGACGATTCGATGCTGAAGCCGCAAAAGGACGATGGAGAGCTGTCCAGTCATTACGCTAATCTGTTTTGGGCAAATTTGGACTGGCCGCCTTTTCATGCCAGATTTTCCAGGTGTACAGTGAGCGCCTTCCCGATAAGGCAACAGCAATCAACGCGCGACGCGTTCTTATCGTATCTTGCCTTATTTATCTCCTTGAATACTCCACTCCATGAAAATGACGGGGACCTCATGTCGAGTAGCCCGAGTACATAACACTATCCTGCCGGTATATTGTGAGCTTACATCCTCCAGCCCGTAACTTCGGCTGCGTACTGACATTGTTTGCCGACAGTCGATGATGCGCGTTCGTTCAATCTGATACTTCCACTCCTCTTCGGCAATTACTCAATTGAGCACTATGGCGACTACAAATAACAAGCCGTGGCCAATATCCTCTAAATCACGCACAAAACTGAACGCGTTTCGGTACAACGATGAAACAACAACGCCGGAAATCGCAATACCCAAAGATAGGACAGGTAACGGGCACAACGACAAGGAAAACCAACGCTCATGGCTCAATGGAGTGGTTGTACAAGCGCAAGCAAGCAAAGAAGAAGCGCATGATGTATTGCCCCCTGCCATGCCTCTGCTTGAACAACCATGTTTGACCGAGGAGCCCAGGCTCTTCAAGGACTGCCCTCGAACGCCAGGCAATCGCATACCTTTGGAGGACTTGATCAGCAATGCCGAGGATGCGTTCGAATCCGCGCAGGCCTCCGATGTGACCCCGGTGGATCACGTCATTTGGCAACATGTCCCAGCTAGTTCAAATCCAGATGTATCGTCGCAGACACCGGCACTTCGTCGGAGAAAACGTCGTCATGGCTCGTCGCCAGTGGGATCCCCAAGTCGAGAGAACTCGAAGAAGCCACACAAGGAGCCGCTGGGCCTTCAGTCAATACAGGCTCTTCTTAAGACACCCCAGCATGACCTTGCCGCTGAACTTTGGAACAATTATGTGGATAAGAACATGGTCGAAGGCACCGAGGATCTTCCTGCACCTCGACTTGCGAACCTCCTCTCATCATCACCGCAAACCCCAATCTCAGGCAGAACCAGCCGTGATTCATCTGTTCTCAGGCGATCCGTCAGCTGTGTTGCCGAATGGCCATCATCTCGCACGAAGCGCAGAAAGGTCAATCGTCAGGATCTCGACTCTGGGCGAAGCATTTTCTCCCGCACTAGAAGCAACGTCCTAGACTCGGGCAAGGGCAAATCGTCGCGAATCAACTTCCTCCTCGACAGAATTGAGAAGAGCCTTCACCCGCCATCGCAATCTGAAATGGGCCCACCGAATTCCTCTCCCTTAAGGCAGCGCATGGATGCGCAAAGGTGTCGCTCATCGTCTCCAATCTTGGACCGGCAAGGTACCGAGGGTGCTAAATCCATCAATGACGCTCATATCCTCGAGCTTGCTGAGCACGCTACGGCTCTCGGTTGTCAAGGACTCCAAGACTCGGACTCTGAGTTTGGTGGTGACGATCTAGATGAAGACTTTTTGAACCTCGCCGAAAATGCCGCAGATCCATTCGTTGATACATCCCGTCAAGAAAGGGAATCCACGTCCTTTGGCTCATTCTCTGGCACGAAACAAACAGCAGGAACCTCTGCCTTCGGTGATCCTGGAGATGCAGCCTTGACGCAGCTGAGACTAACATCTCAGACACATTTTACGACTAACGAAAATGGACGTGACGACTCTGATAATTTTGATGATGAGTTCGGTGATGATGACTTTGGGATCTTTGATGACCAGCTAAAAGATGCGCTGGTGGACTGTGAAATGGAACCGGTCAAGGCACCAAACACTCATGTTACTACCGGGATTCAATCAATACGACAAGTCGAGCCAACTTCTTTGAACCATGACAGCCAACCCCCAGTGGAAGGGTTGCATGTCCTGGGCCAAGCGGCACAGTCTAGTTCTGATGACGAATTCGATGATGACTTTGATCTTGACGCAATTGAGCAAACCATGGGGGCAAGTGGTAATGGTTCAACTCATAATGTATGTCATTCTTAGTGAATTTCTGCCTCCACAGGTATATGCTAAGACAATGGAAATGATAGAACATCAAGTCTCGAGAAGCCATCAAGCGATACCAGGTCGTGGATACTGCACAAGGTTCGTACGTCAATTCGAAGGGACGTACACAACCTGAACAGGTATGACAAGGCCATGAGATGTTGGACATGGGGACATTGCTAAGTAGTTCGCAGGTATTATCTGTCAAGGATGAGAGAACAGATGCTCGTAAGGTCATCGTCTTGCGCGAGTCATGGTTCGATACACCCTGCGTCAAAGATTCATTTGTTCATCTAGTTGGGGATTTTAACGCACTCGGTCAGTGCGTGATTGACAACTCACACAACATGATCATTCTTCACCCCGACCACTTGATCTCAGCTACTGTTGTTGCGGATTCTGTGGACTGTCAACGACGTGCGGTCCTTCAAGATCGAGTGAAAGTCATCGGCCAGATTGAACGCCCACAGGCATTGGGAATTATACTCCATGAGGTGTTCCAAGCAGCGCTCATGGCAAATCAGTGGGACTCTGATTCCATGAGATTGCTGGTTGAAAAAGTACTCGAAAACCATATCGAAGAAGTTTACACAACAAACATGCGAATGTCTGATGCCATTGACGAAGTTATGAGCAAGTTACCTCAGATTCAGGGGTGGGCAGACGTCTTCTTGCAAACTAGTCCCAAGGTATGACATGCTTATTCATTGACACGTCAAAGTATCATATCTAACAGTTCAGTAGGCCAACTCCTTGGTCGAAGATCGAAACGGCGCCAAGCTCAACCTTAGTATTAACAAACTCCTTGAGGTTGAAGAGCATGTTTGGTCGCCAATGTATGGACTCAAGGGCAACATTGATGCAACAGTGCAAGTCGCATGTGTTGAAAATGACACAACAAAGACTCTTGTTGTGCCACTCGAATTGAAAACAGGAAAGCGAGACACGAACCAGGCACACAGGGCACAGACTGCCCTCTATACCTTGTTGCTGTCTGATCGTTATGGTACGTAATTATTATCCATCGTAATCATCGCGGATCTGACTTAAAGTAAATAGATGTCGACGTGACCTTTGGCCTGCTTTACTATCTTGAACTCTCAAAGACATTTAGTATTCGGGGCATTCGACATGAGCTTGTTCAAATGGTTCAAGTGCGCAACCGCCTAGCAGGTTATGTCCGTGAAAGGATGCAACTTCCCCCCATGCTGAAAAAGGCACAGATGTGCAACAAATGCTACGCTAAAACACCATGCTTGATTTACCACAAACTTGCAGAAGACGGCAATGGTGACTCAAGTGCACTGGGTGACGATTTCGAAGCCTTCACGCGACACCTGAACGAAGGTGATCGTGACTTCTTCCGCAAGTGGGACGATCTTTTGACTAGGGAGGAAAGCAATCTGATCAAGTTCAAAAGAGAACTCTGGACATTGTTGAGTGATGAACGTGAGTCATTAGGCCGCTGCTTCGGAGACGTTGTCCTTGATTCTCGCACGGTTTTTGAGGATCAGAATGGAAGTCGAATCAATCGTTTTCGGTACACCTTTCGCAAACGAAGCACGTCGCCTAGCTTTTCATTTTCGGAGTCACAGATAGCAGTCGGCGACCCAATCGTTGTCTCTGATGAAAAGGGCCATTTTGCGCTCGCGAACGGGTACCTCACTCATGTGCACAATTCTCATATTACTGTTGCTGTTGATCGTAGGCTGCACGATGCCAGGGCAAAGACTGTTGGCTTCGATCCAATTTCTAATCAGTCCTTCAGGGGAATTATGGAAGTTGGGAAAGATGAGCTCTCGGAGCTCGCCAATCCAGAAGAGCAGATGACTTACCGCATTGATAAGGATGAATTTAGCAACGGCATGGCTATCGTTCGAAACAACCTCATTTGCATGATGGATAAAGATCTCTATCAGTCCAGGCACCTGAGAAGGCTCATAATTGCAGGTCAGCCGCCTATCTTCCAATCGGCTTCACCATCATACAACATTCCAGATTCGGCAAGTCTCAATGTCGACCAAGAACAAGCCATTGAAAAGGTGATGAGGGCAAAAGATTACGCACTCGTCCTCGGCATGCCAGGCACCGGCAAGACCACAACCATTGCACATATTATTCGAACACTTGTTGCGCAAGGGAAAAGTGTTCTTCTGACATCCTATACGCATACGGCTGTGGACAATATTTTGCTCAAAATCCGTGACGACAACATACCCATTCTTCGCATAGGTGCAGCCACGAAGATTCATCCTGAAGTCCAAGAATTTGCCGACATGGCCGCGATACCGAAGAAGACAGTTGAGGAACTCAAGCACTCGTACGAGAACCCTCCGGTCGTGGCGACAACATGCCTCGGAGTCAACCACAACATTTTCAATCAACGTATATTTGATTACTGTATAGTTGATGAGGCTTCGCAAATTACGCTCCCGGTTTGTCTGGGACCCATTCGCATGGCAAGGACCTTCATTCTTGTGGGTGATCATTACCAACTCCCGCCGTTGGTGCAGAACAAGGCTGCTCAGGAAGGAGGCCTAGATGTCAGCCTATTCAAATTACTCTCAGACGCACAGCCTGATTCCGTTGTCAACCTGGAGCATCAATACCGCATGTGTGAAGATATCATGCTGCTTTCAAATGTCCTGATCTATTCAGGAAGATTGAAATGCGGAACTGCGGAGGTCGCAGGTCGATCGTTGGAGATTCCGAACATTCATGCGTTGGCACAATTTCACACTGATAACCTCGTGCCTACTCAAGCAAAACGGGAGATTTGTCTCGGAAAAGGACATGGGCGCTGCTGGCTCAATGACTTGCTTGCGCCCTCCGCGAAAACCCTCCTTGTGAATACTGATACCCTGGGAGCAGCAAGTCTCGAGACAGCTCAAGGACAACGGGTTGTGAACCATGTTGAAGCCGTGTTGTGCACACAGCTCGTTGAGGCTCTCATTGCTTGCGGCATCTCAGCCAGAGACATTGGTGTCATCACTTTCTATCGGAGTCAACTTTCTCTCTTACGCCAAAGCCTTCGTCGCTATGCGCCAGAACTTGAGATGCATACAACCGACAAGTTTCAAGGACGCGATAAGGAAGTCATCATTCTCAGCTGCGTGCGCAGCAATAGCGAAAACCACGTTGGAGAACTTCTACGCGACTGGAGGCGAGTCAACGTTGCATTTACCCGTGCCCGGACCAAGTTGCTTGTACTGGGTAGCAAATCGACTCTGCGCGACGGCAACGAACTTCTTGGCAAGTACGTCAAGCTGGTAGAAGGTGAGGGCTGGATCTATGATCTTCCCTTCAGCGCAGTGGAAAGTCACACTTTCTCCACTCCTGCATTCGACTCTACGCAAATGTCTTTTGCTTCTCCCAGGGCGACGAGAAGCCCAACCTCGTCTAAGAAAGGCCCAGGCTCGTCCGTGAAAAAGAAACCCGAGATGCGGGATGTCCTCAGCCCGTCAAGATCCCGCAGCCTAAAACAACCTGCAAAGCGAGGCGCGAAACTGTTCAACGGTACCTCTGTGGTGGGAAACAGACCCATCCTCCAAGACATCGTAAATGACATTGCTGGGTAAATTTCGCGATGCCTGATTGGCAAAAACTGTTGAAGATGAGCTTCTTTTACTGAGCAACTTTCTGTAAATACCATGTCCATGCTTTTGTTGAAATTTGATTCAGTGCGACATTATGACCGTGCTTTGCAACGCTGTGAGGATTGATGGTTTTTCGATCCAGATGGATCAGAACGATCATTGAAGACTGAAGTATTTGCGACTCGCACCAGCCACTTCTCAATCAACGTTCTGTGCCTTTCAAAGAGGTAGGTAGGAAGGGACGGCTTTGACAAGATGGCTGCTATTTATCCAAGTTGTTGAGCTTCACATGTCCAGTGGAACCATTAGAAAGTTCGATGATGTCTCAATTCATCTTGCGCTTTCTGGGCTCATCTAGCTTGAATAACAGTCAAAGCTCGAATCGTGTATTGCAGCGACATAATTGCTGAGCCTTACAAATCATGCTTCCGGTCAGAGCAATAAAATGATGGGTGATGATCCATTGTTACTAAAGTAAGAGTAGTGTGCAGTTCTTGTTGCAAAGTCGAAGGGCCAACTGGCGGCGATGAAAACCGACGCGGCAAAATATGAATGCAAGCGCGCTAATGATAACACCATATGGGATGCAAAGTTGAACCAAACGATACGCTGAAGCAAATGTGACAGAGGCCGAACACAGACAGCAGAACACAAGGTGATAGAAAGGACGCAAAACAGTCAGTGAGGAGGGGTGTGAGGAAGCCAGGAACGATCGTCCTGGTATAGAGGGTCAAAAGGGGCAAGGGCAGGAAGAGGTTGGAGACACGTAGGACAACACGGAGGGTAAGAAGGAGGATATGAAGGACCACAGGTCGGAGGATTAGAAAGGGAATAGGAAGGAGAACATGAAGATGGATAGAAGAGAGGATTAGAAGGAGCATAGGAAGGAGCATAAGAAGGAGCATAGGAAGGAGCATAAGAAGGAGCATAGGAAGGTGCATAAGAAGAGGCATAAGAAGGGGCATAAGGAGGAGCATAAGAAGGAGCATAAGAAGGAGCATAAGAAGGAGCACAAGAAGGACTATAAGGAGGAGCACAAGAAGGAGTATAATAAGGAGGATAAGAAGGATCGTTGGACGGAGTATAGGAAGGAGCATAAGAGTGAGAAAGGGAAGTGAGCCCGGAAGAAGAAGCCGACGAAGAATCGGAAAACGAAGCAAGAGAATCACTCGGAGGAGTGATGGGTGGAGTAAGGAGACGAACAAAAGACGAGGGAGCTGGAGTCATCACGTTACGGATGACAGGAGCAGCAGGAGAAAGAACAGGGGTAGTACAAGAAACAGTGATAGAAGGAACATCGGGAGCAGCAGTAGGAACAACAACGGGAACAGCAGCAGAGACAGCGGGAGTAACAGAAGGAACCGGAGACGGGACCGGAGAAGGAACAGGAGAAGTAGACAAAGACACAGAAGAAGGGACAACAGAAGGACGAGAAGGAGAACGAGATGCCGGAAGAGAAGAAGAGGCGGAAAATAAGAAGGAGGAGGAGGAGAAGGAGGAGGAAGAGGAGAACGAAGGAGGACAAGCAGAGAAGACGTGACAGCCAGGCAGCTGAGGCCGTGGCCTTCGAGCCCGTTTTTTGTTGTCTTTAGGGCCGTTTAGATACGTTTTTTTGCCGTATCCGTCAATTTTCCAGCGGCCATGATTGTTGGGGTTGACCACAAACCCCTTTGGCACCGTGAGATACGTCTGATCCCAGGTGAAATTGCTGGTAACCGGGACTTTCACCCGGCAAGGAGTCTTTGAGGCAGTCTTTTGGACACGACTGCGTTTGACAGTTGCCTTTAGAGCTGGCAGGGGCTCAGGGTGGGATGCCGCAGGCTGCGGACTTGAAATTTGCGTGGCTGGCACGGCCTGATTGTCGACTGCGCCAGACGAGTTGACGGTCTCAGAGACTGATGATGTCTCTGGCGAGGGGAGAGACGCTTCTGCGTCGTTGGAGCTTGAACCTTCCCACTCAATAGTGGTGAAGGTTTCCAGGACGGCACGGTACTCCTGGTCTTGACGTCTATCACGTTCAAGACTCTCCCAATCAAAGGCTTTGAAAGCCTCGTAAAGAGCCCGGGACTCTTGGTCCTCAAATTCGGGCTGGCCAGTCCGGCTGGACGAGAAAGAAGAAGAAGACATGACCACGAGCTTAGCTCGGCGGGCCACAAGAGACGGGGGTGAGGATGGAGATCAGGCAGGGCCTGAAGCGCAGCAGCGAGAGCTTGAAGCTGACGCAGAGCGAGAAGTGAGGAAAGAAGTTAGGCCAAGAAGTGATGAAAGCTGAGATCTGCTGATGTATAGAGTGAGCAGACAGTGAGGAGACGGTGAGGCGACAGTGAGGTGGAAAGGATCAAGATGGAGAGGGCGAAAGCACAGGGTTTTTATGCCCTGTGGTGAAGCCAGTGTAGATGTCATTGCTATGAAAGAATATGCGTAATTGATATCAAAATGGAAAGAACGATATCATATTTTCATCTTCAAGTGATGGAAAAATCTGATTGAGATATCAGAATGGAAAGAACGATATCGAGATACCATGGTTGAAGTTCTGCAGGCATCTGAGCAATTCAGGGATTCCATGGTTGAGAATATGCAGGCTAGGGAAGGAACTTGGGGTGACGTGCGTGGTGATTGATTGGGCATAGTGATTTAGTAAATGTCGAAAAGCCACGGCTGGGTTCAGGCACTTCTTGCCTTTCTCATTATGTTTATCTGATAGTAGTAGCACCGACATACTCCCAGGTCACCGAACTGGATCTCGGGGCATCGCGAAGCGATGTCTCCTCATCTCCAGACATTGAAAGGCTTAGATTTCCATGAGATGGTGCTTGCGAAGCAATTGACGGCGCCGTGACAATGGTGAAACCGTCCCTTCCGTCTACAGCTTGTGTTCGCAGCGTCAGGGCAGAAAGTGCGAACCAGCTGAATGATGACGACGGACTGAGACGGGAACCATGGGAGGATTTGCGGCCATTGCTGCTTGAAGCTTTTGTTAGCCTCCTGTCTCTTTCCCAATTAGGAAATATCGTCATGACAACTCACAGTAGCCATGCATATAGATCCAGAATCCACTTCGATGAGATAATTCCTTGCCATTTTAGGCTAACCAGGTTGACGGTCCTGCAGACCTCGTCCCCTGGAACCTGAACCTCATAGCGGCTCAGATATGGGTCAACCTCATCGTCGGCCAAAATGCGAGATGACTTCAATTGCACCAACGCAATCCATTCAGAGAAGGCACCGCATTTCTGCTGCATATCGTCCTCGGACATATGAGATGATACAAGCCCTTGAAGGGGGGGCATCGACACTCGGCTCAGATTCGTCTTTTTAGGCCCGGAGTCAATCCATTGCGGGCTTTGATTTTCAATCGGAGTGGGAGATTCTAGAACATCATCAGCCATCGCTCCTGCCGTTTCTTATGTTCTTCGTAGAGCGATGACTCAAAACTGACCTTGATCCACAGAAAGGCTGACCAGGTCACAGAAGAGCCACGCCATGGGTCTGTTCAGCACATTCTGAAAAGCCCAAACAATTCTGTCAAAGCCCTTCTTGCCGTGCAACATAGACGGCAGTCGCAAATTCAACTCAACCACTGTGAATATTGTCCGAATCAGTACCCAGATAGGCATAGTAGCTTCTCAAAGTGTTGCTCATACAAAATCTATCTTTGGCATGCTTCCTTCCACCGCTTCGGATAGGTTTTCCGGTCAAGCCTGTGCGCTCATACACTTCCTTGCCAAGTTCAATCCTGAGGATGCCTGTGAGATAATCGCGTCAATATAATTCCCTGGATGGTGTGTACGATGGCATTATTGGGAAATATTCACCATCATTGAGCGTGAACATGGTGTCTGACCCTGCTCGGCCTTCTGAGATCATCATCACGTTACCTGTGGACCCTGGTTAGCACTTTCCCTGAACGACGACGAGGCGGAGCATCTTACCCCTCTTGATGTACGTATTGAAGAAGTCATGCTCCAGGAGTTCTGATGGAGACATGAAGACGCGAGCAGATCGTGGCTTATTGATTTCATCCAATGACGTCTGAACCTCCGCGTACACCTCGTCTTCCAGAATGACTTCAACCTATTGAATTGGATTAGCCCGTATCCCATTTGTAGTTGAGAGGACGGATGAGAGTTCATTTACCGTGTGTACAAAGGGATGATTCATGATCGTAGAGAAGGGAGCCTTCTTTCGAGGTATTTGATTTGAATCGATAACCCGAGGTAACTGAGCGATAGTGGTGTAGCATTTCTCACGACGCGACGCGTCATCGCTGAAATCAAACATTGTCGCCTTCAGTTCTTCGAGAAAATACACATACGATCAAGTAGTGGCTGGAGAACGACCGAGGAAGAGCACAGAGACACCTCAACGCAGAAACAAACTAAGCTGGTTCGCCAAGGGCATGTGTGGAGCGCGATAGAGCGGAGAAATTAAAAAAAGTTGATCCTCTCAAATGCTTATCGATAGAGGAATCGATGGAGATACCGCGATCTCAGAATGGATCACATCCACGACTCAGTGAGCCGAGCGATGATTTGAACGAGAAGTCGTAATGTCTCTCTGTGGGCGTGGATGACTCTTTATATGGCTCTATTTGCATTGATTGACAAGTGGAGTGACCAGACCGCATCTCTTCAGTCAACATGGATTGACTCTCCGAATCCCGACTCGGAACTTGAGCTTCGGTAAAGATCAATACATCCATAGTTCGTTGGACCCGCATCAGAACGGATTCGGCTGCAGGGCAAAGATTCGTCTTGTCCAAGTCCCATTCAAGTCTCGATTTGCCTTGGCAGTGGGGAGTTAAAAGGTGGGTGACCGAACTTAGAAGTCTTTTCCAGGGTTGACCTCGAATAGGATCCCCAAGGCTGCTCATCACTTCGTACATTGCATCCATCTGTCTATCTATTCGCTTGATTCCAACCACACTATAGTAACTTACTGCACAGTCCTGGCATTGAACTCAGCTCCCTCCAAACCCTGCTAACACCTCGTGAGATTTCATCGGCGGAACTTGACTGAGTATATGAGAACAGATGAAAACAACTGATACTAATGCACGGCCCGGCCACAGGATAATCCATCAATTGAGCACTCGATGCGTCCGTCCGCGTTGAGGTAAACCCAAATCAGGGGCATAAATATTTGTTACCTACTAGTATCATAGTAGTAACTAGTATGTGACTATATAGTCATACGCCGTCAGAAGAATTTCGACTTCAGAACACGAGGGCAACCCGACCATCCTCAATCCCAGCCGCAGGGAGTAAATAAATTGAAAACCCAAATGTGTATCGTCGTTGCCAGAGATTTGCAACTACCTAACACTACGACATGAGTGCTCCCTTTGCAATCGCTTTGAACAGCAGATTGATGCAGATGCAGATGTAAAGCTCAATTTCTGCCTCAGGCTGAAAAGAGCTATCATGCACTATCGGACCATCGGCGGGTGGGCTTGGCCTTCGGATGAAGCATGCAAGGTTGCTGGACCGTCATGAGCTTCTAGTCCACAGCAGGCTACAATTCCTTCAGTCTCACTCTTCTTGGCCTGCGTGAAGTTGATAAGAGGACACCGGCACGCTCAGAATTTATTTTCTCTGGTGGAAGTTTGAGGAGAATTCCATTATGGCGCCCGCGCCGCGCCGCGACCTGCTCGCGAAAGAGCATTTCGCACTCGTCTTTGGAGGCGTCAAGACTCAAAGCTACTACGACCCAGCTGCCAAGGGCCCAGGATCACATACGTGAGTGGAACAGAAGACAATCTCATGTTCTTTGCTAACCATTCTGCGCGCCGTAGAATTCGAACGCTAGCCTGGAATCCGACGGGCCAACTCATTGCGACCGGCTCGGCCGATCGCACGTTACGTATCTGGAACCCCGAGCGGCCGGCGATCAAGTACTCGACGGAGCTTCGCGGGCACACAGCTGGGATCGAAAAAGTGTTGTTCAATCCTGTCCGCGACGCAGAGCTTGCGAGTTGTTCAACGGATGGAACGGTCCGCTTTTGGGACGTGCGATCAAAGACGTGCGTGAGCCGACTCGATGTCGGCGGCGAGGCTTTTACCATGTCTTGGTCTGCTGATGGTAGTACGATGGTCGTTGGCAAAAAGGTGAATACAAGAATTGGTTCGCTCCTCCTCAAGCTACAATACCAACAACAGCACTGACCCGTGTTATCGTTCTATCTGTATAGGACGATACTTTGATCCCCATCTCAGTCCAGTCACCCTCCACACCTACCGTCTTGTCAAACAGCAGTGCCTTCAATGGCATGGCTCCTACCGGATCTTCAAAGTCCAACGCCTCCATATATCAAGCTCTCACACCCCATCCGCAGCCCATCCAAACAAACGCCACCACCTTCTCCAACCACGTTGCAACCCCATCCTCGCCTGACCTTCACCTCTTCGCGACCACGGGCGAGGGCACCGTCAAGATCATGTCTTACCCATCCTTTGACACTCTGCACACTCTCCACGCGCACACCTCTGCCTGCATGGCCATCTCACTCGCACCGACGGGCCGCTACCTTGCAGTAGGTGGCAGCGACGCTCTGATTTCGCTTTGGGACACGACGGATTGGATCTGTCGTCGAACACTATCCAGCGAGAATGGCGGGTCTATTCGTGGCGTGAGCTGGAGTTTCGATGGCCGCTTTATCTGCGGTGCGTGCGATGAGCCATACTGTGGTGGGAACGGCCTCGAGATTTTCCACGCCGAGACCGGAGAGAGCATCTACACTATTCCCACTGCCGGTGTACATGTGGGCGTGCCTGCTGTTGCATGGCACCCTTCAAGATACTGGCTGGCTTACTCGACAACACATGATGGACCGGGAAGTGGTTCGGGAGGGTTGAAAATTGTTGGCGCCGGTGGCGGTGCCTTGTAGAGTCGAAGGACGTGGTTGAATCAACATATTCACTTTACCGAAAGACTACTTTCTGATTCCAGAATCACTAGTTACCAGAGAGCTTCAACGGAGGACGTTGTGCGAACAAACATCAGCCTTATATTTTTACAACATAAGCAGTCGCGGAGAGGAATGTGAAATTGTAAATGCGCCACGAGTCGGATAATTCACGATCTCCCTCTCAAAGAGGACAAATAAGTATTACATGGACATCAGTATCACACTTGACTGCCAAGGATATCAAACCCCAAAGGAGAGGCGTATAGAAAAAGTGTTTCGTTATCGTAATGTCGTTGCGGAAGGGTGTCAGATCTTCCAGGTTGGCCCACTCGCGAGGTTTGGGAGGTTCGCTCGATGTCGTTCAAATAGTGCAGAACATCAAACTTGACGAGGACTTCTCGCCGCGACTTGTCGTCCAAAACCGGCCAGGAGTCAATTTGAGCTCGAGATTTGGGTCGCGCTGATGAAGGACGTCTGGCCTGCGACCTGGCTTAAATCGGACAAATGGACCGGTACTTTCTAGGCGTTCAACACGCGGTGTACTTTCTCTTGCATCCGCTCTTCGCAGACGCAAAGCTTGTATCTGTTCTGTTCGCAATGTCCCCGTTGGTCGAGCCCAACCTGAGCAGATGGAGACCTGCCAGTCGTCCCTTCGGGTCTTATGACTGTTGCCAGTTCTCCCAACCGTTGAGATTCTGTGCGACCATTGTTTGAGCCCATTCCGCGTCGACAAAAGTGTCCAAATTGACGACATCATAGTCAAGATTGCTAATGCCTTGACAAGTGTTGGTGATGTCCCATCGATTAGCTGTGTTATATATGTCAGGGAGGCCCGCTGCTCCCAGTGCGTCGATGGGACCGGCTGTATAGGCTTGTCCAGCAAGAGATGACATATCAATTGCTTGTGTCCCGTCTGCAGTGATAGGAGAAATTTGAGCAGATTCTGGCTTGTTCATCGTTATGGCGGAAGGTTGAGGTTGGTACAGCGACGAGGTGCTCGCGTGTCTTTTGCCAGGCGAAGGGTTTTCAGCTCCAGTGACAGCGTAGGATGTGTTAGACGACGAATTCAGGGTCGAAGGCGTAGGATGATCGGATGGAGGATTTCGGTCACTGTGACCAAAGTCTGGAGAGAAATCCATGTCGCCGTCCAGGGTCCCTTGGCCTGATCCATCTGAAAGACCATTCGGACTTCGGCCAGGGCGGGGATAAAACATCTGCGAGTCGCTGCAAAGTGAGCTTTTCTCAGCTGCGACGTTTGTCGTGTCTCTCTGTCTACTAGGTAGCGAGGTAGTCAGTCCTGGCGTGTATGAACAAGTCGATGTGGTTGTTTTCAAGCCATTCTCGGAGGAGACAGTGTAGGCGCTCTGGCTTCGCGAATTCATGACCGGATACGCAGGAGTAGCTTGGCCGTCCGCGCAATACGCGTTCTGTGATTGGGGTAAGTACAAGGAATCGACTCCTATTCAAGTCGCGGATAGACTGGAGATGCTCGCATCGAAAAATTCACAGAAGAGAACCAGGGGAGGACTGACCATGACTTTCGCGACTCGGCTGAGCCCAGACCCATTCTTGAAAGAATCCAAAGCGCGAATTCCGGTGCCTTCCAGGTCAACATCAAGTTGCACGAGGAAAGATTCCGTGAGGGGATTTTTTGATTTCATCGCATTCAGCGCTGAGACAACAAACTGCAGCGAGGAATAGACTGCAGAATCTTCAGGCCGTGACTTCAAGTATTGCACAAATACTCGCGCTGCGATATACAAAGAAAAAGACATAAAAGGATTCAACTGTTCTTGAGTCAGTCAACGTGTTTCACAAGTAGTTATCAGGAGTGACGCACGAGAACCAAATTCATATGGCAAACCATCTTCATAATACTTGATATCTGATTGGCTGCCACGAGGCATCTGCGTTTACTTTCGGTTATGATCTGGTTGGCCATTTTGTTCTTCTCGGCCTTGAAGATTGCAGCTTGATGAAGGCAAATGGTAGACGTATGAATACTCATGTTGCTGAAGATGACATTGACGTCTTCCAGGCCGTTCGGAATTCGAAGGTGTTCTGGCAGCGAGAGTGAGATGTGTAGGAGTATATTGTCAATGCTTCGATGCCGCTTCCAGAATTCGCCATTTAAGTCATGATCATTGTCTTGTGGTTGTGTTCGGTGGATGTGCACAAGGTTCCGCCCCATCAAGCTGGCCAGGACACAAACACAGGCGAACGGCGCCATCGTCGACACGCCGTCGCCGACTATAATGTCATCGAGACGATGGGTGTTTTGAGGCTGGCTTTTCATGAATGCCTCGTCCGAGGAGGGCAAATTGGTCATGATCTGGGCAAGGTTAGCATGCGCTATAAAGTGTACTGATATGACAGATGGCAGGAAAATCAATTACATCGTCCTCATCGATGACCATCGGCCATCCTGTGCCAACACTAGAATATCGATCGACACAGAAAGCCATCCAGAAGGTTCGGCGACGTTCCTCACGCTCGGTCCAGTCCTTTGGTGGTATTATAGACTGCTTCACATCAAGTCCGGTACCATCGAGGCGATTGAGGCCTAGCATGAGTGCCAATCGCGTTGCTTTGCCTACACTCAGCCATGCGCGGGGGAAATAGATCATTCGGAACTCGTATGAGCCTGCAAGAATCCACATTTGACAATGTGCCAAGCTTATGACATTCTCGCCAAAGCCTTTCATCTCGTCCATCTCCGCGTATTTACGGGCGCGTTGATAGAAATGATGATGCAGATTGAAGTATTTATCGGTGACTGATGCCGCATGGCACCACATCATATACCGCAGACAGATTGGAGGGCGCATGTGAGGAGCGAGATTGAGGCTCGCATAGTATCTGGGCCTGTGAATGAACGGCGCTATGTGCCAGATTTTGTCGAAAAATATGTTGTCCCTGAAGCACAACCTTTGTAAGCTAATGGCCTGCTGTGATGCGTGGTAACCACTCACAGTTCGTCTATCACGTCTTGTCTAGGAAGAGGCTCCTCCAATCCCAGACTGAGTAAGTCCCAGGATGATGGAGCGGGCGGATCCATCGCACTTGGAAACATGTGCTGAGTCGATTGAGACGGTCCAAAGCCAGACGCCAGTTGCGGAATTTGCATTGCAGGATCGGCCGCAAAGGCCGCAGCATCTGACAATCCAAGTATTGATTCTTCATTAACTGGCGCGCCGAATGATGTTTCACGGGGTTGAGGTGAAGGCTGTCGGGGTGCTGGCTCTGCATCCTGGCCTTTCAGAAGCGTTTCGACTTGAGCTATTTGCAAGACGACGGTCAGCACCTGAAGAAGCCATCTGAGGCGTGTTGCCCAACGAATCGAAGCAAGCCGGGTCAGTCTTACCGAGTCGGGCTTCTAGTTGCTTCACATATCCACGTTTTGGCCCGCTCTTCTTGCGCACTTCGTCATATGCGCATTCATGCCCAAGTCGCGAACATGTCCCGCAGCTTGGCCGTTTCCCATCACATCGAAGCTTTCTTCGACGACAGACAACGCAGGCGATCCGCTTCGGGCGAGGTACATAGTTGCTGTCTCCAACCCCAGTGCCATCGGTCAGAAGGCTATTATCGGCATTCGAGTGGTCTTGCAAAGAAGCTTCAGGGGTAGTGTTGAAGTCCTGTGCGCCCGGCGCAAACGCGGCGGTCGGCAAATTGGCCATGGCAGGCCAAGTTACCACGCTGGCGGGGAGTAGTAAGAGAAGTCAATTTGCCGACCGACGATATGTATGGTGTCAGTCGAGGGCGTGACTTGATAGCGCGAGGACTATTGCAAAGAAACAGCAAGATGCCAAGGGAACGGCAGGTCAAATTCGAGAACGTCAGGCGGATCTATTCGCACAGCAGAAGTGGACTTCGTTATCGGAGACTGATAGTCTGTGGTGGGTGGGGATTAGTGAAGATAAATGGACCAGGACGGGATGACGGGCACAGCGTCTCATGGACCAGCCGGTTGAGTCGTGATTCCACGACCTGTCAAAGTCTCGACCGCCAAAGTTTCATGTGTCATAGTAAGCTCACAAAACGTCTTTGTTCTGAATGGATCGACCGCTTTCTACTCGAGGGCGTCTCAACAGGCCCTCTGTGCCAGACTGCGCATGCGGTCCAGGGAACAGAGGGAACAAAGTCGGGGCGATGCACCAATTACTGCAGTGCGTAGGTATGTACTGGGCACTGGGCAGTGGACACTGGACAGTTGGAACTTGGGAAGTGGATGGGGTTACGCACACGAGGCTGCCTACTATGCCTTATTGCCTAACTATTGCCTAGTCCTACCAGGGCTTGGCGGTCAATCCCCCACGTGAAAGTCGAGAATCTGAAAGGACTTGCTGGCAGGACCAGACTCGTACGACTGCAGGTCATACTTACTTTCAATGGTCTCTGAGTTGTGTCTGACTCCTTGGATTCGTACTTTTGCGAATCGCTGGACCTGCCGGCGCAAGAACTCGCTTTCCGTCTTGTAGCTGATGCTGGTAGACAACGAAGTGGCCCAATTCACGGCAAGATGGTGTAAGATCGCAACGCTCCGTTTCTTTGCCTAGATTGAATCGAATTCGAGGAGTTGACGTTCTTATTGAAAGACGGGCATTATGCCGTATGATATACAATATGTTCCCCGCAAGATTTCAGTGATACTAGATACACAGGGGGAGCCGGAGATTGCTTTCCCATAGGGCCATAGGGCGCATTGCAAGGTCAAGAATACATGGTGGAAGTGGGAGTAAGTAGTAGAGGAAGGAATAATATCGTACAGCTGTCGCGAGCGGGGTCGAACACGGGTAATAGCAGGTGACGCATCGCAGCAGTCCTTCAGTTTTGTTTTCAGGATCGCAATAAGACCGGTCTAATTGTAACCACGGCGGCGCTTGCCTTGGTTGCGAGGTCTAGGGTGCACAACGGCCTTGTTAATCTTCCACTTTGGCCGGGTCTTGTAGCCGGACTTGGTCTGTATAATGACAGAAAAAAACCGAATTAGTCTTATTCACGATTCGAAGTTGGATGCCAAAAGTGCATTGGGATGAACATACCGGAATACCCCAAGGACTCTTCGGGTCAACGTTACCCTTGGACTTGCCACGACCACCACCGTGAGGGTGGTCCATAGCGTTCATGGCGAGGCCACGAACGGTGGGACGAATGTTCAGCCAGCGGGATCGACCGGCCTTACCCAATTGAGTGTAGTGGTAGTTGGGATTGCTAGCAACGCCGATAGTGGCACAGCAATCCTTGTGAATCAGTCGAATCTCGCCGCTTGATAAGCGAACAGTGATGTGTTGCGCCAGACGCTCCTGTTTTTGCTTTTCCTGCAACGAAAATGGCTTCTTTCCTTCATCCTCGGTCTGCTCAGACTCGATGTCCTGTTGGCGGGAGTCGCTTCCCTTGGCAACTACAGTGGCATGTGTGCCGGCGCCTCGGCACAGCTGGCCACCCTTCCCAGGGCGGAGGCCAACGTTGAAGATGAACGTGCCCACGGGGATCATGTGAAGAGGCAGGCAGTTTCCACGCCATGCGGTGCGCGCAGCTAGGACACCAGGATCAACCGTTCCGCCCATGCTCTGCCACAAGTCGTCGGGGATACCGGACATGTAGCTCTGCACGACGTCGCCAGCTCGCATGCCGTCGGCGGCGAGGATATAACTGAGCTTGGTGGTCTCTTTGCTTCTCAGGAGGGCAATATGTGCGGTCCGACCTGGGTCATACTCAATCCGCTCCACAAGGTGCGGACCCGGGTCGGCTCGCATAAAGTCGACCATCCGTATCCGACGCTTGTGACCACCTCCATGATGGCGGACTGTGACACGGCCGCTGTTGTTACGGCCACCCTTGGCGTGACCACGTTTGGGAAAAGTCAAACGGTGAATCGGACGCCCTTTCCAGAGGTGGTCATTAACTGGCCGGCGCAAGTGTCGGATACCGGGAGTACGGGGGGTGTATGTGCGAAGCTTGATTCCGGAATCATCACGGGTAGGGGGGAGCGAACGAGGCGCTGAAGTCGGACGATGGTGTCGAGACGGAAGCCGAAGTTGAAAATTGAGCCTCATTCACAACTGATGCAAATGGACGCGTAGAGATAGTCGGCATTGAACGCAAACACCTGAATGGCAACTGAATACCCCGGAGGGCCATTCGGGGTTGGAGCATGGTGAATTTGAACACTGTAGCACAAGTCGAGCATGCACAGCGAACCTTAGAAGGGTAGTTGTCTGATCGGCAATGCGATCGAATTTCCAGTCGTCAAACGATTGCCGGAGACAGTGTCCGGAATACCACTGTCAGCTCCTCGCGCCTCGGACTGGACGGAGGTCGTAGTCGTTGACAAAAAGTTCTAGGTGCGAGATCATGTGACCATGGGCATCAGCGCCACAAGTATGGGGCTTATGTGGCGCAGGTGGTACTTTTCTGCCACTGCACGTCCGCCACATCGTATTCAATTGTGAGTTTGTGACCCACGATCCTTACATACTGTACGATACCCGTCCCGCGTGTCTTCAGATCACGTGATAGTCTCTGTTGTCGGGGCAACGCTCATGTTGACGCCGCCTCGCGTTTCCCGTTTCGTCCTGAAGCTCGTGTATCGGCCGTTACCGTCACTACCAATCTCAATACTCAATACCGTCCCCTACCAACCACCCCTCCCCTTCATTGTTCGATCGCCAATTTCCTTCTCTCCCTTTGAACTCCATCTTCGACTTCATCTAGTCGGGTCGCTTCTCTCGCCAAACTTTTTCCCTCTGTTTGATCGCTCCTTTCGATACCTTGCAAAGGTGTCCGTTCTGTTTGTTATCACGTAAAGAAGATTGCTGGAGAGACCCGTCGCGACTCTTTGTGTGGGGCGTCGCCCAAGTTTGACCGGTTTTCCACGCTAGCCCATAGGGCCAAACATCGCTTCCCTCCCGACTTCTTCCTCCTCTCTCATCATCGACGTCGTCATTCCATTTCAAGATACCTTTTCACTTTTCCCACCGACTCTTTTTCTAGGTCGCCCTCTTGCTTCCACGTCAATTCTCAGCTGGGCCCCTAATATTATTCAACTTCCTGAGCATTTCTTACGCGTTTCGTTCAATTTCCTCCCACAGAAACTCTCGCGCAAGCCCTCCTGATATCCAGTCCACGTCGTATGTCTACTGTCTCGCGACTTGTTCTTTTCCCACACGCCTGAGCAATATCGATTGCTTGCTCAAGGGCTTGGTTCACTCGGAGTAATTACGATTCCACGCGTGGTACGTGTTTCGCTGTCTGGGTGCTGTGGTATTTGAGTTCCCCACTATGGTAATGTCGACCGGAATGCTAACCTGAGGCCGAGCTCCTGCCAGGCCAACCTCGCCCTTTTCTTTTCAACAAACAACATCCACAGTTCCTTCCTTTCCCTTTCGAGGTTACCAGGATGGTTGTGGTAAGCAGTTCTCACCCTTGACCAGCAAACACTCAATTGATTCACTTGAGCCATCGACGACATCAACACGCCACCTTTGACGCGTCGAAAGCATCAGGAACGCGAAAAACTAATCAGCTCATAGGCCCGAAGCCTGCGCTCACGCGGCGTGATGAACGAGAACGATGAGAATGGGCCTGTGACGCGTATGACACGGGCCAAGGCTGCACTCAGCACCGAGGGAGCTGCTGATGCGGTCAAGAAGCCTCTTCAGACTAAGCGGGCCACAGCTACCAGTGGTACCCAGCGTCCTCGCGCTGCTCTAGGAGATGTCAGCAACGTCAATAAGGCTGAAGCAGCGGAAATTAAGGGCGCCAAGAAGGCCGTCACCAGCAAAGCGGGTCTAACTTCCAAGGCAACCGTTCAGCCTGGAGGCATTCAGAAGCCCAGCCGAGCCAATTCTTCTCGAACTACTACTGCCTTGAAACCCCGCGAACCCAATCAGAAGCTCCCCAACAAGCGTCCTAAAGTCGACGACACCAAGGCCGAGGAACAACCCCGCAAGAAGATTGGGGTCGTGAAGGAGGAGAAGGTCATTGTGAAGGATGGGCCAGAGCTGAAGGAGGATGATGCGGTGGAGGTCAAGGCTGTGCTGAAGGATGGCGGACTCGGTGAAGATGTTGTTGATCTCGACACCGAAGACCTTGACGACCCCTTGATGGCCGCGGAGTACGTTGTGGAAATCTTCGACTACCTGCGTGATCTCGAGCAGACCACTCTCCCGAATCCTCAGTACATCGAGCATCAGCCCGATTTGGAGTGGAAGATGCGTGGTATCCTGGTCGACTGGCTGATTGAGGTTCACACTCGCTTCCGCCTGCTGCCGGAAACCTTGTTCCTGGCGGTCAACATCATCGATCGTTTCCTGTCCGTCGAGGTAGTGGCACTGGACCGCCTGCAGTTGGTAGGTGTCACTGCTATGTTCATCGCTTCCAAGTACGAGGAAGTTCTCTCGCCCCATGTTGCCAACTTCAGCCATGTTGCCGATGAAACCTTCACCGACAAGGAGATTCTGGATGCCGAGCGTCACGTTCTGGCTACCCTCGAATACAACATGAGCTTCCCCAATCCCATGAACTTCCTGCGTCGCATCTCCAAGGCGGATAACTACGACATTCAGACTCGTACTCTAGGCAAGTACCTGATGGAGATTAGTCTCCTTGATCATCGCTTCATGAGCTATCCTCAGAGCCACATTGCGGCTGCAGCCATGTACCTTGCACGTTTGATTTTGGAGCGTGGTCCCTGGGATGCTACCTTGGCCCACTATGCCGGCTATGATGAGAAAGAGATTGATCCAGTCTTCCGCCTAATGATCGACTATCTCCATCGCCCTGTGTCCCACGAAGCCTTCTTCAAGAAGTACGCCAGCAAGAAGTTCTTGAAAGGTACGCGATCTGACTACTGAGATGTCTTCGACCTTCCCTGAAACACAACTGACCATTCCTTAGCTTCCATTCTCACTCGTCAGTGGGCCAAGAAATACCACAAGCTGTACATTGATAGCTCCGACTCGGAGCCCTACACTTTCATCAAGGACGGCGAACAGTAGTGATGCCCTTTATGCGGTTATGCTAGCCCTTTTATGCCGCTGTCGTTGTCCCTCTTGACGATCCTGAGGCCTTGAGACAACGCGACTGGGGAATTATTGATTCCTTCATATTTTGGCATTTCATTGTGCTGGTATCGACTACGTTTTGCATATTGTTAACGATGACTTGATTCATTTGTGCGCTTCGGCATTTGTTATTTGTGATGGCTGGCGTTTGGCGCTCAACGATGTGGTATTGTCTCGGCTTCGGCTCGCTTGGTTATCGTTCTTCTTCTCTCCTTCTGTCTCGTCTGCATCGGGGTGTCTTGTCTCGCCATTTTCTACCTTTTGACTATCCACCCTTCCTCGCGTGCGTGCGGCCGGCGTCGGATCTGTAGTCAACTTCTATTCACAGCTTTTGGGGCTCTCATTATTTCCGTGACCATGTCGCAACCGGAGGGCACACCGGTGCTTGTGGTTTCACTTTGACGTACCCCCTTCCCCCCTTCCCTTTTTTTTTCTTGCGGTCCTCGCCCCTTGTTATCTCTTTTCTTCCGTCTCTGGCGTTTTTGACCGAGCGCAACGATTTCTAGTTCTCTCGATCCATGGCCTCGCAAAACGATTGTGACTGCTTTCTACGAGTGCCCTCACAACTCACTGGAAGCCTTGCAGCGGACAGAATGGGGAAGGACTTTTCAAGCCAGGTCAATTGTATCGAGTCTTTGTTAGAATCTCTCGTTCAGTCTTTAGTGTCTGGCGTACTTCGTGGAACTCAAATACAATCCTTCTGTTCAATTTTGTCATCATCTGTGGTTTGGAGGAGTGTATTGCACTGTACACCCTGACGTTTCCACTTTCGAGGCTAAAACGCCGATTGAATATTCATTATGTGATATTATTTGTCATGATCTTGCTTCATTGTAAAAGAAGGCACTGGCATTGCCGTACATGAGCTGATTCAAGTTGATGTGGATGGGCCTGCAGATGCTCCAACCCTCCTTTGGCCAGCTGAGACTCGGTCAGTTCCAAGGAACTACGCTCATTCACTCGTGGCAAAATCATAGGACCAGCCTCTGCATAAGCTCGCCTCGTGGTACTACAGTACAAGCACTGTCTGACTTCAAAATATTCAAAGTCGAAGATCTACATCATCAATAGAGCTTTTTCTCAGTGACATAAGTATATGTGTGCGTGTGTACTGGTCGGCGGAGTGTATATTCGCTATTGTTCCATTGTTCGACCGCGGTGCCGAGGTGCCGCTACCTACTGCCCGGCTGCTAAGTTAATGACCACACAGAGGTTATAGTTGTACCGCCCGTTGGTGGTTACTGCGGGTACGGAGCCATGTGCGGATTTAAATCTCACCAACATCGAAGCAGACCCCACGGGGCACTCTGCTCCCGCCGAGGATCCCTTTGCCGCTAGGCTATATATTAGAGTACACCCCGAGTACAGACTCGGTGATTCCTGAGTGACCCGCTGAAATCCCTTTGGTAGTTTGAAAGTATCAGTCCCCGTTCCGAGTCGTTCCGAGCGGCGTGCCAAATCAAATCGTGGAAGAGATCTGCACCTAACAATCTGTCAACATATAAATATGGCCTCTCCGGATTCATGCTCATCGTGTCCGTTCTGCAAAATCGCGGCCGCCAGTCCACCAGCTGCCTTTGGAGGTGATGCGCATTCGCAGCCGTTCGATCCGTCTGTGCAGGGATCGGCACACTTGATTTTGTCAACCGATCATGTACTTGCTTTTCTGGATATCATGCCCTTGACAAACGGTCATGTTCTGGTCGCGCCAAGGCAGCACTATGAGAAACTTGGAGATATGGGCGTTGCGGCCGGCCAAGAGGTGAGTCGTTAAAGTGGCATTGTTTGACTCTACGGCTCGGTGAAATACGGCTAAAGTACGCTTAGATGGGCAAATGGCTTCCTATTATTTCTCGCGTCGTGACTAAGGTTATCTTTGGTGATGATCCCGATAGACATTGGAATGTGGTACAGAATAATGGTAGGCGCTTCCATGAGACCGACGACATGGCTCTTGTATTCGATTTGATCTCTCTCAGAAGGATTGCATTAAGTCGAGCGGCTGTTGTCTAATTGAAGTGGCATGGTTTGCCACCTGGTGTTGTGACCCGTAACAAGAATTGCTGGACTATGAGGCTTGATTTGAAGTCGTGCTGACTGCGATTTCCAGGCGAGCGGGCGGCTCAGCAGGTACCACATGTGCACTTCCACATCATTCCTCGGCCCTCCGATTTCGCTCACAAGCCAAGCTTTGCCATGTTTGGGCGCGGCCAGCGACATGAGCTTGACGACGAGGAGGGTGCTGAGTTGGCGCGAGCCATGAGAGTTGAACTGGAGCTTGAAGTTGAGCGAATCAAAAGAGATGAGGGCATAGACCTCAGCCAGAAGCCGGGGAAAGGGAAATTGTGACCTCAGCACAGCTCTAGACTACATGTATCGGGCGATATACTTTGCTGAGGTCACGAATGAAGACTTCATTCTTTCCCATAGCATTGATGTTGCGGTGTCAGGGTCCCATCCACTTTCGATTTTGGACTGGCATGTCGCAAGCTTCAGCTTGACTCATTTGGTTTCCGGCTGGTCAGTTCCCAAGGCTCTTCGATTGTTATACTATGATGAACGACATTAATACATTCCTGTGACCACGTGTCATGGTGCGGTGGACATACCTTAACTCTGAATGCGTTAAGATCATCAGCAGAGACTCCCTCTCCATCTGTTTTATTTCTTCCGAGCGTAGTGTCTGACACCTCTCCTTCTGGTAGACGGCGGTAGGTCATCAAACGGCGAGACCCTACAAATAATCGTGAGCCTCATGCGCCATGTAAAACTTCACCTCTGGACTGAATTGACTCACAATTGTGGAATGGCTGCACGCATACACTGATGACCTCTAATTTCGGGTGCATCGGTACGGGAAAACTCTTCGACTCATCACTGGCTGTAGGCATCCACATGGCAAGGCGTCCGTTGGGGACCAGCCTCCGGACGGCGAACTCGAGGACATCTTTCTGCAATGCTTCAAACCCATACGGTTTCTTTGGGGGAATGTAACCCTTTCGGCTGCACAAGATAATTAGTGACTGGGAACGCTAAGCAGCGGTGACATCACATGAGACGTACTAGTAATTCAGCTCACCGTCAATGATCACTGGCTCAATCACCTTCCCATCACGGGTTCCCAAAACCCGCAGACCTTCACGAACACCATATGGAGGATCGCAGACGATTCCATCGAGCAACTGGGTATCTCTCCAGGGCGTGTTTGTGATGTCTGACGTAAAGGCGTCGATGAACTGGCTCACGATATTATACTGCTTGAAGTTCTGTAGCATCGCCATCCCATCTTTGCGCTCGTGGTCCTTTCCGCGAAATGCACGAGGGTCAATATCAGACCCCAAGGTCAAAGCACCAAAGTGTGACGCTGCGACCAAAAAGCTCCCAGCGCCCACGAATGGGTCAAAGAAGATCTTCCCCGGTGCCGCAAGAGCCAAGTTGGCTGTGACCAAGGACAGCTCTGCGTCCATGGAGGTAGTGCTGATATACTTGCGTTTCTTCAAAGTGTGGGTCAAAATCACATCGCGCTGACTCTTTGCAAGCCACCGGCCAAAGTAGATCATTCGTGGCTCGGATGAGAGCTCAGTGCCGATGCTATGCTGCTCAACATCGGTCACATACTCTTCAATGACGTGGAACTGCTCGTCTGGACCCTTCAGTCGCACTGTGCCTTCCAGACCGAGGTAGCCGAATGATTCGAAGATCTCAGTCTTCTTGGCCGTGCTTCGCTTGCCCGAGAAGCAATCAACGGCCAATGCGTACGAGACCTGGCGATACTTCTCCCATAAATGCCGTGACCGCTGCTGAACATCGGCATGCAAGTCATCGTATGTCCGACCTTGGCCCCACAGCTCCAGAACATCTTTGGCAAGGATACAGCGTGCCACGAGCGCACGTGCTGCTGCTTCGTCTTTCAGCCTTACTACACAAAAGGGTGTCTAGACATTTTTGTCAGCCTAGCACTCAATTGAGAGCTTGTATTGAGGCGATATGGGAACGAGGCGAGCAGCGTCCGACATGAATAAGAGTCCTCAGGAAACGGAGATGACTACAGCACACGCTGCATCTCAGGAGCTTCCATCCATGCCTTGGGAGTGTCTACTTACATACTCATGATAGGCAATGATCTCCAAATCTATACCCAGTAAAGTGGCCACTGCTTCAAGTTCGGGCTGTCGAAAGGTCTCATGGCATTGCGCCAGCCTCACAAGGTATTCCATGGCGGAGAGTGGCGGGCGGAGAATTTTCTTCAAACTGCAATGTTTTCTGCCCCTAAATATGTGTCACACGGCAAGGAATCGGGGCTTATAAGTTTGAGTGAGCCTTGCGATTTTCGAGTAATCGCGAGGGTCAACGTGGGGCTCTCTATCTTCCACTGAGTATTGACGAGGCTCTGTCGGGGTGATTTTTTCTTTCCATCAGTTACTCACCTTTTTTTACTGCGTTTTGCAGGTTCCCGCCAGGCGTTCGATCCGCCCAACCGCTTTCCAAGCCTTTCAAGGTACAAGTGTGAGCTCACCAGCCCGCTACATAATAGCAAGTCATCCAGACTTGGTTTAAATGTGGTTTTCTCTGCTCATTCAGGTGATGTGTCTGATTCCTCAACAAACACACGTCTGATTTCGGCTTCTACCTCTGCCTTTAAAGAGGCGGACATAAATGACTGCGTGAAGAAATAGTAGTTTTGTTGCATTGAGATACCGGGGCGACTACGTACCTTGATTTTAGACGATACATGCCCTTCTGATTCTTCGACGTCAGACTTGACTACGAAGTCCAGTCTAGTCACTTTACTAGCTGTTAGAGAACTGAAAGGATGTAGCGCAGGATGCTGCGTTACATGCCTTACATGACATAGCGAGTCATACAAGGTGAATCAGACATGCCTTCATGCATCGACTTGAACAGACGGATGTGCCAGCGACACAATCCTGGACATAGCATTCGTAAAACCAACAGGTGCTCATTCCCGCCAACCAGTTCCCTCCAAATTGAACATCAAAACATCTATTGACGCCAGTTTCGTAAACAAAACAAGGTCGAACATCCCAGAAATAAACGCCAAGACTATGCACTAACAAGCTTAAAGACGTGTCGTGACTCGTGATCCTCAAGAGGAGTAATTTCTACCTTCTCGTCGGGGGGTATCATATGGTGCTGCAGATCCCAACCAGCTCGTCGACAGAGCTCGGAAACAACCACGTCACAGTCACCGAGAAGATCAATATCGAACTGAGTATGTGACACGGGCTAGCCAGACATTAGGGAAACCAATCATTTCCAGAATGGTAGAAGGGATTGACTCACAGTGCGAGAGATGTAGATTTGTGGGACATGTCGTGGCAGGATGCCTGGAACCTCTGCGACGGGAGCAACCTTGAGGGAGGTGCCGATAACAACGACAAGATCGACGAGATCACAATCGTGGTGCAGCAAACGCTGACCAAACTCGTCGGGAAGACCCTCACCAAAGAAGGTAATATCAGGCTGGATCGCGGGAAAGTTTAGTGCTGGGCGAACAAAGAAGCGATCGACAGGTTGGACCGTTTACCTTCATGACTCCCGGTTCAGGAATGTCGTAGTCATCCTCCTCTGAACTGTCTTCAAGTCCCTTCCGATCCTTGTGATCTCCCGTTGAGCTTCGTTTCCTCTTCAATCCTTGTGGCTTCAGTGCTTCTTGAGCAAGTGTGTCGCGGCAAGCGGTGCATTGCGGAATTCTCCCCTCCCTAATGTCATCGAAGATGGCTTCTCCAGGAACCTTAAAGCCACACTTGACGCAGGAAGCGGTAGCAAAGGACCCGTGGCACTGGAGCATCTTCTCAGGAAGGATCCCGGCATTGGCCTCAATGTTGTCAATATTTTGGGTGTAATTGGTCAATAGCTTCCCTTTGTCCTGCAGGAGCTTGATAAATGCATGAGTGGGAGAGAATTTCTTCTCCGTTGGAAGAATATCTTTGGCGATGGAGAAAAAAATGCTTGGATCCTCTTGGAAAACATTGATGTCAAACACCTCTTGGGGGTCGCTCAAACCCAGATGCTCCAACTTTGAGTAGAGACCTGTATCTTTAGAGCGAAAATCAGGAATACCAAGACTTGTTGAAATCTGCAGCAAACAGGAAAGATCCAATTTAGTTGAGGACGCAAGTATGGCAGAGAGGAAGGGATCTTACACCTGCTCCCGTCAGGACGATGATATTCTTGGACTTTTGCAATAGCCGCAGCGCATCCTCAATTGTGTTGTACTGAGGAAGCTTGGGACGGCGAGCAAATTCGCGAGACAAAGCGATTGCTAACAGCGGATGGTAGGAGTCGTCTGGTGCGCCCTCGAGGAATACAGGCGGCATGATCCTGAATGCGGTGCATAGCTTTCTGGCCGTGACGGTGCCACGGACAATAGTCTCTTCCACAAAAGCGGCTTTACCGATTTTGTGAAGACGTTGCCTGAAAGCGACGGCCTCTTCAAGGGTGCAAGCGCCGGGAACTACACATGTGCAATCATGTCAGCGATTGGCCTGCCAGATTGGGTGTCAGATGAAGATCGCGGGGAAGACACGGATATCAGGTTCACGCCACAATTAGGATCATAGGATTCCATACCAAGGCCATCGCGAAGCTGCTCGTCCCTGAGGAACTGGATCGTGTCGCCTTCTTGAGACAACGCCTCCCAGTCTTCAGAATCGTCGCTGTCCGCGTCCATATCAGAGGAGACGCCTTCCAACGCGACCGGATCCGCTTCGACCTGCTCCACGACATTCACGGCCTCCACAGCCTCCACTTCCACCACGCGTGACTTCGCCGGGATCTTCTCACTCGATATCGATCCCAGATTCATTCTAAAGAGAGGCCTTGCTGGATCTCAATGATTTCGCGTGATGAAAACGTGAATCAGACCTCGGAGTATGCACTCCTCGGAGGAGGATAATCCGGGACCGAGGCAGTCGTAGTGGCAAGTCGACGGTTAAAGTTGGTTGGTGGAACAAAGAAAGTCTAGGAAAAGATTTTTTTTTCTTGGGACAGGCGATCGCGTTTGATGGTATCAACAAAGAAAGGTACAGACAGAAAGGGCAGAAATTGAGACGAGGCTCGGGGTTAAAGAAAAAAGATGTACATGCATAAAGGTCATATCGAATTTTGTTTGCTACTACGAGTCGGCCATTTCGTGGTCTTCGTCATCATCGGAGTCTGCCTCAATCTCCTCGTCCCAATCCTCACCTTCACCCTCCATCTCGGCTTCACTCTCGTCGTCCTCGCCAATCTCGTCTGTCATGCCTTGAATGAGCTCAAGAGCATGGGCCTGCAGCGGCTCGTCCTCGTACTGTAATTTTTCGTAGAGCTTCAGACTTTGCTTGAGCCACTCTCGACTCGCGATCAAAGATGCATGTCGTGGTGATTCTGAAGCCTCGTCTTCGACAATGTCTTTCGGTGCTTGTCGTTTCTCGGCCAGGAGATACAAACACCAACCGCCCAGATACCAGGCTTCCACACTTTGGTCATCCTCGAGAATTAGACGCTCAAGAACTTCAAGAGCTTCGAACTCCAACGTCACCTCCATCAGAAGACGTGCGAGACTAATGCGCACTGCAAAGTCGGGTACTTTTGGGTCCTCGGGAGCCAAATCCTTCCACAAGCTGATGCTCTTCTTGAGGGCTTCCTGGGCCTCCTCGATGTTTGTTTGAGATATCCGGATGGAAGCAAACGTCTGGAGAACCTCAGGCGCGTTGGGTGTCACAGTCAGCGCCTCTGTAATGAGCGCTTCACACCGAGCTTCGGCGTCTTCTTCCCATCTGTGGTCGCATGGTTAGCACATATCTGCCACATCCTGGCGTTACTGGGGGTCAGCACTTACGAAAGATCGGTCATGTAGATCTCTGCCACCGCACAGAGAGCATTAGACAGCTTTGCTTTCTTCTCTTCAGCAAACAAAACCTCTTCCGGGCTCGTCTTGCCCTCGAGAGTCTCGAGGGTGCGGCGGAGAGACGAGACACCCTTTTCAAACCACTGAACACTGTCCGTTCCACCCTGCTCGCTCAATTGAGCGAGCCACATGAACTTCTCGGCACCACCACCATCAGACTCTGGTATTGACCCGGTGGGGTCCAGCTCAACAGCATTGAGGAAATAATCCCTAGCAGTTTCGATTTCGCCCAACTCAACGTTGATCTCGCCGAGAAGATTGATCGCTTGGAGTCGAACAGACGGGTTCTCGGCGCCTAGAGTCAATGCCTGCTGTGCGATCAATAGCGCCTCATCGGCTCGGCCAGTCTGGAGGAGGATAGTGGCCTGGTCGAGGAGCTTGGAGGGATCTTCGGCCATTTTGTGTTTAGAAACCGAGCCACCAGGGCCGAGAACGGGCTTTGTGCGGGACTTGGATGACCTTTTCTTCTGCGGTCTGGGCTTTCCCATGGCAGAGCTTCAATGAGTCGAGAAACTGAATAAACAAGCTTTGTAGGCAGTACTCAATCAGAAAGTCGTGTTGCGAACTTGAATGACTGGCAAAAAAAAGTAAAGCTTCGGCCTAAAGATTGGAGCTGTTTGACGGGTTTGCATGCGGGACCGAAAGATTAGCATTTCGCATCGCATCGAATGCGACTGACCCAGAGCTCTATGCAGGAACGAAGCTCATTTGGCCATAACCCCTTGAGCGCAGACTTTGTGAAGGCTCTAATCTGCTCTTTGATCAACCTGAATATACCTTTGATCTAAATCATCGTCTCCACGACCCAGGCCACAACATATTCAATTACCCCTCCAATCCGCGGGCGGATCAGCTACAAGATGGGCCGCGAAGATCAAACTGAGGAGCGTGAAGTCCTCGATTCGATTTTCCCCGATGAGATCACAGGTACATATGCTCTGCTCATCACCGTATCTCTCATTGACCCGGCGAGCGCTTTATGTTGACAGTGGAATACGTTACTAGATATTTCCGAAACCTCCTACAGGATCTCGATAACGCTTGATCCACCCGAGAATGGCCCGGGGGCAGAAGACCAACCGGTGATCTTCTTGGAGGTCTCCTACCCTGAGGACTACCCAGATGTCGCCCCAGACCTCAAAATCACACCTGTGCCGAATGCGCCGAAGCATCCGCTTCTCGAACTCCCAGAAGACGAAGACGTTTTGACGACTGCGCTCAACAATGCGGTTGAAGAGAATATGGGAATGGCAATGGTCTTCGCCCTCGTCAGCGCCTTGAAGGAAGCTGCAGAACAGTTAATGATTGAGCGGGTCCAGGCTGTTGAGGATGAGAAAGCCGTGGCAGCTCAAAAGGTAGAAGAGGAAGAGAACAAGAAGTTCAGAGGTACCCCAGTGAACCGGGAGACTTTCCAAAAATGGCTCTCAGGCTTCAAGAAGGAACAGGAGGAAGAAGAGCAACGGCAGCGCGAGGAGAAAGAACTGGAAGATAAAAAAAGAAGGTTGCCAAGGAAGAGAAGAAACTCACTGGACGGCAGCTGTGGGAGCGAGGCCTTGCCGGAAAAGCAGACTTTGACGACGAGGATGAGGATTACATGCCCCCTATCGAGAAGCTCAAGGTTGCTGCATGATGCGACATTGGAGCTACCGCGAAGCGCTCGTCCTACTTGCCTACGATCGATTCAACCTACGCGTGCACGATTATTTTGTAGATGAAATGTGCCAACCTTATTGATACAATGGATACAATAACACATCAGCGATGATAAAATGAAATTGGAAGAATCGACTGGCTGCGACTGGATATCAGCATATTGTGGGTATCACATTTTCGAGTCTTAGCTTGGCACCAAGGTAAGCAGTTGGAAGAGTGCCGTATCACGTTGACGCCGACCTCCCTGTCTTTGACCTGGAGGAAAGTCGATGTTAAGACCGAGTGATCAATCACGACAATCCAAGTCCGGGCTTTCTTTCCCGACCAAAGCTCTCTCTTCGAGCACAATCTTCCACATCTTTTCCGAGAGCTCGCGATTCTGCTTGTCTGATTTTCGGATCTTTTCGTAGACATCGTCTAGAGCCCGTTTGACGCCCTCAGCCCAGCTTGGTCGCTGTGCTGTTTCAGTGAGCTTGTCCCATTGATCCTCATCTTTCGCGAATAGGAGTTCCACAGCAAGCCTGTCCCGGGTCACGATGCGATTCCAGCGCCTCTCTAGCTTGCTTCGTATAACGCCACTGAGATTCTTGGGCTGTGGCTTCTTAATGCGCAAGAAAGGAACTCCACGGGCATTGACGAGGACCGGTATTCTTCTTTGTCCGCTGACCGTGGGGCGTGGTCGTTCAAGTATTCCCGGGCTATCCGGGTGCTTGCGCGACGTCGCTTCCTCAAATCGCCGGGTTGCCTCCTTTCGTATTTGCTTCGGCGACACTGGGTCCGAGGGGTGCAGCTCCCTGATTTCTCTTTGATAGGCGGCCTGTTGCTCCTTCAACATCTTCGCCCGGGCGACGATTGAGTTGAATTTCTCAGCCTCATGTTGACCTCCCTTGCGCGCGCGGTCGAGTAAATCTAGCGCCTGGAGAGAGGGCGTTGAATCAGCATCATGGAACCAAGGTCGTGCCACTATATATGGATTGGACCCACCTCATAGCCTGCCTTTAAAGCATTTGCGATCTGTGATGGGCTTTGTAGCTTCTTGTATTTCCGAAACCGTTGTCTGAGAAGTGTCTTGCCCTCACTCTGTTGTAACGCAGCTGGAACGCTGCTCGACGGGGAGCATTGTCGGAGAAGGGCCCGATAAAGTGCCAGACCTGACGATTCCGCAGAAATTAGCGCAAGCCCTAAGTTGAGACGAGGGGCAATTCGTACAAGCAAATCGATGGACCCCAGAGTGATTTGGTACGAGGACTTTATGCATCCCTGAACGATATTAAGAACATGAAGAAGGCATTGAGAGCGCAATGCCGAGGGAGACTCACGTGACCGTTGCCTGGGCTCTTCTTTGTCTTCTAACTTTATCAGACCCGAGAAGACGATGTCAATTTTTTGAACCTATGAACAATGAAGCTCGCGTTGGATTAGAGATCTTCATTTGATACATCTGGTCTCGATATGTGTAGTCGTACGGTAAATCCCTTGTGAAGTCTACAAAGGCACTCTTGATGGATGTAATTCGCCTGGATGCGGAAATGACTCGAACTTGAATGTTCCACATGACCGAACGCGCTGGTCACGATCTCTAAGAAAACATTTACTCGGCGATTTCAGTAACAGCTACAGTTGGGAAGTCGATTCGAGAATGAGAAACTACGCCATGCTGCCATGCATTGACTGTAAACGCTTCGAATGACAAGTCATGAATATGAATGAAGAAGTGAACTGTAGAAGACACCTTCAGAGACTCAACGTCACGAGAGACCTCTCACAGCCTTGTATATTGAGAGAAGTGCAATGGGTTCGCTCAGAAAGTCGAGCCCTCCGGGGGCTGAGGAAGTTTCTTGTGCTGGGGAAGAGCCATGTACCTGGAAAGAGGTTCAGCAACACGGTCTCAGGCCGCAATAACGTATTCCTGCACACTTACCTCCGCAGCTCGATCAATACTGTTTCCATGTTGTAGTTTCGCTTCCATTGGGCAAGACATGGGAGTTTAGTTGGATCCACCTATGGCAGTGTAAGTACGGTGACCTAACAAGGCTCACGGTCATGGGCTTTCACCTTTCCTGATTGCTGATCAACGCAGGGAATATTGACGCGGGAAACGAATTGTATAGTGGGAGGGTTGTCGGGGTAGTCTGGGCCGCAGTGAATGTTGACACTGTAGATTCGGTTTTCGTGGACACTCTTGAGATGATAGTTAGCCATGCAAGAGCCATACGACGCATGCGTCATCGGGTATCAAGATTGACAAACATGCGGGGGTCCCAGTATGGTTC